GGCTGAGTGAACTTAAAATCGGAAGCAGATTGAAATCGCTTTTCGTTATTGGCAGCGACGCTAAAAAGTACCAAATTTCGATCTCTGTTGTGGAGAAATTGAAAAACGTACCTTCGTTTCCTTCAAAAACAGAACCCGGCGGATCCCCTTACAAATTCAAAGTTATGTTCTTCAACTCACGGTGATTATCAATGATAAAAATGAATGATAAAACCTTACAATAGGTCCCAATTTAGATGTTAAAAAACCAATCCTTGAAACGGAAATAGAATTGTCTGAAATATTGACTGATTCATTGTTCGCTCTTGTCACTGCTTCATGTCTTACTCAACGTATGCATAATTATTACTCACCTGGCACTCTTCCATAGCTCAAGTACATATAATATTATTCATCGATGAGAGGTAAATGATTTTTGTTTGATAATGCAAAACTGGCTTTGTTCCGTGCCTAAATACAAAACCGTATTTTTTTATTTAAAGACTAGAAATGGAAAACCTTAGATAGTTGGGATGACGCATGTAAGAATAAGAGCAGCGCAGAAACATCGAAAATCGCGCACCAACACACAAGATGACATGTTTGCTGCAAACATTCTCCATTTCCCGGCTTAAAACATGCTTTTTAAAATAGAAATGAAAGAGAAAAAATATCACACATATGAAACTGCGCTTAAAACGTTTCCTTCCTAGAGGCTTTCTTTTAATTCGGGCACAATCTGTTGGAACCGCAACAAAAAATACTCTACTTGAAGGAGGGGTCAATATTAGGATATTACCATTCTCCCTAATTACGGCGAGACTACAAACAATTCCCCCTATGAATTTTACATCACCAATTTGTCCGCTTTTCAAACGTTCAGTGCAGTTTTAGGTTGAGGTTGCAAGTACGCATTCTCGGCGTGGGACCATAGTCAAGCAGTAACGTATGGGTAGTTGAAATCATGAGTATTTTATCTATTCCGATCTGGCCAAAATCGGCGACTTAACTACACCTTTTGTTGTTCATTTACGCAAAATGTACATTCATTTACGTCAATAGTTGAAACTATACGGCAAATCTACGTTCATTAGCACTTCCATGAACTTCATGAACGCGAACGAACTTTAACGCCATTTACATATGTATTAACATTCAATGGCATGAACCGGATGAACAATTGCACCTTTGCAATGAACAATTGCACCTTTGCAATGAACAATTACACCTTTGGACAATCAAACATAACAACTATACTTTCAATCTTGCGCAATGGTTGATTATTAACACCAATAGAAAATCAATTGCATAGTATGACAATCAATTTCGTCTTAGAAACGTAAAATAATGCAATTTGCATAGGGACGCACAATCAATTGCACCTTCATACAATCGTTTATTCGAAATGGTCAATCATTAACGTGAACTGACAAACATGTGTGTAGTAATAACAATCAACCAGGGAAAAAGACATTTCAAATTGTTCTATTACAGTGTACTGTAATGTCATGCTTTGTAATTATCCTTCAATTTCTTCATTATTTAAACATCTTGGAATGTACGTTTGCATAAATCTGTACCACAATGGCAGGATTATTGTGGGCTGGTGCGCTGTCATAAATGAAAATCACATGTTCATTTGGGTCGACATTTAGCCTTGCCTATGACAGAAAATCATTAAATCTTTGTCCATTTATTCCACCGAGAAATGCCGAGTGAAAAACTAGTCCATTGGTGGGTGAAATTGCCAGTGCTACAGTAACACTTCTCCCTCGCTGACCACATACTTGTCGATGTGCCCTCTCTATCATCCTTGCTCGTCCGTGTCTTCCTGCCGTCCAGATATTGTACCCACGCTCGTCTACAAATATTCTATGATTCACTGCAGCATGGCGCATGAACCAGTTGGCATAGTCGACTCTTTTTTGCAGGACATCAGCAGGGCGGTTTCGTTCAACTGGGAGTGGCCTTGCCAGTTTTACACGATACAACATACTTTTAAGTGTTCTTGCTACTGTACGGTCATGGATGTTGGTTTTCTCGGAAGACGCTGTCTCAATTCTTGATTTATCTGTGCTAGTGTTAACAGGCAATTTTCGTTTAAAATGTCATTCAGGCAATTCCTCATTTCATCATCTACTCGAACATTTTGTCAGTTCGCGTTGATGATTGACCATTTTGAATAAACGATTGCATGAAGGTGCAATTAATTGTGCGTCTCTATGCAAATTGTATTATTGTATGTTTCTAATACGCAATTGATCGTAATACTACGCAATTAATTTTCTATTAGTGTTAATGATCAACCATTGCGCGAGATTGAAAGTATATTTGTTATGTTTGATTGTCCAAAGGTGCAATTGTTCATCCGTTGTTATTGAATGTTAAAACACATGCAAATAGCGTTATTGAAAGTTTGTTCGCGTTAATGAAGTTCATGGAAGTGCAAATGAATGTATATTTGCCGTACAGTTTCAACTGTGGACGTAAATGAATGTACATTTTGCGTAAATGAATAGCAAAAGGTGCTCTATTCTAGAAATTGTCTCCTTGTAACAATAACTTCACGAAAAAATGCACAATCAAAGATAAGATAATCAGGATCTGTTTTTCCTTTAGCACAACATATGGCGTAACTTCAATGAGTTGGTCGGTCCTTTCAACGCTCCCAATGAGGCAATCCAATTATTAAAGGGAATTGCGGTCTCTTTCAGAGCAAGTGCTGTAAATTACTTTGATTCTTAATTTTTTCTCATCATCAAACGTTTCGAAAACTTCAAAATAATTCTGTCATACCGTGCGTTCGGTAACATGCACCTGAGAGAAGCGGAAAAAGTAAGGTGCAAGAAAAGCAGTAAACGATATGCAAATATTTAATACTTCAGTACTAATTTAGTGGATGGCATACAACATGCAATTTTTAGCGTTAACACCTATGCTATGTAAACTTTACCTTCATAACAGTTCTGCGACTCTTACTCGACACTAAGTACCAATTATTTAATGGCCAAACCAGCACTAAACTCAGCTAAACTCGTGTTTAATTCTTCAATTATCATGGAATTAGAGGAACGTCGCAGATAGTACTGGAGTTTTCGATTATTACGGAAAAAGGAGGAAAGGGGAGTGACTCAGAATTACCTTTTGCGAAGGAAATATTTGTCCCATCTTAGTTATTATCGAAACAACCCGGTCTTCCAAGGAAAGAGAAACCGTCCTTCATTATCTTTGACAGAAGAATTTACTGGATTATTCCACTGATTGGTTGAGCTTCTAATAACAACTCCGCCTTGAATAAAGCCTTAGTCTTGATATATTTGTTCGGTCATATTTTGTCTCTCTTGTTACTTGCCTTCCATGGCTTACAGATAAATGCACACACCAATGGCTTGTTGTGTGCCTTTAGAACATTTTTCCGCTGTAGGTGTGGCTTGATCTTTTCGTTTCCCCGATTTTAAGGAAACCAACGAGAGAGGAGACGTACGAATAAAAAGCGTAAACTTCATCCCTGAAAGAAAATAAAATTAAAACATCGAAGCTCATAATGTTCTCTGTTAATGAGTACCCATTTCGCACGAGTTTGTTAAATTTTGATAATTTGTGTTGTCTGATTTATGTGATTTCCTAATGAGTGACTCAACCTGCCCAAATTTCCACGATAATGGAACATATTACAGTGAATTAAATCGCGAAACTAATTTTGAATATTTTAGGTAGAACGCACTAAAAGAAAATGCGAAATGCTTGTTGTGAAGGCTGCTTCCTTTGACTAATAATCTTGAGAGCCGGCGCTTGAAATAGAAATGCAATAAAAAAATAGAAATGCGATAAAATAGAAATGCAATGAAATAGAAATAGAAATGCAATAAAAAATCAAAAGCTGGATTCAGTGGAGAAAAATCCAGATTCTAACTAGGTGTGTGTCTTCTTCGAAAAAAAAACTACGCTTATTAAAAACTACAAAATGAAATGTCCTCTGCTGGTCCATGAAGGAAAGTGATTCACTGCTCAATATTTTGGATGACTACCAGCTCATGGTCGTTACTTTCCTTTTTCCTCTACGTTCAAGGAATGTGTCAAGCTTCTTTCAGAGTGGTTACAATGTTCAAAAGTATAGTTTCAAAATTAGTCGTTATCTCTCTTGAATCATGCTTCATTATTTTGTTATTGATAACAGATACATCTGAAAAGCCCTCGAAATTTTGTCGGAAAAATCTGTCACGTGACACATGTGTAAGTTGAAGTAGTTTCAATAGGAGCAAAAAAGTTCAATGGTGTATTTCACCAAACCCTAGCATTCATTACCGATCAGTTTAAGAAATTTTTATTGCTTAAATTTGGTTCAGCTTTGGCGCATTGAACATCCTTGTTTATGACACTTGTAGATGCACTGACCCAGCAGAAATTTTACTGGCCCCTAGAATAGTCACGCGTGTGAGATATTTTACAGAGAAGAGACCATACAAAGAGCTTTTTATTGGCACTCCTATTTTATAACTAATACCTTTTCTAAGTTAACCATTTCACATGGTGTGTTTTCGTTTTCAGTGGTGTGGTTTCTAGGAGGGGCCTTATGATACTGAACGAGATTTTCAATGATTTATTCATGTTTGTGTCGGATGTTTTTATCCTGTTTTTATTTCGTTTTTTTTTATTCATCACTTATATCATTTAAAGTGAGGTTAAGAGAATCGTTCTGTAACAGTAGGAAGGGTCCTCGATAGTTTTTGTGACGAGAGGAACTCTCATTTACCTTGTGGTTTTGTGATTTACTCACATGTTCTGACATCCATCAAGAATGGTCATAACACCGAAAAACTCAAGAAATATTTATCATGTTCGTGGTTTTGAGAGTTTGTCAATAGTTTGATTTAATTCCCTGTTCAAAATTTCACACTTGTCCAATCTTCCTGATTTTTCGTAAGGCGTTATTTCTACGGTTGTCACGTGAATGAGATGTGTTATTTGATTGGTTGTTGCCTGACATGACGACCCTCACGCCCACTTCCGATGTTTATGAACTTCTGCATTGATTAATAGTTATCTAAATTCTCGAGATTTACCGATTTCCTCCGGTTGAACTGCATGTGGGTTTTGTCTGTTCTCATTCTATCGCGCGTGAAAATGATGAAGGCAAGAAATGAGGGATTTTGTAACATCGTCTGCATGAAGACGTTGTTCTTCGTGTTCAGTTTCCTTTTTTGGGTAAGTAATTCTGATCAGCCAACCAGCAGCCCAACTTCTCGAGTACAACCAGCTTAACGTAATTGTATTTTGGTTTTTCTTGTAGATGTCTCGCTAATGTGGTATTTTTAAATACGAGTAATCATTCATGTACAACATACTTAATTCCCCTTATCTTTATGCCTGAGTCAGTCCTCTAGACAACGTATATGATCACAAAATAAGCTTACGTTTTATTCTCAAGATGATGTGTGTATTGATCAACTGGACAACAGCTGCCTTTTATTTTCCTTTCCGTGACTTAATGAGTTTTATTTCATCATATGTTGTGGTTGTTCAACCGTGTCTTTCTTCGGTTTGTAGAGTAAATGATATGACTAGAACCCTTTTTTTCCAAACGAAAACGAACGATATCGATAAATATAGCTTATTGCGGATGTATCCTGAATAAACCAGTAGAATCCAGAAATTTTCATAAGCTTAAGTCTCATATTTTGAATTTTAGCCATATTTTTAGAAAGTGTCATTCTCTATACTGCTCTCAGTAACAGTAACACTTCAACCTGTCTGATCAAAGTGATGAGCTTTCCTTCACTCTGTTCGGCGGAATTCAATTTTTATCTAGAGGGGCATCTTTGTCTATTCTTTGACTGGAATTGGAAACATTTTTTTTGATTGACTTATCTTAATTGTGGCCAGTAAATTATAGCAAATTTACAGAAAGAAATCGAAATTAGTGTTTGTGTTCTTCAATAATATTACTGACTAATTTTGAACCCATTTACAAACTACTTCCCCCCCTTCCTTGTAGTGCATTTTCAGTAATACTTGAAATATGATACAACACACAAATAAAAAAAAACACTATTATTGTGGGAATGTTTTGGCAAATGGTATACTTACGAAATTGCGGCCAAATTCTGATAGTAATCATTGCTTAAGGTTACTAGAAATTGTATTAAATTGGAAAAAAAAGGCTTTTGAATGATTCTCTGATTTCGCTTATCACAATTTGATCAGTAATGGTAGTTGGACTGTCCAATTACATAGACATGATGCGTCCACTGTCCAATTAACCCTTTAACTCCCATAAGTGACCAAGAAAGAATTTCTCCTTACAATATCAAAACAATATCAAGCAGACAAGTTATGAGAATAAAGAAAAATTATCAGTTAGGGGATTATAAGATGATCCAATACTAAATCCTCCAAACTAACATCACAAGAACTGTATAGGAGATAGTAAGGAGAATTACTAATGAGATCTTAGGAGTTGAAGGGTTAAAAGCATGATGCATACACTGTCTGATAAGTATTCATATTGGGCTGATGATTACCAATCATGATTGGGAATTTTGTTTTAGTTTGATTACACACTGTCACAGTAACTCACCATTAGAATCTATTAGTTGTTCAACCCAGAAGGGGGACAAGAAGCACACAAGGACTCCTTTGATTCCTTTTGGGTACTTATCAAAGAGGATGTGATAGTAATGGTGTGTTTTGGTGAACTTTACTTTCCTGTAACAGATTAATTTTAATTCATAATTCTTTAATTGTTGTCAGCTTGCAGGACTTGGTATTATGGGAGTTGGAATATGGATCATGGTGTACAAAAGTGACTATCAGAGCTTGCTGGATAGTGATATATATGTCATTATTCCTGGTCTTATGATTGCAGCTGGAGTTGTGGTTGTTATTGTAGGGATCATAGGGTGTTTGGGAGCAGCCAAAGAAAATCGCTTTTTCTTAATTTCAGTGAGTTTCTTGGTGGATTCTATTGTTTCATTATGATAAAGTTATGATGTTGTGTGCCAAAGTTATGATTTTTTGCAATTAAGAGGTGAAATAGTCACAGTAAAGTTTTAAATAGAGATGAAAATATTTTCCAATATGTTGATAATCATGCAATTGATGGAGGATTTACTAGTGTTATATTTAGTAACAAAGCAAGTGTGTTCCTATGCTTTTATACTTGGAACCTTTTGGCAGTTAAAGGAGTCATTTCTTTTGATGTAGTTTAAGATGCTCCCTATGCAATTCAGTACTTCAGAACGAAAAGTTTTGTTGGTTTACATACTAGACTACCCAAGTTTTTGAATGTTAAATATAACTAACTTGCCTATGTCTTCTCATTTTTGACAGTTTTTAGTGATGGTGATCTTGATTTTCATCCTGGAATTAGCTATTGGAGTTCTGGCATTTGTTTACTCTTCCAAGGTATTTAAACTATGTTCAAAAACTAACAAATTGTATTAAGACTCAGTGGTTTTTGTTTGAGCATCAGCCAGAGTGTTTGGAGTTTAAAGAAAGTTGCCTGTTTCTCATTAATTCAGAATAAAAGATACATATTTTGTGTAGTTAAAGATATCTTAACCCTTAAACTCCTAGACATGATCAACATGAAGCTTCTCCCTTTAGTATCCTTACATTATCCAGCAAACAGCTAATGAGAATATTCAAACTTATCAGGCAGACATTGTTGTCTTGATCCAACACCAAATTCTCATAACTAATTTACATGGATATGTGTAGCAGCTAGAGGGGAGAATTACCAATCAGATCTTAGAAGTTAAAGGGCTAAGGTATGAATTAACAGCATTTTAATTTACTTTACAATTCCTCTCCAATTTGCACTCTATGATGTGTACCATATAAGCTTTTCTGGATGTTTTGTGATTTTGGAAACAATTAATGCACATGCTTGGTAAAATTATAACTACCAAGATTTTGGAGGATGAGGAAGCTTAAATTTTTGCAGTGCTTAAGATGTGTTTATCAATAGTTATAGAAAAGCATCACAAATACAATGGAACTTCTGCAAATCACAGTACAGTAAGTTAGGCAGTTAAATTACTGAAATGAACTTTTAAGTGCATAAATTTTCTTATAGTTTCAATGAATTTTTTAAAATTTTTTTTATAAATCATTATCATTTGTAGCTGTTGAAGTAGCCATCTTTTGACAACAATCAATTTTTCATTCATTTTGAGAACTTGTTCCCTTTTTATTTATGGTCTGTTCTTTACAGCAAGCAGCTACTTTTTACTTTTGGGACAGACCATCCAAGGGAGGTGTCAGAACACATCCATGTGTATATTTTAGTATTTGTTCATTCTGTTTATAGATAAAAGATGAGATACAGACATCAATAAAGGAGAAAATGAACCAGCAGTATGGTGTGAATGATGCTGTCACTAATTCAATTGATACGCTACAACAAGAGGTTGGTGTCATTTTCTTTATAAAAATTAATGTCAAGTTCTTCATAAATATTTTTGTGCAGTCTTCATGTTCATGTTCAGGTCATGAAAATGATTGTAGATGATGTATTTCAACACTTTTAATTACTCCTTGTTCACTTCAGAACCGATGTTGTGGTGACACTGGTGGAAAGAGTTGGAATGGTACATCATGGCAGCAAAGGGATGGAAATGAGAATGTTGTTCCCGACTCATGCTGTAAAACAGTTTCTGAGGGGTGTGGCAAAAGAATGCACCCATCAAATATCAATAATGAGGTACAGTTTAAAGAGCACACTGTTTATATATGTTTTGACATTATTGCATCTAGTACTGGGGATTCTTGAACAATGATATGAATTCAAAGGTGCCATTTGCAGAGAATGAATAATCTGAGTCCTCCGTGAGGATTTGATTGGCATTCATTCATCCCTCTTACCCTTAGCGAAGTAAGAAACTGGTCATGTACTCATCTCTATAGAGAAAAGATCTCTGGCTGAAAGAAAAAAAGTCTTTCAACAGTTAATAAAAAGTAACTCTGCACTACATTGTTCAGTCAACACAATTTGCCATTCGTTCAGGAGACATGAGTGGATTTTTGGCTTAATGTGTAAGATTTACTCTAACTGTTTTATGCTTCATAAATGTCAATTTGTGTTTAAATAGGGAACTGTCAGTCCCTTTAGTGTTTGGTTGTGTTAATATGTTGTTAAAGTGGATTTCCAGAAGTCAAAAGTCTTTGTTTTAGGGCTGTTTGACACAAGTAGAAGAATTCTTTCAAGAACATTTCTTCATTCTTGCAATTGTTGGAATAGGAGTGGCTTGTCTACAGGTTAGTTTATTGGGTGCAACTGCTATTAGTTTTCAAATCAAACAAATCTTTTATCATCTTGTCATTATATGGCTGCTGTGCATGCAGCTGACATGCCAACCTGATGTGTACCAGGGTCATCATTACATCAAGGATTGTTGTATTATTCTGTCAAGTTTTTACAGTGTCATCAATGTACTGTCATTTTACCTGTGAATATTGCTTTAAAAGATCGTGTAGATTAGATCTAGAATTGGCTGACACTGCAATGCAATTCATCCATTTACAAACTGTACCTGCATGGAATAGAAAAATATAACAAAATATTTCTGCATAAAACAAGCATAGGGTTCACTTTAAGATTTGATGTGAATCACAGTATATTTTCTTTTAAAAAAAACTGATTTACAAAATTGTTTTCTTTAATTTCTTACATTTCAAAATATGAAATATTCAAAGTAATTTCTTAATTTCAAAATATTTCAGCATAAAACAAGTATAGGGTTCACTCTAAGATTTGATGTGAATCACAGTATATTTTTCTTTGAAAAACTGATTTACAAAATGGTTTTTTTAATTTCCTTTTTTTTTTTCATTCTCAGCTTATAGGAATTATCGTGACTGTGTGTATTCTTCGATTCGTGGAGGAGTATTGAATTCACGTTTGAAGTCCTCACAAAGCAGATATGCAGCCACTGTTGTGACATTAGTTGGTGGAAAACGTTTGCAAAATTGTCATTTTAAACCATGTAGGGCGTGCTTCTCCATACGATGTATTTGAAAGTGTACACGAACACAAGTACCTAGAATTTTCGATGTTCGTTCGCTTTTTGAGTTGTGCATCTTGCAAATACTGATGTGTTTATAGCACTTAACGGGCCGTGTTTTGTTTCGGCCACTTTCTGTTGACCTCAGCAAATGCTCATCATACACAGCAACTTTGACATCACGGCAGGAACAGCGAAGTTCACCCACTCGCGTGTTTACAGATGTATGGCATATTAAGTATAGCTGGTAGTTTGAAACATGGTTGTATCTTGTAGAGAGTTTTTAAGGTGCCTTTTGAGGGTAGCAGTCAGGAGAGGTGTATGTGGATGATTCACAATGCAATTTTATGGCTAACAATGCAATTTTATGGCTAAAAAGAAAGTTGGTTTCCTTCTTTAGATTTCGGCCTAGGTTAAATTTAGTGTAAAGTTTAAATGAGTTTGTAAAATGGTGCATAGAAATGTTGCGATGAATATTTTGTGTAAATTGTTTTGTTTGTTATTTTTTTAATTGGATCTACAAATTTGTTTTTCTTTGATGCTTTCTTGTATAAAAAAGTTGATAATGCTTATCTGAGTCAGATCCCGTGATCAACGAATAAATTTCTATTTTTCCCCAGTTGTTTGCTCGTAAATCATCGTAGCAGTGCCGTGCTTCATCAGTGACTTACTAAATTATCGCACCTCTAAACGATTTTATATGATATCTTAACGATTTTACTGACCCAATACATGTAAATGTAAATGTAAACGGGCACTAAGATCGTCTTCTCAACACCTTTTGGCGACTCCGAAACTAAAGACTTGTGGAGAGAGAAGACTATGAAACTCCATCCCACTCAAACTAAGATAAAGTTCTTTAATTGACAGTTTTAATATAATTTTTTTTTCAGGTGATAAATATGTTTAATAACCTCAGAATTTTTTAACTTAGTTTATTCATATATACACATTTTTTTCCCTTTTCCCCCTTTCTTTTAGCTTTTTAACAATCTTTTCAAATCTTTTCAAATCTTTTCAAATTTCAAACTGTGAGAAGCTAGGCTCTCGTTCTTGAACCAACATCGTGTAATATATATGGTGACCTGTGTGATGCAGGATGTATGGGCTGTACGCATGGAGATCTGTGGGGGTACGTAGACGATTATGAGAGAGAGTTTTCCAATTCTGACCACATGCACAAACGAGATTCAATTTGAAAAGGTTATTTAGGATGAGTCAGTCAGTCTTCTAGCATACGCATCCTGATATAATCTTAATAAAGCAATGGCAAGAGACCACCTGAAACTGGGGGTTCTACAAAAAGAACCTGTGCTACGCTAGATACGAAAAACCACTAACAAAAACTACTCTTTAGATATGGCCGAAAAATGTGTGAAAACCTATTCCTCATCTAATGCTGCAGCACAGTACCCTGAAGAAAGAATATAAGCTAACCTGATTGCACTACTAACCACAAAGAAAAATCAATGATTGTAATGATATTTTACGGGGAGTTGGAAAACCAAAATTGCAACCAATACAAAAAAGAAAGTGGTGAAACTTAAGACTGACCGACCTAGAATGAATTAATTTTCTTGCGAAACACTTAAAATAATTCAAAACTCTCATGATGCCACGCGAACCTCTTGAACGTGCTATCAGAGAGCCTCACACGACTCCCGCTGAATACTGTTTTCCTTGCTACTTATGCTGAGTAGTGTGCGTCAGTAGTTACCAAGCTAGTTCCACTGTCTCTGCTTGGCATGATAATGATGATAAAGTCCTGGATGCTTGATCCGTTCCACTTCTACAGGTAACATCATAACGCGGTTGAGTAGGTCCCAGTCCTCTCCACCCCAGCGGTATTTGTAGTCCTTTGTATTCATTCCTAAGGGTGATGATGTGTGATCGATGAATAAAACCAATTGAGAAGTTAGCGGGAACATTAACAGCGCAAAAAGTGAATTTGAACCTTAACCAGACCTTGAGAAAAGGGGGCGCAATTACCAATGAAGACAAAGAAATCTATTGACCAAACAGTTTCATGTATCTGTAAATACAACAAACTGTAAATCCTGAAACTCACCCCCAAATTTGTCCCAGTCTGACTTGTATATGGCCATAATTCCGTAGCCATTCATCTGCCAAAAGCCTCTGTGTTCTATAGAAGAACTATCGCAATCAAGTCGACCAACAACAGGAAAGTAAGTCATCCGGCCTGCGATGGTGTTCTAAAAAGGAATAAAGAGGCATGATTTGGAATCCTACTCGACCTACTTCACAAGCTCAGAAATCTCCTCAAGGGCTCGGCAAAGGACGTTCGCATTACATGGGACTAAGCTCATGGTCAGCAAATCTTTCAATAAAGAACGAAACCAGGGATTAGATGTTGCAAACTGATCTGTTTTGAACGCATGCCCGAGATCAAATTTACCAAATGGGCAATGCACAAGAAGGTACATGTTCTCAACAAGTCGAACAATACGTATCATTCCGCCAAGTGGCGCGCGTGGGAGCTTTGCAGGCCCTCTTGTGCTTCGTCGCTTAGCCTTGAATGCATTTTATTTTTGCAGCAAGCTAGCTTTGCTGAACATTACTCACTCTAACCACCAAACTAGTTGAGGAGCATACTGGGCAAAAACATTTGTTATTTCTCAGGATTGTAAAAGTTTTTTAATTTATCCATGCGATTGTTGATTGGCTTTTTACTATTCCCCAAAAAAGCCATGTAATTCTTGTAATCTTAAGCTCACTCTATTATATGGGTCTGAAATGGGTGCTTACTCACATTGAATCCTTATAAATTCCCTTGGGCAATAAATGTTCGTGTCCCTGATTACTAATGAATGTTACAGAATCGGAATACTCAACTTTTTCGAATGTATTCTACAACACCAATGTGTGAAATCCTTACCATGCGCACGCTATCCATGATGTCTGCTGGGACATCAACATGAAGATCGATTAGGAAAATTATATCATGAGCATGAGGAACAAGCTGCACTGCCTTGTTTAATGCAAGTGTTTTGTAGAATTTACCAGTCAGTGAAATAATATTATGTCTGCTGCTGAGTAAAGATGTGTTGAATGCCTTAGCCATATCGATGTCTTTACTCTCAAAGTCAATCACCATTACGTGAAAATTCGTGTCATTGGTTAATAAGCTGGCGTCAGTAAGTTGATTGATAAAATGTTGCACCCAGTTTCCTTGATCTTTCACAGGTAGAATGAAGTAGACCTTGGCACTATTATTCCAATTCATTCCATCAGGAAGGCACAAGTTTTCTTTTCCTTTTGGTTGGTAAACGTGCTCTGACAACCGAAAAGTTTGATTGGTGTTGTTCAAGCCAAGTTCCAGGTTGAGTAGGAAGCGATCACCGTTCTTGGGGTCAGGCTTCTGAATGACTTTGTGAATTTTTTTCAAAAAATAGTCTCTAAAGAAAAATATAAGATTAGAAACCTTGATCTACTCATCACCGTGTTAATTAGACTTTAAAACGGTAGCGAAAAATAACTAGAATTTATCGTCGCCTAAAACGAAAATGTAGGTGCCTCAAGCCAGTTGATATTTAGAGCTGGTACGTTGATGACGTTTCTTAAATTAACTCTTTTCTTTAGCGGTAGGCCCTATGCAGACTTATCGGCGTCCTAAAAACAATGTAGGTGCCGCTTCGTTGATAATTAGAGCTAGTACGATGTAGACGTTTCTCAGAATAACTCTTTTCCTGTCGTGAGAGATCATTCCGAAAGTAAAGACAATTTTTCTTGCCTGAAATGACCTATTTTGGGTTACACTGATACTTTATTATCTCATCTCTGAGAAGAAATAATGAATTCCGATCGGCACGATGACAGACAGTTTTAACATTGAATAATTTTAAATGAAAATTTACACTTCAAAATTATTCAAGACGCTCCGTTAATTTGTAACTGATTTTCCTCGTCAATCATTGTTTGGGGCGGAATCTGATTAAAGGACATTTTTTAAGTCAGCCGTAAATAAACGAAAGATTGTTCAAAGGATTGGTTATTAATCTGCGAAAATACGTTTGTTTACTGAACGACTGATGAAGGAATCAGAATAAATAGTACCTTGAGTTCAAGGAACCCATCGTCATAAACTTGTTGACGACCGATTCAACTCTGCCTTCATCAATCAGTGGATTAGGCTTGCTCCAGTATGATTGAAAAATACTCGTGATCATGTCAGTATCATCTTTTGGGTAAACATATGATTCATTTGCCATCCATTTCCACGCAGCCTCTTGTGGCTGGAGTTTTCTTCGCACCAGAAAGCTCGGACTGTAAGGACATGTTGGAATATAACTAGTGTATAATTTTCTATCTAATAGTGGGAGACGATTGAAATGAAATAAATTGCCTTTCTCTTGAATCCAGTCTTGTATGCCTTGAATTGAGATAACCCCTTGTTTTCCTACGTGCGGGGGAATAGATTCATGATTCTTGCTTTCGGAATAATTGGACAAGAACCTTGAAGATATTATTTCAAACTTTGAAGAATTGAAGGACCAATATACAGCCACATGAGCTGCACCTGAACCTTGCTTACTCAAAGTCTCGATGTAATATCTCTTATTGGCTTGAAGGGTAATCTTTTTAGATATTTGTTCAGGATATTTCTGGTAGTCTCCTTCTTCAGTCCAAGCAGACTCACTAGGAGAGTAAACACGGGCGATTCTTTCACTAAATGCAACACTTTCATTGCAGCTCAACCATAACTCCGACGCATCATCTGAAGTAATGGCAAATTGGTAAATGCCATCTCTTTGCGGGTGGACGAAACCAAAAATTCTTTCGCCATTACTGTCCGTAGCATGGTCTTGAGTTCTTTGAAATCCCCAAATAGAGGAACGCTTATCCGGCAGATATGGAAAATGAGGCCACAATCTCAAATTATCAACTGCTGTTCCACATATTCCAAACCATGTGTGGACATTCAAATACCCTGCTTTAACTGCTAAATGTTGATTCTCGATACTACCCTTGCTTGCAAATGTAGTTGTTCTTGTTGCGTTGTAGAAGCCAGTTGGTTTCGTCCCACAATTTGCCTCGTGCTTACAACCTTTATGTACTTTAAGTGTCTTGATGTGGAAGTTGTCTCGTGGAGCATTTATCGTAAGATGCATCAACCCAAGCACACATACCACAATTAAACCTACAACAACTCGGAAACATCGCCGCCAACAAAATCGAAGTGAGGAGCAACTCCTGAGCAACACAAATGGCGAGAGAGTCATTTCTGTGCTTACGACAATCAAATCATTCTTTCGATCGTTTCCTTCTCCTTGCGACGCAGCTATGCGTGAAAAAACCGGTAGCCCCCAAATAGCTCGCTCCAATAGATTTGAGCGAGACTGGATCTCGATACAGTCAAACCTGTTTTAGGCGGTCACCCACCCCCTCAATACAGGTTCGACTGTTTTTTCAAATATTAATTTTTTACTTTTAATGTAAGCAGGTAAGAATTCACAATTTTCTTTGAAATTCGTGATGATTTCGTTTTCTTTTTCTTTTCTACTTTTTTTTTTACACAAGTGAGACTAGTTAGCGAAGAAATAAGGCTGCCGCATCGAATCAGAAATGATGATGTTTTTATTCATATTTCGGTGGAAATTGTTTTCTTTGACGAAGATGATTTGCCTCTTGCGGGCTAACGAATCAGCACTTTGTGAAACGAAAAGAAACGAAAGGAAACCAAAAGAATAGAAAGCAAACGAAACGAACCATCTAAAATTGTCACTTGAGCCTCACTCGAACGTTATATTTTAAAACTTAAATATAAGAATATAAGTATCAATTTTCGCATATAGTTGTAGACAGCAGAAAGACGTGGAGAGAAGGATTTTACAGAGTATTAGATCTTAGGGAGACTTTGTATTTAGCCCGGTAGGAGTTGAATAATTAACGTAAATTTTCGTTATTTTCAGTGCTATTTTCGTTTTCGTTTTCCTTTTGTTCGGTCGTTTCGTTTACTTAGTATTCGATTTTATCATTTTAGTTTTCCACCACTGCAATAAAATCCGAAGTAAATGTACTAGCGTGGCATTTTGGCTTCACAATGGACACTCCAGTGGGCGCACAGTTTTACTTATGGGCACTTTTATGCCTCCCAGTCAATCTCTGTATTTACTTATTCCGTAAGCGGACACCCTCTCTTAAACGGACGCGGACACTTTAAAAAATGAAAATTGGATTGTTCTTTTGTTTACACTGTCTCGTAAGCGGACACCCCAGAGATAATGACTTATTCGAGGCAATAAAATTGGTCTTGAATTTGCAAATAAACAAAAATATGACCTTTGACAGAGCAACAGAACGATGGCGATGGGTTTTGTGAATCTCCATTTGTCCACGGGAAAGCAAGCTGTCAGTTCGTTTGACATTAACATGAGTCCGACATGACATTCTTCCGTAAACGGACATTTACTCTGTTTTTCTTTGGTGTCCGCTATGGGAATAATTCCCGTAGGCGGACAATTCAACTAACGGACACTTTTTCCAATTCCCAAGGATGTCTACTTACGAGGGGTTGACTGTACTCGGATTTCACGACAAGGGGTTATCTAGTATTTCGCGTGACTCAAGTATTATTTAAAGATGGGATATCCATCAGACCCCTTAGTGGTGCAAGTCACTAGAAGACTGTTCTACCATATGTTCTTTGTTCTTTCTCTAATTGAGGCAAACGCTACTTTCACCCTCCTTGTGATCCGAGAAATTATTCAATCTTTCCTCTGAAGCTCAGCACGATTAGACGCATGCAAAAGCATGTGTGTGTAAAATTATTCTGGGGTATTACGGTGAATCAGGGGGATCGATGGGGCCACTTACCGAAGTATCTCAGGGTCCTTTTAGGCCATGCGGCTGACTATTGTTGGACTGTCGGGGTAAACTAGCTCTAACACCGCGCTCAAACGGGAGGCACCAGGAGTCTGATTTCGAAAGTCTTATTTGGATCGACTGCTACTCTCTTCTTGATAGCTAATTAAGCCCTATTATAACGGTCAAGGAAAAATCACCTAAAAGCAAAACTATATGTGCGCCCTCTTATCACAGGACAAAACAAGGCTCCCAAGACTCGCACAAAGACGTTAAAATAATCTAATAGGCCTAAACAATTCCCAAACGCTTAGCCAAAACACTTCTAATGTAGTTCAAACAATTCAAGCACTTGGCTGAACCGTGTGGGAAATATACGCGCGATCCATCGGCATGGATGGGGAGGGGATTTTCCTTTATTAATTTTTTATTGATATAAAATTACAAAGTCAGTTTGCGAGCTAGGTGGCTCATCTTGCTAGACAAGGCAAATCTCGGTGTCAGTGGCACGCAGTGACAAAGTGTATTCTTGTTTACTTCGCTTTTCTGGGAAAAAGTGCCAGTCCATCACAGTGTCTTCCAGACATTTCTTTAAGCTTCCATGACAGTTTAACGACACTCGTTTATACAAACTGGTTGGAAAGAGACACTGGGAGCGTAAAGTCTCTTGTGCAATATCAAACTCAATATTCGACGTACGTAAATAAGTGCTATCCATATTAGGAAAGAAATAAAGTTGTTTTCTTTCAGCCAAGACCATTGAAACGGATGTTATTCCAATACGTCTCTCTACGACTGATACATTACACGAAGGTTTAGACCAGGTTTACGCCGGCAGAAATTGTTCCGAATTTGTGACGAATCCGATGCGTTTTAGCGCCAGATTCTGTTCGCTGTTTACATACAAAAAGACGAATCCGAAATGAAACCCCCCCTCTTTGGTCGTGTCCCCGGAGATTATGAATTCGAAATTTAAAGTTGAAACTTCGAATCCGAAAACGTTTGAATCCGGAAAGCTTATTCTGAAGATTAGAGAGTTTTTGACAAAAGAATACGACTTAAATTCATACTGAGATCTTCAGACAATGGCTCTTGTTCAATTGTTTCCAGACAATGGCAGAGTGACACCACGACGGCTCTTCCCAACACTGGAAACCCAATAGCGGTAACTGTATCAAGAACTTCGAGCGGATAGGGACACTAGAAATTTGATTGAAATATGTCCTACCAGAATGGACATAAGATTGTACCAGCAGATGCTGTTATGCAACCTTAATGCTCGTTCTGTCAGAAATAAAACAGCACAGATTCTTGATTTTATAGTTGATCGCAAAGTCGATTTAGTCGTTATTACTGAACACTGGCTGACAGCGAATGACTCGGACGTTAGGGTTGAGCTATGTCCTAATGGCTATTGCATTGTTGACCATCCAAGACTTGATCACCGCAGAGGGGGGACTGGGCTCATCTATCGTGACTCATTCGATGTTTCTAAGGTTAATGCTGGAGCTAGTGAACACGACTCTTTTGAATTCTCCGAGTGGATTGTAAGATCTTCCCCACATAACATACGGCTTGTGATTGTCTACAGACCGCCTTATTCAGAGGAGCACCGTGTTCCCGTTGATGTGTTTCTCGCCGAATTTCCTGAATACCTTGAGTCTCTACTATTATGCAAGGAAAAATTGCTTATAATGGGCGATTTCAATATCCACGTAAACGATCCTCAAGACTCTGATGCACGGAAAGGGCCTGGGTCCGGAGCAGCATGTTGATAAGCCCACCCATCGCGATGACACACTCTTGATTTTATTATAACACGCATGTCTGAATGCCTGATCTCGCACACGCCTGTAATAGATCAGTTTATCTCTGATCGTGCTGCTGTCCTGTGTTGGCTCACACCACCGAGACCCGCTCTTTCCGTGAAGACTTCCAGCTACAGGAAAATAAAGTAAATTAGTATGGAGCAACTTAAAAGAGATATGCCGTCTACCGAGCCGTGCTCAGCAGTAAAACCAAGTACTGCTAATGAATTAGAGGCGTATGTAAACTCGTACAACAGCACCCTTTCTGCTCTCCTAGACAAGCATGCTCCGCTTAGGACTCGCACTAGGGTTAGCAGGCCTGTGGTCCCTTGGTATAGCAATGAAATTAATGATGCTAAGCGCTCACTCCGGAAAGCTGAAAGAAAATGGGGAAGAACTCGGCTGCCTGTGGATTTTGCTGACCTCAAGCGGAAGAGGAATAAGGTTACTAATCTCATGAACAAGACAAGGGAAGAGTTTTATTCCAAATTTTTATAGGATAATGGAACCGATCAGAGAAAGCTTTTCTGCGCAGCCAAAAAGCTACTTGGCACATCTGATGTTTTGAACTTTCCAGTCCTTCTTGACAAGACTGTGCTTGCAAATGATGTCGGCGAATTCTTTGTGCGCAAGGTAGAGCCCATTAGTCAGGATACTGATTCCATCTGCTTGAGTTCTGCTGATCGTAATCTTGTCCCGCCGGACGGGGAGGCCTCGGATATCTCTGACGAAGTACTGCGCTCTTGTGGCAACCTTAGTGAGCGAAATGTATGCGAGCTCATTAGAGCCTCTGCCAAAAAGTCGTGCTTATTAGACCCATTTCCAACTAATGTGGTCTGTGATTCATTAAATGTTCTGCTTCCGGTGATCACAAATATGGTGAATGCATCTCTGTCCACTGGTCATTTTCCTGACAATTGGAAGGAAGCTATCATAAACCCTTTGTTCAAGAAGGGCACTATTGATTTCGCTTACAAGAACCTGCGTCCGGTTAGTAATCTCCAATTTGTGTCCAAGATTACTGAAAGAGCAGCCAATTATACGCACATGTCAGCTTACAGGAAATCACATAGCACTGAGACGGCGCTGGTTAAGATAGTAAATGACATCTTACTTGACATGAATCGTCAACATGTGTCTTTGCTTGTATTAATTGACCTTAGCGCTGCGTTTGATACGGTCGACCATATCATCCTCTTACGCCGTCTCGAGACATCATTTGGTGTTACTGGAGATGCGCTCAAATGGATCGCCTCCTACCTGTCAGCCCGATCTCAACGTGTCATGATTAATGGTGTACTGTCTGATAAATTTGATTTGTCATTTGGAGTTCCTTAAGGGTCATGCCTCGGACCACTTCTGTTCTCTGCTTATGCGAGCAAGCTGTTCCAGGTTATCAAGAATCATTTGCATAATGCTCATGCGTACGCTGACGACACTCAGCTTTATTTGTCATTCAAGCCAGACAGTTCAATGGGTGAGACGGAAGCAAGAGGTGCTATGGAAAGATGTATCAGGGCCGTAAGGGCGTGGCTGATTGTTGATAAATTATAGCTGAATGAAGATAAGTCTGAATTTATGCTTATTGGAACTCGCCAGCAACTTAGCAAAGTTAGAAATGACAGCCTTATGGTTGGTGACACGCAAGTAAAATCAGTCAGTGAAGCCAGGAATTTAGGTGTCTTGTTCGATTCTAATTTCCAGTTTCGCAGCCACATAAACAAAACATGTCAATCAGCTTTCTTTTCGCTGTATAACATAAGGCGTATAAGAAAATATCTGCCTTTTGAAGCTGCAAAGTCATTAGAGCAAGCTTTTGATATAAGCAGAATCGACTAATGTAATGCAATAATATATGGTTTGCCTGCTATACACGTTAATAGGTTACAACGCGTTCAAAACGCTGCCGCCAGGTTACTGACCAATACACCCCTTTATTCGCACATTACACCTGTGATGATTAATCTCCATTGGCTGCCAGTTAAATTTAGGATCATTTTCAAGGTAAATTTGTTGACTTTCAAAGCTCTCCATGGCCTAGCGCCAGCATATCTTAGTGATATTATATTATTCAAAGGCGATTCTACTTATAATTTAAGATCAAATTTTTAGTAATTTATTAGCTCGCCCGGCAATTAGATCTGCCAAGACCACTGGGGACAGAGCTTTTTCGGTAGCTGCCCCATTTTTATGGAACCCTCTTCCGGAAAGTCTAAGAGCTGTAAGTAGTGTAAATATTTTTAAGAAACAACTGAAAACGTATCTTTTTAAACAAGCATACTGTTAATTGTGTGAACATTTTTAGACTATGTACTATATAGATTTTTTATCTCTTTTTAATTTATTGTTATAATTTTGTTTTCATTTTGTAATCTAACTATCATATTCTGCGGTTTCTTTAGATATTTTTTAATTTATTGTAAAACGCATTAGATCATACACTTATAATGAATTTTGCGCTATATAAGAATTAAATTTATTTATTTATATATATTTATGATAGAGACCATTCTGCCTGTATGAGTTTATTATTTACACAGAGGTTCAGATTTGTTTAACGCTGTGAATTTTGGTCTCAACTAAACTATAGGTGTATCCTAAGGTATTTTGGACAAAAAACAAAAAAATGCGAGAACAACTCAGAGATGAATTATATACGAGACACAAGGTAGGAGCTACACGTCAACTCTTGAGTATTCAGGGCAATTCTAATGGATTGTTCGGTTACGTCCTATTTGGAATTATTGATTGTTATGGATTTATTAAACGGTTTTCCGATTTCGAATTTATCGGTTTCCTACTCGGGGGAGCAAAGCGTGACACAGACGTTTTAAACAGGACTAAAAAATAACAGGCATTTTTCCCTTCATTTTCCTTTCAAGGCACATAACCTACATACCGGGACAGCAAAACAGATGATGTCAGTCAGAGATTTGTTATCCTTTCATTAAGATATTCAAAGAGGATTATTAGGTATCAAAGCTCTCCACTTGTTTTATAAGCAGTCATGAACGCCAATTGAATAAGGGGAGATATTGTATTTTGATCGATATTAAGAGCAGGCATTCTTAGCATACCTTTTTTCGCTTCTGGTCGCAAACATTGTTTACAATCAGTGTTCATGTCCTTCACTTCCAAGTTCACTTCACTTCCAAGTTCATTTCAGTAGTTTTCTTTGGACATAATTGAAAGTCATTCTGGTTTCTTACCTTACTACAAATTTGCAAAATAGTAAATCTCCACCCTATTAATTCATTCACGTCCTCTCAATTGTCATCTAATCGCTTATTTCCCGTGACTTCAATGTGGGTTTATATTTCTGCAAACATTCTGAACTCGAGATCGACCCATCGTGTCTTTCGCCGGTGCCATATCAGAGAAGTTGTACTTCTCTTAGTTCGGTTTGACGATGGTGCCTGCTGACTTCTCAGACTGGAGGAATATTGAGTTGCAGAACAGAAAAAGAAGGAGATGCTGTAGTGTACGGTGTCTTAAAGCGCCCATGCACATGTTTACATTCTTTTATTGGGTAAGTTAAGCTTTAAGAGCATTGCAGCACTTAACATGACTATCGGACACGAATGCGATTCATTCTAAATCAGTAAACAGGCACCAATGGTCCGCTTTGTGCGATTCCTGCGGAAAAACCCCGACAGAATTTCAAATAATAAAGAAAATAAATTATAGATGGCAAATCTGTAACTTCTAAATCGGCTGCTGTCCCGCCAGATGCTAGATGTTTGATTACTATGACTTCGTTATCCACCCGCGCTCGTTTAGCTATTAATGAAGTTATTAGCTCGTGTTTGTTTTGACGATTTGGAGGCTAAGAACTCCTATAGGTTACGTGAAATATTCCAAGCTTTGTTGTCCAGCTCATTAGAATCTCCTAATGTTAATGTACCACTTGGATGGAAAAAACTTAATGTTCCATACGGCAATACTTGAAATTCCTTGCATGAATCATGTTTCCACCTTCCTAGCTTACAAACATGATTTCAACGCCCACAGGAAGCGTATTTCAATCTGGTTGTTTTGTGCTGAGTATGTGATATAACTCATTCTCTGATTTCTTTCTTTCTTTTCCTTTTTTGACGTCGATGTTTTCCTAAATTGTAGCAAAATTGTTATTGTACACGATAAGCTAAGGAGTTCTAATTGCGTGATGGTATGATGTACTGTTTGTGTTTATCATGGGTGTTGATAAATCACTCGCCTCTAAGTATCTTGTCGTCAGACGATGGAAATATTAAACTTTCCGTATTAACAAGCACCGGAAACCGTCGGCTCCAAAAGTTTTGAGACAAATATCGATCCTTGTAAGATTAGTGTTTCTTCGTTCGAGTAGCAGAAATTCACTTCCGCGAACTTTTATCCTCTCACGCTGTGGACAGAATTACATGTTGTCTTGCAAGGAGAGGTGATTCCTTTTAAGTCTATCCGCCATACTTTTACTTCACTTTTATTGAACCTGTTGTGAACTTTTATCCTTTCACGGTGCGGACAGAATTGCATGTTTTCTCGCAAGGAGAGGCGATTCTTTGTAAGGTTGTCCGTCTATCTTTACTTCACGATTGATGAACCTTTTTTTCGAAGAGTGGAATGGTCAGAAAGGTTTGATGTTCAAATCGAATTTTAAAAAAATAGAAAAAAAAATGTAAAATAGAAAAGCTGGACTGGAAATTTTCCCCAAATCATACCGAAATTTTGTTCAAGGTAAAGTTCACCCTGAGCTATGAAACCGAATTCAAGAGAAATATTTCTGAATCGAGACATGACCTTTGTCAAGATCTTTTAATTGAATTTCCTTAGTATTGTAGTCCAGCTAAACAATCTGGCTAAAGTTATACATTCCTTATGGATGTCAAGAGTTCGCCAGTCATAACACGTCTCCGGTCCATTTAGTTGTCCGACTATGATTATGAAAAGAGCTAAAATGCACCAGAGAAATTTGTAAACTAATGAGGATGTGCTTTGTTATATGTTCAGGACAATTTGATATACAAAGAATTTCCGACAGTGGCTAATCTTAGAAAACTGAAATGCTCCTTAGTTTTATACGTATATACAGCAACTTTTAGAAATGAATAACTAGACAGCCCTCTCTCAAAGTTAAATCATTTGTAGAGCTTAATTATTTTACATCTCTACGTAAACTTAGAGTAGAAGTTCTGTTATACACGCTTGTATTTTCATTCTAATTCTTCCTCTTGATTACCACATAATTAATTTCGTTGTCTAATCTAATTAAAAGACGTAAGATGTTTATTTTCGCGGCCAGTTGAAAACCGGCAAATTAAGTTGAAGTCACCGCGGATAAAATGGGTGTGACAAGACTCAAAGTAGGACAATTTTAAACGTCTTGTCTGCTTGACAAGATCCCATAATAAAACTTCTGACCGAATTCGATCATATTTCTTGGTGAATAAATTGGATTTTTTTTATATTATGACAACAGTAATAAGGGAAAACGGAGAACTTAACAAACCACCACTCGAACTAAGAAAACTAGAAAACTAGACGTTTATGGTTGGCATCGTAAAGATTTTGCTTTCCGGTTCAGTCTATGGAATGACGTGAAACAAAACGACCATATTTGGACCTGAAATGGTCAATGATGCAATTACGATGCACAAAAGTCTCATTTCCTTGCTACAGTCGAAACTGTATTAAGCGGATGACTGTCAAAGTCCCGAAATGTTTCCTGTATCCAGCGGTCACATTTAATTGAGCGATCATGATCACCCTTTACTGAGTCCCAACGGCCTCTTTGCATCGTTTTCCAACTGTACTGCACGGTCCCTTAAACGGAACAATCAAATAAAATTAATCTTTCAAGTACAATTTAATCCGTTTTTCTCTCCCGAAATCAATGTTAGTGGTATTTTTGAGCGAGTTTTTGTACATTAAGTGGCCAATATGGCATCAAATGGTGTTTTCTTGTTTTTTATTATACCGTATTCTGTGGAACCTGTTTTCAACGGTCAACCTGTTTTTAGCGGTCATCCCTCCATTCTCCGGCTGACTGCTTAAAACAGGTTCGACTGTATTTATCTGAAAAATTTTGTACTTGGTCTACAAGACAAACTGACCGCATTTATATTCCATCTTCTGTAAATTAATACAAAACACTCTTTATGGATGCTCAAAAGTGTAAGTATGTATGAAAATTCAATCTCTCAGTTGAGTGGCGTGGCCCTGGTGGTAGTGGGAGCCTGGACACTGTTGTTTGAGAGCCGGTACAATGTACTTCTGGGAAGCTCGTGGTTTCTAATAATAGTAGGTCTTATGATTGGTACTGGAGGTCTCATCATGATTGTATGCATCTGTGGCTGCTATGGGATTGTCAAAGAACACAGATATTCGCTTATTTCGGTAAGTAGCATTTCTAAATCTGCTGACATATATTTATAGAATCCTACAATGTGTTCAGTCTGCATACCACGGACTGACTGGCGTATTTCCTTGAGCTCCTCTTGCCATTTTCTGTGGCATGAAGGGACTAAGAGTACCCCTACGCTTCTAAGAGGTGATGCTAGTTGATTGCAGCTAACCCCAGCCGTTTGTGTGATTGTCTTGACAGCTCACTGTAGCTGGTCCTCTCCTACACACCAGGGTGGATGAAGGTCTATTTAGAGTACAGCGTCTTCCTCCAAAACACAGTGACCCTGATTAAGGCTAAAATGTGATGACTATTTTCACTCAAGTTTGTTGGGTTCGTAAAGCAAATGAGATGCCACACGAGTGTGAACTGAATCGCTCATTAATAGACCCAAACGAGCAAGTTTGTCGCTACACGAGCGTATCTTCGCCCGCGAGAAAGTTTTTGGCCCTGAGTAAAGTGAGCTGGTGAGAGGTCTGGTAGACCTCTTGCCAGCCAGGCTGAAACAGACATGCGTACACTACAATTCGAAGGCCTACGTTTCGCGTTGTGTACGTCATTTAAATCCGTTTTTCAATAGACAGTTGAATACCCCGTCGTTGTCTGAATTAGGGAGTTTAAGAAACGACGACGGCGACACCGAGGACAACGTCAATTAAAAAATGAACTTGCATTTTACCTACGAATCTCGCGATACTCTTAAGTCATTTAGTTTGTTTCTCAATGTCAAAATTAGCTCGAAACTGAATATGGAACACGTACAACGTTACGTTAGAAAGAGACATTTTGAAAAAAGCCGTCGTCGTTCACATTCTCTAGACAACGTAAAGTTTGGTCATTTCACGCTTTTTTTTTTTTTTTAGAGGACGCAAAAAAATTTGCGAAGATTTATGATGCACGTGCACAGTTATTGTTCTGCTTATTGAACCTTTTGTTTAGTGAAGTTTCCGTGGTCGTTTCCGTCTTGGTTTTCTTAAATTCCCTGATATTGACTACAGTAAATGGTTAAACCCGGGAGTAAGATGAAATAGTGTATTTTGATCGTCCGGGTGATTGTAGTCCTGAGAAGGGTGATTGACGTTTCGACAACCTGAACGGAAGTCATCACCAAAAGTCATCATCAGAGGTCCTCATCACTTTGATGATGACTTCCGCTCAGGTTGTCGAAACGTCAGTCACCACTACGGACAACAGTCCTTCTCGGAACTTCACTCACCCAGACGATCAAACTACACTATTACACCTAATATTGACTGTCCTTAGGTCTCCATACACTGAATTTGAGTACCAATATTACTCTATACTTGGTTCGCCTGCATTAGCTATTGCTGTTCCCAGTTGTAAAGTTTTAATCTCTTTTACAGTTTCTGATCTTGTTGACGTTGATCTTTATAATCGAATGTTCAATCGGAGTTGCAGCATTCGTACACCGATCTTATGTAAGTACAGTTGTGCTTATCCGCGATTTCAATAACTGTTCAGTATTTTGACCTCTAATGCCAGTTTATGTCCATCTCTCTCTCTTTTTCGATCTAAGGGTCTCGACTTATTTCGTTGGAATCAAACAAATTTGCAGGCAAATTTTACGGCCCAAAATCTCCAGGCTGCTTTATATGACAATGTAAGCTGGCATGCTATTATTGACGAAGGCAACACGGTGTCACAGTTACATGCGGATTCAGCGAAAAAATATTGTTACTTACAGTCATTGGAAAACCACTGCTAATCGGCCACTTTTTAAATAGGTTTTGACAAGAAAGAATTCTGAATTTATATTCTTATAATTTTTTAATATTTGTGTTGTTTTCTGTTTTTGCCAGATTGAAGAGAATTTAGATAAATCCGCGCTTGATCGAATGAATGAGTATGGAACCTCAGATGCTGTAAGGGATTCCTTTGACGATCTTCAACAAAGGGTAAGGAAGATCAATATTTTAGTTATCAGCACAGGTCGAGGGAAAAGATACAGTTAAATTCATTTGTCGCCTCTTGGAAAAAAAAAATGATACCGGACAAAGATTTCATAAGGAGCCGATGAGAACCTAAGGCAAATCAGTAAATATAGCTGCCTCAAGCGCGCAAAGAGAGAGTGGACAGATCACGACAGTTTCAGTTTTGCTTCTGATTGGTCAGTAAGATGGCATGAGTTTTCAAGACCGATTGTAAAACGTAGTTTGCATGTAATCCCGAGTTACATTGGACACCGTGTGAGATAGTCCTTAGCATGACTGACACGGGCCAGGTTTGCCGCTGAGGATCAGAGAAGTCAAAAGCTCATCGCACTGGGAAAAAGAAGAACGGTTATACAGTGGTGAACTTAAATTTCAGTCAAAATCCAGGGAATAGTGTCATTTTTCGACCAATAAGCTTCAAAATTACGACTTTCCATTTTCTATGAACTTTTTCTACATCTTTGGTTCAGGTTAACAGTGGCGTTACCCAAGTGATATTAACTTTTTGTGTCTGCCATTAGCCGATGATTTTTTAGTATCCTTTCTTCAGCATATGTGTTGTGGTAGTAGCAGCTATTCGACGTGGAGCAACACAGCTTGGAAACAAATGACTGAAAACCAGAATTTGTCAGTGCCAGATTCGTGTTGCAAGACAATTACACCTGCCTGTGGAAAGAGGGACCACCCCTCTAATATATACCATGAGGTACTATACCATCACTGGTATTGTCTTGCCAGCCGATAAGTTTTAGCCTACTAATCAAATTTTATGGAAGTTTATTGCCTGTAGATAAATACTACACGTTCAACGCCACAAAATGAATGCAACTATTCGCCGTGTAGACGAATATTTAGATGTAAAGATTTGTAGATGTGATTTGACTGAAAATAATTAATTAATGCAAATATCTAAGTACAAATGTAACGAAAACAAGAAAAACGACAAAGCTACATGAAATAGAAACGAACTTACAATTTGTGGCGTAACCAGGTCCGATAGTCAAAAGCAACACGGCGCTGGCAAAAACTAACGAAAGACTATGTTGAAATCAACTGGTAATGAGAATTATGTAACGAAAACAACGAGCATACTGACAAGAAATAAATCGCCATTGGAGTTACGTTATTCTTACATAACCTCATCCATAAAACGCAAACTTAACTGAATAGAAACAGAACATCACAATAGTAGTACAATAGAAAGGATAATGATATAAAATAATTTCGCAGTCGCTTGAAAATAATTAGAAATACAAATCTTTGTTGCTGTACTATCGTTTTCTGGTTTCACACTCTGATTTCCCAATTGGTTCTTGGGTATCTCTGTTCGACTGTCAAAAAAAATTTTGGTTCTCTTCGCTTGCAAAAGCTGAATCCACGTATACTATAGGAATATCCTCTCTGTTATAACTAACAAGGTTTGTTGTTTCTTTCGCTTACAGGGTTGCATTTTAAAGTTAAGCGAGTTTTTTCGGGAGCATGTGTTTATTCTGGGATTCATAGCATTGGTTCTAAGCGCTGTCCAGGTAATCAGGAAAGCATTCACTTGTAAATAACTTTACCTATTCTGGTATAACTTGACAACGAGGAAATTTTTCATAAACGAGGGCGAGTATTTCATCACGGTTTCTAAACATGAGGAAACTGATAAAGGCCGAGTGCTTTACCTATGGCGGGGCTCCTGTGTACTTCTACTCTCAGAAGGTGGAGGGAGGGGGCACGAATTGCGTGGCTCGGGGTTGAAACTAGAAAATCCAAGTGTAACGTGCTAGAATTAGGCATCATCGTACCTCTCACTGGCTTACCTGTTTTGTTTCGTTTTGTTTTCTTGTTTTCTTTCTCATTGCAGTTAACTGGGATCATTCTCTCCTCGTGTATGATCCGCTTGGTGGAATACTGATGAATGGTTTACGGCTAACAGCTACCATGAACCTACCATGAATACCAGAGCACGACTGAATAAACTTCATTATTTGCCGAACTGTTGCGATGTCTACAATAACAACATCATCGATATATGCAAACAATTAGCTATTCAATACTTTATTAAATTAAATATTTACCAAGAGAAGCTTGTTCGTCACTTTGTGCCCGGGACCACTGGCAGACGGGAGTTGGGGAGAGTGAGACTTGGAGTGTTGGGAGCTTCAGTACAAAAGGCTGATCTCTGAGGACACGACTTCAAATGACGTGCCTTCCTCAAGTCAAATCCGATGCCATCATCGTCATCATCATAATCATCATCATCATCATTTTAACCATATTTCTCCGAGTTTGAGCATAGGTCAGTAATCGCACACGATTCTGAGTCATTTTTGTTGCTCTGTCTTGTGTACGCAACGGTCCTCTATGTCCACAAATTAAATTCATGATAAAACTTAAGAGTATTATATCTTCCAAATTTATCACTAAACGTCGTGGTACATCTTGAATCTTCCCTGGATCAGTACACAAACTGATGACTCTAATCGTGTTTCGGATTAAAACGCACACTGTTTATTACAGAACAAGTTGTTAAGTCTTGCGAACCTGATGGCTCTTTGCTGCCAGATCTGATCCTGGTGTCCGTCACATGAAGCCACCGCATGGAGTGTAGTTACTCCTCCTGGACAGGAAAGCTACCATATTACTCCATACCGAGTAACTCCCAGCTCCTTTTCAAGTCTTCTTAACAGTTTGCCGGCGCTCATCTATAGTCCCTGGTGACAAGAAGCACTCTGAGAGTTCAAGAAATAGCCATAAACTTAATATACCTTATTCACTTTATTATTTTAACTTTTCTTAACTAATGATATGTTGTGTGAACAGCCTTTTCTCATATTTTCTTTTGTACTGATATATATGCAAAAAATTCAGCCTGTTCACTGATTGAGAACACGTCCATTAAACCCAATTATTATACATTAGACTTACTATGAAAACATTCATTGGTCGAGAGCATACAATCAATATATAGTAGCATGTGAAGTTGAGATGATAACTCATACCAACAGCTGATATTAGGTTATCATGTCGAGTTCAAAGTCTGTTTAGTTTCCAAGACCCTCGTCCGTGGTGTTCTCTAACTTTTGCAGACTCAGGGAGGTATCTCCTTTTGCAGGTGTTTAAAAATGTCAGTTATGAAATTCGTCAAATGATATCATGGATAATCAAACTTCATGTCTGTGTTGTCTGACTCAGCCTTCGAATTCGGCTTCAGCAGATCTATAACTTAGACCTCGGCATTGATAATTCATGATACCACGCTCAACCTCGTACAATAATTACTTAATAGTGCAGAAAGTTAAGACTGAGTGCAGAAAGTTGAATGGAATGCAGTAACTTAATATCAAATTGATCGACGGGAAAGTCGCGAAAAAACAACAAAAGAAATGGCGGGCAGGTCAGGAGAAAGAGACGAAACGTCCTAATCAGAATTTGAAGGAGAATGAAGAGAGCAGAAATACCCAATCAAGCACAACCAACCGGCTAAACGTCCTGAGTCTTGGGCTTTCGTGCTATGACAGTTTTGAAACGTTCGAATCGGAGGTCCTGAAAAAATTTTCGAGTAAGTAAGAAAGTCTGTCTTAAGAAAAGGACGAAAGAGTTCTCATTTGAGCCTCCACACCTTTCCTCTGCATGGGGGTACTAAAGACCCCTCTGGTGCCCAGTACTTCACTCAATGCAGGAAGGAACGGTTAGAGCGCGGAGTGGGGGAGCGAGGAAGAGCGTAGGATAAAGTAGCTTCTATGTCTTCCGCTATCACTTCTTCGCGTATTTGTGTCATTCTTCGGTTAAAATTATCCTTTTAATCATGCTTGGGAGTTTCCCAAAACCAGTATGCAGAATATAGAGGAAGGATGATCAACTTCCCGTTCATTTTTTGAAAGTAACTTGACAATAATGGTGGTTACCGGTGATTTATACGAAAACGATGTTATATTTGTTGTGGAGGGGACTGCGAATTTACTTCTTGACTTTGAAAACCTGAAGAAATCCTACATTGAACCCGCAATACAGTAAGTATAAAATGACTAACGGGCAACTAATTCTTCTTGGAGCGAGAAACAAGAACCGTATACATAATAAATATGAGACTGTGCGTCCTCTTTCTCTAATCGAACAAACTCAGCTTGGTACAACAAGCACTCCAGTTTTACTTACGTATGGAAAATGAATGGTTAAAATGAACAATTATCGACAACTGTACATACGTTATAAATTTATTGTAAAGAGGAGAGTTTATTTTCTTACATTCTATTTCGTTGTTACACCAAAGCTTTTTTTAATTTGTTGTCATTATAAATCCAGCGAATGATTTTAGAAATAGACGAGTTTTAAGTCTTTTGTCGAGTTAGGCGATCATTTATTCATCTTGATTGTGTGTGCCGTACCATAGCCGTCATTTGATAATGTGTAGTCTTACTATTTTATCGTTCAAGACCCTCGTGATAGTTAAAAACAATATATTTGGACCCAGAATGTACACAACAGTAACGCACAATGATTTGCTCTTTTTCTATTTGGTCTCAAAAATATCAAAACTGAACAGTAAAAAAGCTTGTGCTGAAAATTACATTTTATATTTGAGCATCAAACTAAGGATGTTTCTGTGTAGATTTTTAAGCTAAAGTTTGAAACCTAGCAACCCTCTGAAAAAAGAGACCTGAGAACTGCCAATATTTGATAGTGCATTTTGAAAGATCCTCTAGTAACTATAATTGTAATGATTTCTATAGATCGTTTCAGCGAAACCACAGCTAAGCTCCCCAGTAGTCTATCACAACATACTTTAAGGTAAAATTTCTGCACAGCCCCATACTATTGTAAAAGAAATCTGTTTTTCCAATAGCAATGTATTGTTTTTGTCATTGTTTTCTCTATCCATGAACTGAATGCATAATGTTGTATGGGGTTGCACGGAAATTTTCCCTCTTTAAAGCTGATAATTACATAATTTTGCCTCTAATTCCTTCATCCTGTCAGTGAAATTTGGGCATTAAGTGAATTAATATAACATGTTAATTTGTAAGAAAATGACTAATTCAAAGCCTACAGTAATACTTATGTGTATATTGTAGAGTTCAGATCTCATTCTATAGATACATATTTCCTTATTAATGAAATTTATGAACAGTTAATAACAATGATATCATATTCATAGTTATTTCAATGGAGAAGTTCCAATGGACTTTGAATACAGCTTTGGAGATGAGGTATGTAACATGTTACATGATCTACCTGATAAATGACTTGGGCCATGAGGTAAAATTGTGCATGATGCTGTAGGACTGGATCATTCAAAATTATTGTGCTTGATATTAAGTACAGATTACTTATTATAGTAGACTGTTTGGCCAAATTGTTAAAAGTGAGTGCACTCAACTGTAACCAACGGTCAAGATTAAAACCTCAGCCCAGTCAATTTTCTCTATTCTCGTGTAAAGCATTGCACCATAATATCCTCTCTATCCATTAGTATTTAGTAATACCCTAAAATTATCAAGGAACTTGATAAACTGCTATGGGGTGACCTATTATGGACTTGAATCTCGTACCCATATTTGCTTTATGCCAGAGAAACTGTGAAACTTTTGAAAAGTTGTGCAATCAGTCTTTTAGAATTTGCCTTTTCAATATTGATGGATTACATGTTATCCATTTTCATTGTTTTCAGTATGGCCCAAACCAATATGGTTTGGTGGTGTATGGGACAATAGGCCATACCCCTGAGCCAGCAGTGCACTATGTCAAGGAAACTCGCAGTGCTAAACAGATACTGCAATACCTAGATGATGTGAGGTCAGTTTTCCAACTCATTCATGTGCATAGAGAAATGATGAGGTTATGTGTTTGAATACTTTATCTAGAAATTTACTTTGGCAGAAATCTTAAATCTGTTTAATTTGCTTACCTATAAGAATACACAGCTGATCATTGGGACTTAATTGAGTGCTATCTGGAATGTAAGATCTAATACCATGTTTAAAAAAAGGCTGTTGTTAAGACAGTAGTTTCTACATTCTTCAAAATTTGATTGTTTTGATCCTTATTTTTCCAAAAGAGTTTTTCTCTGTGAAAAAAACAAAAAAACAAAAAACAAAAGAAAGCATTTGAAATGATGATGAGATTTTAGCTAAAGCTGTGATTAGTTTTCCTAATTTTCTGTGTTTTCAAAGAGAAAATGATTTAATTGTTGTGCAGCTTTTCATTTTCTGGATCTTAAGTTATTGTCATGAGTAAAAACTATAATGTCTTCTCTCTACCTGACCTTTGAAATGTTAGTTATTCATAAGTACCCACTGAAGTGGAGGTAAATATTCACCGCTTTCACAACCATCTAGGTGGAAGAATTCGGCATACATTCTAAAAAATATATTGTATTTCTCTGTATTATTAAATGGCTGGAAATAAAACTCCTGACACACAATTTTGTCTCTTCAGCTGATTGACAGTGAGTGGTACTAGCTGCTCACTTCCAATATAATAAATCAGCATGTGCAAAAAGCACTATTCACTTGTTTAATATACATCAATTATATTGTTTAAATCAATATAAGGTGCAAATAAGTATTGTTTGAAGACCTTAATTTTTATTACATGAATTAGCTTACTGCCCATTGTTAAAGGTTTTTTTTTTAATGCTCTGATCTATTATTCTTAAGATTTGAAGGTGGAGGTGGTGAAGAATGCAGTTTGCTGGCTGAGGCTTTGAGCATTGCTTTACAGGTATGTCAACTATTGACCTTAATAACCTGGTTTATGTCCTATAGTTCAAAATTAACTTTGGTTGTTGTAATTATTAACTTAAATTATCTGTAATATATCCTCCTAAACAAAAGGTGACACATACTGTTAGCAAACAAGCAAAAGTAGAATAAGGTCAATGTTGTTTTCTTGGGTGTTTCTTTGGTTGAATTTAATAAATTTTAACTTTTTCTTACTTTAAAAGTATTACTGCTAGGATCAAATTTTTATCCCATGAAATTATAGGGTATCTTTGAGACTTCATGAAAGATTAAAAATGGTCATTTCAATTTTTAAATAAGTTGTATATGCAAAGTGGATGACTGATGACTAACTCAACCCAGTTTTATATTAGGGGGGTAAGTTTCTGGTGTGTTAGAGTTCTGTGGATGAAACATGCTTCAAACATCAGGGCCCAGTTGTTCAAAGGCCAATTAGCACTAACCTGGGGTTAAATTTTTAATCCAGATTTCTTTATTTCTTTGTTCAAAAATCCTTTTTAAGGAAAAATCTTCCCTCTATTACTTTTAGGAAATCCAATGATGAAATTGCAGGCAAAAAGATTTGAACTGAACTTTCTCTTAAAGCTTTCAGACCTAAAATCAAATTTCACACTAGCCCTGGGTTATGTAGCTTTGAACAACCCAGGGTCAGCTCTAGGAACTCTTTATGGTGGCTAATCACATCATCAACTCAGTTCTCAGTTCTTGTTATTATGAGTAGAAATAACTGAATAGTTATCTCTGTCAATATACCACAAAGACTGTTGAAACTTGGTTAATCAGTAGTTCTGAACAAAGTGCACTTGCCTATGATAGCTTGATGTTCCCATGGTAACTCACACTTCTCCAGGCTCTTCTTACTAATTAATTTTTATTACTTTTCTGAGTTTGTATGTGCTAAAATAAAAAAGGTCCAGAAGTTGATCAAACACCATAATTGGCCTTTGAAATCATTAAGTAGAGGTATCATTTGCAAATACCAAACAGACTGCCAAAGAAGGTTAGAAAATCCTACTGTCCTAGAGAAGTCTTGAACAGGTTGGTTTCTGTGGCATCAAAATTGTCTAGCTCAAATTGTGGAACACATCCAGTAGAGTCCTATGGCAGAGAACCAAACATTTTTTATGTAAATCAGGTTTTCTATATATTTGACTGAAATTTGACATTATCACTTTGCCAACTTACCTATTTTGAGATGTTGAATATCTCCACAGCAAAAATAAATTTTCATTAACAGTAAACAACATTTTTCTTCTTGAACAAATGACTTGTTTAAGTAGGAAAGTTGCATTAGATTGAAGAGACTCAAATTGCATTAAAGTAGTACTTTTAAGGTGACACATTAAACTTGTACCATCAAGTAAAAATACAGGCACCAACAGAAACTTAAGTTTTAATTACCACTTTGTTTTTCAACAGATCTTTGATGAAAGGACACTCCAGAGAGGTCAACATAAGTGAGTATTCTCATGACTGGTGCTTTCATATTTAGACGAAGCTTTGCATAACATACCACCTACTTGGTTTGGGTACTGTGCAGTCAATTTCCAGCCTGACTTAAGGTGACTAGATGAAGAGGCAGAAGTAGTTACAGGAGATGGTCAGAGTTGTGTGAAGATAACCTACATCTGCTTCACACTTCCAAAATTATCATCAAACCTTTTATATTTTGTAGTTTTATTGAATATATGGAAGGTCAAGAGGAAATTACACGAATGATATGAGAAATGGGACCAGCCTGCTCCTGGAACAGACTACTTTCACTAAAGTCTATGTCTGTGTGCTTTATAACTTAAATAATTGTACATTTCTAGTAATGGCTCCTAAGGAAAAATTTAATTCCTTTTACCCTCAATGATTTGTACATTTAGGTTGCATTAGTATATATCTTGGTGTAGTGGTTATACTAAAAATGCAGTTGTAATGTTTATCATATAGAGGGATTGTACGAAAAAGCTGCATTGTGGTGAGTAACTCACCTCCCTTTGGACTGCCTAGTCGTGAATGTGCTGATGATTACTTGGATAAAACTGTGGAACAACTTGCTGAAGAAATGGGACAAAAGGTAAAAAAAAAACCTGCTTTGTACTTGTTTTGGAACAATCCACTATAAAGCATCGGGAGTATAAAAAAATTGTGAGAGTGGTCCTGTTCGGCAACTTTTCCAATGGAAATGTATGTTCATTCCATGTAAATTTCTGTGTGCCTTCCTTTTTCCACTAAATAATTGTAAGTTTCAAAGTAATGTTTCCAAAAATCTTAAAAAATGTTTTACAATGCGAAAAAAATGATAAGGTTGTTGGTAGATCATCTAAAATTTGGATACACCTTGGACTTCCAGGTTAGGAGAAATTGATTTTTTCACACAAGGTCTAGACATCTTAGGGAAAGACCACTACCTTTAACATGGGATAGTCATTATAAGGCTTGAATGATTAAAGAAAGGTGTTTAAACCTTTCTGTTTTTAATTAACTAACCAACCACTGTTATACATGTAGTTTGAATGTGGTTTTTCCAGTAATTTTCTCTTTCCTTTCAGTTACTGTCAGTAGCTATTCTTTGTCACCAAGGGTAGTATTCCATGCTGTCGCTTCTCACTGCTGTCCCCAAATATCTCTAATCTTTCCTCCATTTGTAGGCCTTCTGCCTTCCCACTTACCCTTCCAATGACAATTATAATTTTCTTCTCTCCTTACACAAGACAAGTCTTGCCTGTTGCATGTACATTTATGTTACTTACATGAATAATGATTACCATTTTTTTCTTTCGTATTTTCAGAAAGGAGTTCATCTTTCAATTATTGCCCCCAGAAAGATACCTGCACTTCAAAGAGTATTTGAAAGAGTAAGAAATTTAAAAGTGGTTTAACCCTTTACATCTTAATGTCAGATGCATATTCTCCATACTTTTCTTTTTATATTTCCTATGTTGATGACAAGGAGAATTTGTATAACAGTTAAGAGCATCTGTAGTTAGGGATCAATTCCTCTATTTTCATTCATGACTTTATTGTGTGACTCAAGGGTAGTAAGGGTATTGTAAGAAGATATAGGATGAAAATATCTCTTAAGGGTTAGAGGGTTAAAGTCACCTGTCATCCATGTAGGTGTCTGTTCATCGCTTGTTATCTGATTGACTAATGGAAGTTTGTCAGCTGATTATTAGCAGGGAGGTATTGGCTAGCTATTGGCCAACAGTTGGCTGATTGGTCACCAGTAGGTGGTGATGTATCAGGAATGTGTTGTTAAGTTGTTGTAGGATAGCTGGTCCTCGCTTCAAGCACAGTTTTGGAAAGAAATACTGAATATAATTCCACATGTGGTATTAAATGCTTATTATAATTAATTTTGTTACATTAGATATCCTGTTTTCAATAGTGATATTTTTTTCTGATTGCAGTCTCTGACAGTTGATAGTAAGAGTGTGCTTTCAAAAGATTACTCCAAAGACCCTAACCATCTAGTATGCATTCAGGGCCTTGATTTGCCAGGTTTGTTTGATTTAATTATTTCATTATTACTATGATTTTCCACTGAGAAGTAGGGCACATCTCTGCTTTTATGGTGTCTGTTAAGTTGCTTTTGATGGAGCTTTTGTAGACTTTCCAATTTTTCATTTGTTTCAATCTGCTGGTCAGACTGTTTTGTCTGTGATGGAGTGTTTCCCCTCCAAGAACTCACAGAACTGGTTCTAGCCAAATTGGTCCTTTCCTTCTTAAGTTTTCATGCTTTTGTACAGACTCATTTTGAACTTTGGCAGCTCTTTTACATATTGTAATTTGTGTATAATTGAGTTTGATTGCTTGTTTTCATTTTGTTCAAAACCAGTCACCTGTAACAATGATTCACAAGCTGAAACAGTAAAGAATAGTGCATTTATGGTTGAAACCAATCTGAAGCCTGTGCCAACACCATCACAGATGATTAACAATGGTATGCATGTGCTCATCTAAATTGTCGATATTTTGTATAGGAAGCAGTTTTAAAATTCTCAGGAGAAGTCTCTTTGGTGTTAGATTTATCCTTTAATTTACCATCAGTATGAAATGGTTGATGCCATCGTTGTGTCTAGTGTGTAAAGTTTCAAGCATATCTTTTCTTTTAAATGGTACAGATTGGTATGATAATTGAACTGTACTTCTTCTCTAAATCAAGGAAAAAGTGAACCACCAAATGTATGAAAGACTTTTAATTTTAAACTTGTCCATTGACCAATGCTCACATTCTACTTATGCTGTGGCTTGCTTACAATGTAGTTGACTTTGACCCTGTCTGTGCCCCCAATAACAGCTTTGTTCTATGATTATTAAATCTCAAAAGCTTTGGAATGTGTTAATAATGATAATTGATTAATATCTGATGAAATGATAATTGACAACTATTATTTATTATTACTTCCTCAAGGGAAAGAAAGTCCAGAGAAATCCATAAAAACCAAAAAAATTTTACAGCGACAACTTTCTGAAGTTAAAATTCAGCAGCCAACAACAGATAGCAATTTATCAGTGAGTATGTCTCTCAGGAACTGAAACAAATCAGTAAACCACAAATCAAACCAAAATGGAAAAAAAAAACTTTAAATAAATACATGTATTGCTGAAATTGAAACATAATTTGAACTGGGAACAGCATTTGTACTTTGAGTATTGTACAAACTTACCTTTGTACCTTCACCCCAAGTGAGATTATTGCCTGTGTTTTTTTCCTCAGATGCCAACAGTAAATATGTTGGATTCTGCAGCATCTTCCCTTTCAAGCTCATCAGCAGCACAACAAGCCAAAAAAATCTTGGAAATAGCCAAACGACAACAAAGTCGTAAGTTCATCATTGGTAATGTGCAAAAATCCCTCCATAAGATTCCCATTATTGAATGCATGGCCCCCATTAGGCTATTTAGGTTTATTCAGATGGATTAATAGTGTCCAAATTTTACATTATACTATTGTGCTGAAAATTTTTTAACAAAATTCCATCAGCTGGCAAAAAATATTAAAAAATTATACCTCTGAAGTGATGAATTTTTTTCTCAATTTTGGAAAATACTTGTCACATCCTTCTGTATTTGAACTACAGAAAGAATTGTCTTGTGTTGGATAATCCATCCACCATGATGCCTTAATTGCCAGAGGCAAATTCAGTGAAACAACTCTCTTGAATCTCCCTACTTATTAATCTCATCAGCAATTGATTAGGGTAGAGAAGGTGTTTGATGTCTGTAATTAATAAGGCTGGAAATTCCCAGCAGCCCCTGTGATGCAATACAATGGCCTGAGACTAACTTCAAAGGGATATCCTTGTAACAACCTAGCAGTCTACACCTCTGGACACTCTCTTCCATCACATTTAATTATTTTATTTAGTGACATCTCACAGCTGTTCATAATTCACCCATTTCCTCGATTACACAATTCACAGCTCAAGGATGCGGTATCCCCAACTATACATACATTGTACATGGTGCTGTTTACTTCTGATACAATTATGTCTGAATTTAAATTTGTTAATGCTATTGACCATCATATGTACCTTGTACATTACTTTAATCTTTGTGTGGAATGGATTCCTGTTTTTTTAAAGAAGGGTCATCTTCATGTGCAATGTCACTATAGTGGAATCATTATTATACATAATTTTAAAAAAAATGTTGTTTTCACTATAGAACCCAACCCAACTCCTAACAGTGGACAGCCAGCTAATAAAATGGCAGATGGGATGAAAGTCCCACCAGGAAATTGGGCACCAAATCCCACCCCATCCCCCAGACCAACCCCTACTCCTGTACCTGCAACCCAAGAAAACCAAGTTGCTCAGAGAGCTCTAGTCTGGACAGGGAATTTGGAATGGCAGGATACAGTAAGTGTCACATAGAGGCAGTTTGATTGACTGATTCAGTTTTTTCTGAATAAAGCATTTACCTGAGTCATCTTCTTATATTTGGGACAATGACAGCTCAGAACCATTAACTAAGTTGTTCATTTTCTCTTTGTTTCAAGCAATCAGGCTCTTGATTTTACGAAATAACTCAGCAAATTTTTAGCAATAAGTACCTTACTGAAATCCAGAAACTGCATGAAAATGTTAACAGCAGCATCCATTATTTGATTAGATTCGTGACCCAGCTGGCCCCCAGCAGAAAATAACTAGATCTTTGGCATGTCATGCATCTGTTGTTCCAGGAGACACCATGTAAGTATTAATCCATACAACCACAACAATATTTTAGCTGCAAGTGAAGGATGTGGGGTATTTTAAATCTTTTCTACAGATTTCAGCTACAAAGGAGCATTAGATAAGGAACAACTGCCAACAGTTACTCCCCATTCCCTCTTTAGTCTAATTTTTTTCATGAAATAAACTAGTTTTTTTTTAAAAATGCGATGTAACTGTCAGTTTATGATTAGCCAAAGTCCTTGATGTTGAGATCTTATGCAACAAAGCTTGTTTTTTGTGAGATGACATGTTTTTCTCTACTTTTATTAATGATGGCTCTTGACTTATGAGTGCAAGGAAACATGTCTTAGAAATAGGATTTCTTGCATACCAAGTACTCTAGGCCACAATATTTCAACAAGCGTAAAGATTTTTTAACCTGTTTCCAGCTGGAGATAGATATTAATTATTGTGAGTACTCTGCTGAGATTCACAAACACTGAACTCCAAAATAATTATTCTGCTATTGTTCGTCATTTGTCTCTTTATTTATTTTGGTTTTTTTGTTCATACAGTAAAGCTAACAACTGGCCACCAAAGCTGATCATGCAGCTCATTCCTCAAAACCTACTGGTAAGGTTGAACTGGACATGCCAGACTCAGTTATGATTTATTCTTGTGTTGTCACTTGCATGAAATTAACATGTTATGTTTGAGGAGTTTCTCTGAGATTCATTTTTTGAGGAAAAACTGAAATAGATAATTACTGATAAAAGAAGGCTTTGTTTACTTTTCATTTGTGCTTGTCTGACCAAAAAGCAGCAGTAACAAAATCTCTTGTTTTGTCATTTTGCAGTCAACCTTAGGACCACTCCTGCAGAATTCCAAGACAGTGGCTTTCCATTTTGCACCAAATGATCAAGAATCCTTGAAAGCACTTTACAGGGTCATGGCTTCCCATGGCATCAAGTTTGTAAGTGTCTGTGCCTTACCAGTGCAGTGCTCTACCAACTGAGCTTACAAGCCAACTGGCAGCTGGTCTCTATGTTGTTTTGTAATAAACCCCTGAAGTGATGAATCAATGACTGTCAAAATATGAAAATCATGTATGTGAACTGCAGATTAAGAAATAAATACGACAGTGATCTTCGCTGTAATGAACACTACATAAGCGGTAGTGACAGTAAAGCCTAAAAAAATGAAGAGAACAGAGACTAGAACAGAGTATGACAAACTGCACAAGAGGATGAGAAAGTTTTTGAACATCCATATGAAGACCCTTGATAGATGGATAGGTTTGAAACATCATGAGTTCAGAGTATTTTAATAGTAAGAATCATGTTTTATCTATTCCAGGCTGGCTGTGTGCACTTTCCCCCTGTTCCACAATGTGATGTCAAAGTCCTTCTGTTAATTTTCAGTCCAAAAAAGCGTGCCTTTGTTGGTTTAATTCCTGTTGAGCAGGTATGTAAACATGGTAATTAGCAACAGTTTTTTATGTCTAGATAGGTATTGTGTATAGATCTTTCCGTACCTTATTTCACAAATTTGGATTCTGTCTTAACTGTCAAAATTCATATCATCTATCAGATAAATCATCTATCAGATAAACACCATCAGATGGGAATATGTTGTACTACCTGTGTGTTTGCTAATTATGTGCAACTGGAATAATTTTCTTTTTTCTTTTCATTTCAGAACACACTTTTCTTTACTTGATAAACTACATTATTTAGTTTTCTTCCAAAGTTATACATGACCCATTTCAGTCAAACTGAGAAAATCTGAATGTTTGAACATTCTTGTATTGTGACCAATCATGTTGGTGGTCAGGACACAGAAACAACCCCAAAAAACTACAAGCTTTAATGTTTATTCACGCCTCATGGACCTTTTTTCATTTGCACTAGACTTTCCAAAATTTCTGGTTTTCATGGGTTTTTGAGTCTTACAATAATGTACATGTGTATCTAATATCATTATGAACATATTAATGGTTATTATGCAGCCACGCACTTGACATTATTAAATTCTTTTATTTTCCAAAGGCAAACTTTGTTGATGGAATACGAGTAAGTATGAAACTTTAAACTCTTAATGTTGAGAGCTCTTTGAACTCTTTGAGGTCTTATTGAGTATTGTCTGATGTGTGATTTCTGTTTCAGACTGTGGTTCAAAAGTACAAAACAGATCAAGTCGCAAGGGTATGTGTATAATATGATGGGTATGATGCTCTGCTTCACATGCTGCGAGCTCAGCTATTAACATGTGATGTTACGTAATAAGAGACATATTCAGAATAAAACATTCCTTTGTCCATGTGGATTGTTTAATAGCTTAACAGTTTCTGAGTAGCATGTACACATGTAGCAGGCAAGAGCCATTAATAATTATTGTTAACAAAGAAACTAGGATTGGAAAATTAATTGTTGTGAAATTTGTCAGTGATTATTGGCCAAGGAAATTTTGTTTTTCAGGGAAAAGTCAGGGACGGGTCAGGGAATTTCAAAATCCTATGACAATTGCCCCATGTTTTTTTTTTTTTTAATTCTACTGAGTAAGTGTCCACAAACTGTTCTGACTAGTGTGCTTTGGACTCCAGATTACAATTCAGCGGCAGCGATTTTTGCTTCAACAACAGCAACAGTTGAGGCAGCAACAACAACAGCAACAACAACAACAACAACAACAACAACAACAACAGCAACAGCAACCTCAACCACAACAGCAGACTCCACAGCAGGCAGGCTTTGCTGCTCCTGGGATACCTCAGGGGCAGGTATGATGAGCATGTAATTTGTCTCTTGTTGATGCAGAGTTACTTCTCTAACACTAAGTGGAGGGCAAAGGAAATTGTTGCAGGATTCAGAATGTTGGGGAAATAACAAAGGGATTCCATCTGTCTTTGATTTTGTTTGAACTGTTTCTGTGCTGGTTATTTCGCCAGATTTTGTTGGGTTTTTCTTCATTATCTGTTCATTATACATTATTACACCATTCATTGCAAAATTTGTATCATAAAAGAACATGAAAGTTTTGGAGAATGTAATTGGACAGAAGATGTGGGCTGATTAAATTGGCTACTTTGGACTTAAGTGAGAAACATCTACAAACCATCAGAAAGGTTGCCAGACCACTGAGGGAGAAACTTCAACTGACTTTATCAAAAGTCTCGAACGTCCTATTATTTTTACCCAATCTTTCATGGATTAATGCTACTACAGTTCTTTGTTTCTTTCCTTGATTTAGACTTCAAGAAAATTCCCCATTAGTTCAGAATAAGTTGTTACTCTTTTATTTTTTCAATAGGCTAACTTGGCCTCATTAAATGCTCTTGGAAAAACCCATACTGTAATTTCGGTTTTACGTACCTGTAATTAAAAAACGAACTCGGTGACCCCTACTTATTCTTGGGTTTCCACTGTATTTCTTTTTATTTCCTAATTTTTTTTTCTTTGTGTTTCCTGAAAACAATTCTGATGTAGGCTTGGAACCAACTTAACGTTTTAAATGTGGCCTTTTACGCACTCTGCGAAATTTTTAATCTCTGCAGGAAAATAAGACTTCAGATACGGACACTCGGTACTAAACAGACACAAACCTAAGTTCCAGAGTTTTCCTTTCAGTTTTCTGTTAAATTTTCTGTGCTTGTGTTGGGTGGACACCTCACCTGACCAGAACGAACCATTATCTTTTGACATATGAAACCTTTGTTGCGCAGATAGCTTAGTATGAAGTGTGAGTTTTGTCTTTCTCCTTTTACAGTCTAAGAGCAATTTTCCCCGTTTGAATATTCATTTCCTGTCGCTCTATCTGTACACGAAAAGCCCATATTTGAGAGTCAATTGCACACTGTTTATGCTTGGTTTAGCATATGACTGTTTGTAATCTACCAAGCGTTTATTAAGCAGATATTTTGTGTAGGTGTACGCAAGTTTGAATAGCAGGGCTGTCCTCGTTGTAAAAGTCACTTTGCTGTCAGTCATTCTTTAATGCTTGAATTTGCCCTTATTCAGTTTCCACAACAACAGTCTCAAGTTTCCCAGCAACCTTTGCTGAATCCTGTTGGGAACACATTGATAACAAGTACAACTGCGGGTTTAGGTCAAAACCCAGAAGGATTGGCGACTAGTACTCAGACTTCTGTGGCGCCCAATATAGGGCTGTCATTTAGTGGTGTGGGCACAGGGACCCACAACATGCCTGTACCGATGGATCAACAAGACAATCCTGCTGTAAGTACAAACTGTACTGCATTAGAAGCATTGACGGTTACAATAGATCTTACTCAATTTAGTTAATTTCTGAAGATATATTGAATTGATCTGTTGTACTTAACTTTACACATCTAGGAACCTTTAAGGTGATAATTGTGTTTTTAACTTTTTAAGAAGGCGGCATTGGCTTTCTTTGAGGAGGCTTGTATCCCCATGGGCTGTCGAAAAGTGTTTACCGATCGTAGAGTTTTTATGTTCAGCAATACGTTGATGAGGGTGTCGAGCTGTCAAGCCGACGTAATCTGAAAAACAATGATCCACCGAGCTTATGCTCTTTCCTCAATGACTGAAGCCTTCGATCAAGAATGCACTAGACTACGTTCCATCTTTACCCCACCTGATTATCCCTTGGCAATGATTAATTCTTCCATTACCAAAACCATTCAGAGCTTTTCATTTGGTATGAGAGAGAAAACATGGAAGACAGCAGCGTTGTGAGAGTGAGTTTGCCCTTCAAAGATGAAACATCAGCTATCGCAGCTAAAAGACAAATGCGTGATCTCAGTCAAGGTTGTCACTACACTACAACCTGTGTTTATCAGCGCAAAATTGTAAGAAGACCTCAAGCCCAGAGAAATCAACCCTACAATCGTAAATCAACAATGCGTTGTTTACTCTTTTGCATGTGATCTGTGTGATTCAGATTACGTCGGCTTTACAGCTCGACACCTTCATCAACGTATTGTTGAACATAAAAACTCTGCGATCGGTAAACACTTTTCGACTGCCCACGGGGATACAAACCTCCTCAAAGAAAGCCATTTATGCATTCTAAAAAAGTGCCAAGGAAAATTTGACTGTCTTGTCTATGAGATCCTTTTCATCGAGCAGCGCAATCCTTGTCTCAACGCGCAGACTGATTCCATTCGCGAAAAACTCTTTGTTTTAAAGAATATTCCATTACCTATTGTCTTTTTAGTATTTACACATTTTTTTTTTATCTTTCACTCTTTGACTTGATAATGACGTCAGTCAAACGTCGAAACGACCTCAACATATTTTTAATATGCCTTTACGAAATGTTTTGCCGCAATTTTTTATCGTTAAATGTTTTAAAACACCGCTTCTTTTCCGTATAATTATGTTTTTATATTTCATCAAATGAAAGTAAGCATGCGATTTTTGTTGTGCAGTGAAGATCTATTCACCCCAGTTCTCCACGCCTCCTTTTCCCCCCTCCCCCTTGCCTGTCTCTTCCTCGACTTAACTTGCATGACGCACTTTGGAAACTTCAATCTGTTTACTTTGCCTCATTTCATACAGACGTTTCCACTTTAGCATGGTAATCAACCTTGTTTTTAGGTGGAAATGTAATGAGTGCATTTTGATTGGTTACTTATGTGTTTTACTTCAGCTATTGCAGACTCTCAAACTGTTACAACAACAGCAACAGCAACTGCAACAACAGTCGCAGCAACAACAGCAGCAGCAACTGCAACAACAGTCGCAGCAACTTACGCCTCAACAACAACAACTGTTACTGCGAAGGCAGCAACTTCAACAGGTAAGCTTTGCTTGTATGCTCTTCAACTGGTCAAGCACGGTTTCAATGATTCCTACCATCAAAAGCCAGAAACAAAATAAACGAACGAGTTGATTAGTGAATGTGATCGAAGTTTCTGTGGGCATTTGGTTGCTTGGTTTTTTAGTCACTGAATATACTCACAGAAATCGTGTTCTATTATTGTCAGGCGGTACCCTAAGAGGATACGATAGGGGATGTATATAGTCCTTTGCGTTTGCAAAATTAAGTGATTTACGTTATGCGTGAAAATTGTACAATTCTTCGCCTACGGGTGTACGCATTGCGGACCTCCTCTCTTCTTTGCATCCGTATTCTCCATACTGGGAAATTTGTACATTTCCCAAGGTGCTGACAAGGACACTTTGTTTAACAATCAAGAATTTCTTTCGTTGGTGATCATTTCCTTTATTCCAATATTATAAGGATAATTTATATGCTAGCCTCTTAGGGGTCCAAAGTGTTAAGAAGGGGCAGGAGTACAAAAGCTGGTTTGGATCAAAATTAGGAAGATTTTTTGGATAATTATCGTGTGGATTGTTGATGACAGGACAGTTTTGTCGGGGCTTGTTTCTACCGTGGAGTAGTATACTAGTTTAGGCTGATGGCACGTGACTTTTTTTGAATAGTTGCAGCAGCAGCAACAACAACAACAACAACAACAACAACAACAACAACAACAGCAACAACAACAACAGCAACAACAGCAGCAGACCTTTCCAACACAGGATAACCAGGTGCAACAGATGCAAACAAGTCAAGGAATACCGTCACAGCTTCGGCACCTCTTACAGTCACAGGCAAACCAAGCTTCAGCCCAGCAACAAGGGCTAGCGAGTTCGCAGCCTGGAATAACCCAGCAGCAATGGCAGCTACTACAGCTTCAGCAGCAACGATCACAACCAGCTGTACAGATGCCACTTGGTCAGGTGTGTAATCAAATACTCGATACAATTAATGTGTGCATAAGGAAAACTTTTGGTGAAACTTTGAAACAGCCGAGTTCCCCAACTGTTGGTCGTTTGTCGACCAAACGTCTGTGGGTAAAAAACGCCGCATTTTGTTGTTATAGAAACGAACAACGTTTCCATCTGTTGTTGCTGAGGAACAACACTATTAGAGTCGTTACTCAAACATATTTAAATTCTGACCACATGATTGATTTCTGTGCAGTCAGTCCTCATGATTTTGATAGAAACCAACACCGCTTTAGTGATGACGTTTCTCTAGTTTACGAAACGTCTGTGAGTACAAAACGAGTACATACCAAACAAACAACGCATCATTTTGTCGTTAGAAACGAACAACGCTTTGAGAGTCGTTACTCGAACATATTTCTTTTCTGATCGTCATGTTCATGGTGTTGTTGATGATGGGACAGTGCGAGTTGCTGGGAGGTGACTCGCAAAGGATATTCTGAGTTTGATTAGCTAGTGAGAGTGCCCCATTAGCGCTATCCCCTGTTTTTGTACATTCGGATATTCAACAGCTGGTGATGTGTCGGTGATGCCAAAACACTTACCTTAAAAGCTGTTTCGCACATATTGCTTAAAACTGCTCTAGAAATATTTGGTCTTAGAATAAGATTGAAAACTCTTGGTGGCCGTTTCAATTTGTAACTTGTCGATAGTCTGTCGGTAAGCCGTCAGTGGAAAGTTGACCAATTTGCGTTGGAAATCACTTGTTCTCTAGATTCCCGTGTCCAATTATACGTTCTTCATTTCAATCGATCGAATCGATACATACTCGACCGATAAACGATATTATCAGACAACTACAAGCGCCAAATCGGCCGCTTTATTCAAACGAAAAGGCTAAAAGGTTGTAAACTATTTTGGCTGAAGATAATTTGGTTTCATCAACTGAGTTCACGATGTAAATTGGCCACCGTTAGGACTTTCTAAGCTGCGGTTTGAAGCGTTAGCCCATCGTTAGAGCGAAGGCCAATGCTCACAACATCAGCTTATAAAATCCCTTCCGGTGAATTATCTTTTTATAATCCGTATAAATTGTCTTTTTATACACCCCCCCAGTTTCGTTATTACTCTCCTTATTTATCCCAGTCATTCTACGTGGATGTCAAATTTTTAAATTGGATGAATGGAATTCATACAGAGACAATCACTTCGGTGTGAACGACAATAAATAAATCCTTTATGTCTTTATTAGGTGCAGATGACTCAGGCGCAAATGGTTCAGACCCCCATGTCTCAAGGTCAGGTGTCACAGGCTCAGTTGCAAGTTCACCAACAGCAGCAGTTGGCGCAGTCGCAGTCTAATTATCTTCCTGATAACATAAGCTTTATCGACATGATGCGGCAATGAGTTTAGAGTTGGGAAAAATTAAGCTGTTGGAATGTTGATGAATCTAACGTATGGGTTTTAATTGCATAGAACTCGTTATCCATAATTCAATAGCTAACTTTGTGTTGTTTATTTATGTTGGCATTATTCTGTGTGCCATTATTTGTAAAGGACTTCAGTAACATAACATGTAAAATGGAAAAACTGTGGTACTAGTAGCAGATTACGAATTTCCACGATTAACTCTAAAGGCTGTTAGATGCCACAAGTCGTAGGCTAACCTATATCATCTGCTAAGCACATAACCGCAAGTCATATGCTAACCACAAGTCATTTGCATCAATCGCATGACTAATGTTCAAAAATTTGTCACATTGGATGAACAAATTATCGAGTAATGATAAATTATTAACTAAGGTTGCGATAGGTCGGGTTACCTATTTGTTAATGTTGAAGGAGTACGTGTATATGATGAAGTGTTCAGCCTAAAGGTCACCAATCATCACTAATACATGTACACTGACTGGTCATTACGAAGTGGTTACCTTACTTAGTAGACTCGATCCTTTGTTAATGTAGGATGTAATGTATTTCCGGACCAATTAAAGGCTTAAAGGAAAAAGCTAGAGTTAGTCACCCCGGCAGAGGCCGTAATCAAATAGTTAAAGCTGAGGTATGCTGCGGAAACCATGTATTTCTCTATCTATGCCATTGGTAAGTGAGCATAAAAAAAGTTTCTTATCACGTTTTGAAATTCTAAGAATGATATAACCTTACCCTAAAAGAACTGAAAGAGTTATTGGTGATTGGAACGGTCCTTTGGGCATTGATTATTGAAAAAATAGTGTATGATCTACCAAACCTCTTACAGTAATGAGTTCTTTTTAAGACGCAACTGAGCGTCGAATTTCGTTTAACAGAAAGACTTAATGTGATCGTATCTGTCTAGTTAGAGGTAGCAAGTAGGAACAAACCGGTAGAACTCCTGTCACAGGCAGGTGTGAGGACTCATCTGTGATCTATAATAGAAGGCATTTACACCATTACAAATTGAAAGGTATTTCCCTATTGATAGTAACTCTGTAAAATTGCTGCTAGTGACCAGCTCTCGGTTGACTTCTTTGAAAATTTAATTTGCTTGGTCTGGAAAAATCGCGCAAACATTTTCAAAACTTTGCACCAGGTTGGGCACGAAGCATTATCTTGTTACATGCCAAATGGGCGTGAGTGTAGTGGATATCACGTTACAACCAATATTATTAAATTATTATTAAAGTGCCATTCTGACTCGTGGCCCCTCGGGAGAAGAACTCATAAATAAACTAAGATGTTTTTGTTTATATTTTGCTCCCGCCTGAAACAGGCACTCGGTTGATACATGTGATCTTGTCACTTGATTTTAAATAAAAATGTGTTCGCCCCAGCGCCGTTTCTAATCCTGTTTGTAAGTACTGTATGAATGTAAAATTGACCCCGGAAAGCATAGTAAATTTACCATCTTCATGTACATTATCTCTACACATAAGGATCTTTTAGAGGTAGAGCGTCCAAAGCACTAATCGAAATGTCTTTAAGTTCGAATCCTATTGAGAGCACTCGCAGTCTTTTTTTTCTCGGAATATGCCTTTATCATGCACTGAGTAACACTGATCTTCCTATCTTAATTCACGACTCGTACATAGGAGTGGGTGTGCAGCCCGAACTAGGAGCCCGAGCGTTTAATGCCGTCCGACAAAGGTACAGAGAATAGTAAACAACTAGTTACAACTGAATCACCTCTCGAGCTCAAAAAAAATTTTGTTGGCCGCCGCGTGATACGAAAACCCAAAAACCCAGTGGGGAAAATGGGAACGTATTCTCCATCTAAATGCAGGCGCTCCAAGCTCTGCGGGTTAGAGGTAAAACAAGCTAAATTACATACAAGAAAAAATTTTAACGTAAAGCTTAAAAAGTTAGAGAGCTGAGACGAACACATTACAAATATCAAACCTTACCTACGCTCTACAACAAAAGACGCAATTAACGCCATAGCGGCTCACATGCTTACATACCGACGGGATAATATTTACATTCTTTGTCACTGGCACTTACAGTTTAGTTCCACCGAATGTAAATACATTTGCTACCTTAATTCACGACTCGTACACAAAGAAGTTTGTGTGAAGCTCGAACTAGGAGCTGCTGAGAATACAAAGAACGAGAATTAGAGGCCCAAGGAAATAGAAACCGCTGAACGGCTTTCTAGCGAGTCCGCAACATAACCATCTTCAGCGTTTTCCGAACGCCATCTACCTTTTCTCTTAAAGATTTTATCGCCCTAAGCAGCAGAAGACGCGCCACCACTTCTAAAGCTGTTCCAGGAAAAGGATTTAGGATCTAGGACTACGTCAACTAACTTTTTTTGACAAAACTTCACAACATCTGGTGTATGAAATCTTGGAGCCGACTTGGACAAACTGGGTCCGGATTTAGTTATCATATTCTCAACCAGGAAGTCATCGCCATCATTAAGAGATGCAAGGAGAACGAGCTTGACTTGGGACAAGTATTTGACGAGGTTAGCCCGAGGACAAAGGCCGGTACTGGTTTGAACGATTGGTACAACGGTACCCTTACGATACTGGTCGGTCTTGCGGCTTTCAATAAATAGCAAAAAATAAATATGTAGGGTGTGCAGTTACATCCATGAGCCTTAGGTTTGAAAGCTCATCAAACCTCAAGAACCTTGCGTAAGCGAGGAGTGCCATGGTCATACATCTCGTATCGACCAAAGAGCCATCCAGGCTCTGGAGGAAATTGAAGAGAATTTCTGTAGTCATCGGCAACTTCTTGGACTTCCGATGCGACAATATCCGTAGGGCAGATTCCATAACTTTTTGTGGAAGAGTGTGGTTCGTTGATGACTGGAAACCAGCAAGGTCATGTGCCGGAGAAGTAGAAGCTTAAAAGATGCTGAGTAAATACAAGGCCACGTAAACCGGGGTTGCTGGCAAGAAGCTGATCTCAGGGAATCTAGAGGCCCAAGAACGCCATTGTCTAAAACCGCTAAGATACGAGGCTGTTGAATTATCTGCTCTGGAGCCAAGGACCACATCGGGTTACTAGTTCGCCAAAAGACGAAAAGGACGATTTTGAACGTGGGTAAGCTCGGACCACATGGGACCGGAAAAAAACGTCTAGGAAGACACAAAACGGAGAGAAAGGGAACTGTCACCAGAAAATTGGGTGGGAGCCCACAGAAATGGGATATACTGAAAACGATCCTGCGGATCAAGACCAAGTCAAAGCCGGTAAGAAAAGTACGAACTACGCAACACGTGCGGACAACGAGGTACGCAGTGGCCAACGAAAGTAAAGTCCCACATGGACATCCAAACAACAAAACGGGTACGGGGATTACAAACATTAACGGCCGCTTTAGCATAAATAACTCCACTAAACGAAAGAGACACAGCCACCGAGGCACACAAAAATGACAGGACTACAGACTTACGCCGCCGTCAATGCACACACAGGTCATTGAGACTAGAAGCATACTCAGCCACCGAGGCAATCACTAGTCACTGAGACTAGAAGCATACATGGCTAACGAGGTAAGGAGTAGTCACCGAAACTACAAACACACTGATGTTTTCCCGGTGGAAATTCCTGCAATGTCAGTGAAAGTAATAATACCCTCGACAAGGGAATGGTAAGAAGACTGAAACCCAAGGAACATAGGCCAGAACGGGGACGAAACCCATTCGGGTACGACAAAAGTACCTGCAGCTTTTCAATGCGCAAGATGCCTAATAACCTGAGGAATCAAGGACACTGCGGGCACTAGCCAATTATTCTCCCCAACCCAGTGTAGTAAAAGGCATTGACTCCTTCGCAACCAGGGTTCCAATAGTGCAAATAGAACTTTGTAAGCTTAAAGTTGTGGGAATTAGCAAACCGATCAACAGAATGGGGGCTCCAGATACCACCCACGTGAGTGAAAAAATGTAAGGAAACTCCCCATTCATTGCAATCTATGAACTTGCTGATGGCATCTGCGTGCTCGTTAAGGGATCTAGGTACTCAGCGTAGTAATAGTGGTTACTCTGGTCCTAAACCAAACACAGAGCTGTATTATGTACTATGTGACACGTGATGATTTTAGATATATGAAATTCATATATTTGCACTGCGGTGAAGAGATGAAATTAAGAGATTCTCGCAGCTTAGAACACTAGTAAAACGAATAGTTGAAAATAGGACCTGAAAAAAAATTTGAAAGCCTGACTTGTTATAAGCCTCGTGGTTTCTTTCAGGTTTTCTCGCCATTTATTTTCTGTCATCAATTTTCTTCATTTTTTTTTCTCCATCTGTAAATGTTTTAAATGGCAAAATAAATATTGTATTGTATTGTAATGTGCTCATTATGTGTACCTATATGACATCATTGGTGTAATATACTCATGATGTGTACCTGAAATCTTGTACCTGTAAATATCACGCATGACCGGTCGACCTCATCGCCTGAAAACTAGCAGTATGCAGTCCAAACGTCGCGATCTACATAACACGTGACTACATCGTGTTCATTATGTGTATCTATATGACATCATAGGTGTAATGTACTCATGACGTAATGTTAATGTGCTCACTATGTGCACCTATATGACATCATTGGTGTAATATACTCATGACGTGTATGACATTACTAGATGAAAGTTACATGCACAACAACTACCTACACGGGTGGTCGATCACATGAGTGTCTAGGAGTGACATTTTCATCCATTTGGGAGTCTTTTTTAGATAAGGCGCAAGTCCATGTAAATTTGTGTGGTGGGCAATTGTGGGCATGTGGCTATAAGAAGACTTGAATAGTAAAGATATTGCAGAGTAAAATGCCGTTCGTACACTATTAACATGATTTTAGGTGTTCATGTAACCATTGTAATTCGTGCAAGAGAAGAAAAGAAATCGAAGAAGAAGCAAGATGGCGGACGAGGATACGACATCTATGGAAAGACTGCATGCCAAACCCTATAGAGAAAGTCAGAGTAAAGTTGGAACATTTACAAATTGCAGACTAAGTGTCTTTGGTGGAATGGCGATATCTTACCGAGGTGGAGAGACACCACAGGGTGGAGAAAAGAAGCAGCAAAAACTACACCAGAAATATTTATTGAAGACTACAGGAGCATGGATACATCTTAGACATTCATACGTGATCAAAAGAGTGGATGAATTGCGTGCACATCAACGTAGGGAAGAAATAGGGAAGAAAAAGGAAAGAGTGTAAAAAGTTATTGCCAATACGATGGAAACACTACCGTGAGTCAAACCCCCAAAAGTCAGATTTTTTTTTACCTATCCACAAACCCGACACATCTACAGACCCCAGTCTGATGAAGAACTTAAAAACAAGCTGCAGAGGATTCATCATAAACTCCAACTTCTCTCAAATCACTACAACCCCAAAAGAAATGGTCGAATATCGACGACAGAGACAAGAAAATTATAAAAGAACTCAAAGAGAAGAACTACGTATGCCTCCCCAGCGATAAAGGCACTGAGTTCTGCGTCATATAACAAGACACATACACACATGCCTTGATCACCTCAGTTACGCCAACACCTACCAAAAAGTGCCCGGCATGGCAGCCATGACAGGCGAAAATAAAGTTAACACAGCCTGGAAGAAGATCTGCCTGCAAAACAAAATCCCTTCCTTTGTCCAAAAAAGCTTCTTTGCGTCAAACACGTCTACCACCTCATAAAGACCCACAAAGCAGGCCCCGATATTAAAATACGACCTATCGTATCCAACATCAATGGACCCAAAGCACTTCATGGCTTCTTGCCAACGCCCTTAAACTGATGCTAAAAAATGTCCCAGACCATTAAGAAAACAGTCTCGAGCTCATTAGATGTATCCAAGCCGGCGATCTCACCACAGACAAAGCGTTACCATATCCATGCTTCTTGGCCAGGGATACCAGATATGCGTTGAAACGTTCCGAACCCTCACGCACTTCCTCCACATCAAAATTACTGAATTGGAAGGCGTGAGTAAATTCGTTGGACTGTATATTAAAATGCACATGGTGATGTGCTTCTGCATCGCGAAGTGCGTCGCGCATCGACCTATTGACAAACAAAAATTGAATCGCATTCATATCTGTTGTAACTCCCTAAGGAAACATCTTAGTCAAGTAAGTGAGTATTTAATTCTCTCTCGGTTTCTGCTCGGTACAATCTCGGTTTCACTCGGTTCTCTCTCGGTTTTCGCTTGTTTCACTCTGGTGTTCGCTCGGTTCAATCTTGGTTTTCGCTCGGTTCTCTCTTGGTTTTTTGTGTTCCTTGTACAAATGATCCTTTTTTCATTCATAAATATTCTATGTCACACAGCGTTACATGATTCAATGATTCATGTCTTACCTTTCCAAAGCTGAGGTGACTTCAAATCCCAAGTCCTCCCCCGCATGTGGGGCGTGCAGTTATTTAAGCGCAACAGAGTATCTTTTCTTTTGAAGAATATTCTTCCATGTACATGGGAATCCTTGTGGGGTAAACTGTAATTCAAATAACGGAGCCATCGTTTCTTCTTCTTCTTTTACGGCTTCAATGGCTTATGCAATCATTATCATTTCTTCGTCCGTAACATGAAAACATTTCTTTTTCTTAAATGAAATGGAGATGACTGACAATGAAAAAGATGCTGTTAATGATGTTTCGAACAGTCTCGAGGTTGAACCCTCCCCTCTGGGAGCTGAATCCTACCGATCTTCAAGTGATTAGAAAAATCGTGAGCAACTAAATTTTCTCATTGCAAGTTGAAAAGTTAAGGAAATGATTAATGTATCTCTTACCCAGGATCAAGTCAAGAAGCTTACTTAACAATACATGGACAAGTACTTGAAGAGATATGAAGCTTCATTGTCTTCAAAGACTTGTGATGCTATGGTTGATACATTTCTTCAGCTCTCATGTAAAACACTGACCCATTTTCTCCCTGTTGATGAACTGGAGAACTGGGAATGATTGCCAGTGTAATAAGTCTGAAGTGAGGAAGGTACAAGGCAATCACAAGTGCTACTCTTCTCACTTCCAAAGATAATGAAGCACTATTAGTCAATGATAAGGAAATAGATAGTATTTTAATAATAAGCTTGTTAAAACAACGACCAATTCAATTACCTTGACTGGATTGGCTGCCGGAAGCGAATGGGTTTCAGAGAAAGTCATCAAGGAACCGACGACTTCTGGTCCGACTTCAAATCTTATGAACTATGTTAAGATCACTATTGTGATCGTTGCATCAATCGCAACATGCTATCTTTAGGAACCAAAAATTTTTGTCATCTAAAAAAACGTTGAGCTGATTAACAACCAATGCAGTTAAGTTAGCAGCAGTCTCCACAATCATTGAGATTTCCTTAATATTCTATATTGGTAATATAGAAGAAGATCCAAAAGATACAGGCCTCGAACAAGCGGAACTTCGTCAAAAGTTTCATGATGCATACTTGTTGTCAATTTTCAGAAATACCAATTAAGATAAATAAAATGGCAATGACTTTGAGATTCCCTTAATATTCTATATCAGTCATATAGAAGAAGATCCAAAGAATCCAGGCCTCTAACAAGCACAACTTTGTCAAAAGTTTCATGATGAATACTCATTGTCGATTTTAAAACATACTGATTAAGTTAAATAAAATGGCAAGCATAGCAATAATGATTGGAGAAGTACTCATCAATGCGACCGCCTTTGTTGGAGGTAGCTTTCGCGCAAAGTATTTGAGTGGAGACCAGAAAAGTGTTGAAGAAGAAAAGGAGAGGCACAATGTCGCTGTAGAGAGGTACCAAGTGGCCTACAAAAAGTATCAAGAGAATAGAACAAAGCTAAAAAAGCTTCTTGATTGGATCAAAACTAATAACAGAGTGAAGAAGCAGGCAAAACAGAATGTGGTGGACACAGGTTATGCTTTGAAGCTGTACAACGAGGTGCATAATCAAGAGCTTGATCTGAGAGAACCGTAGCTTTCTGACTTCTACAAGCCAAATGTTGAATAAAAGTGAGGCAAAATGATCCAAGCTGGAGGAATGGCTTTGGCTTTGGGATTGGCTGCTGCTCATTTCTTTCGAACTACAATAAAAAGGGGAAGAAAACTTTCAAGAGTTTATTATAGCCCTGAAGGCTTTTGGGAGGGATTGCCAGCTGTGAAGAAGTTGGTTAAAGAAGCCGGAGTTTCTGAGGACGTTGCAAAGCCTTGGCTGATGAGGCAAGCAATATGGAAGATATATTTGCATGCCCCAAAGTGTATTTCTAGACCAACTTTTGATGTTCAATCTCCAAACGCAGTTCATCAAGCTGATCTTCTTTTCCTTCCTCATCACATCAAAGTCTACAAGTATGGACTACCAGTTGTTCCAAAGACTTTTCAGACAATTTATGAGTGTGGACCACTGAGATAGCCGAAAGTGCTTCAGGTTGATTCTGGGCGTGAATTCCTGGGTGATGTCACAAGGCAAACGGCAAAGGATGATGAGAGGATAAGAAGAGGGAATGTGAACGTTGACAGGGATCAGGGAATCGTTGAGCGATTCAATCACACTTGGGGTAAAGGCCTCTTCACTTTCCAATAGTCATGGATTAAGTCTGAAGTATGGAAGGTACACGGCAGTCGCAAGTGATCACAGGGATCAGGGAATCGTTGAGCGATTCATCAAAGTTTGGGTTAAGGCCCCTTCACTTTTCAATAGTCATGAGATTAACTTCAAAGAGGGAAATAGATCAACTGAACGGGTAACGAGGCTTCCAGAAGTTGTTTCAACTTTGAATAGTGAAATGACCAGGTGGACTGGAAAGAAACCCGTGGATGCCACCAAAGACCAGTCAGTTGACACAAGGAATTCAATGACTTCTTCAAGACCTGTTGGCTTGAAGGAAAAGAGACTAGATCCTTCAAAGAATGTGAGAGATCTCTGCCGCTGTTGGTTAGCTGGAAGGTGGTCAAGGAAGAGCAACAGATTCAATCTGGTCTGAAGGTCTTCGACATTGATGGAACACTTATGAATAATGGTGAGACTGTTCTCTACTATCTGAAGGATGGATCAAACCGTTGTTTCCTTTTTCCGCCTGGAACTTAGTTTTGTCCTGAAGGAATTTGTTGATTTGAAAAAAACTAATTAAAAAATGAGTTTCTCAATAGACCCAAGCTTCCTTATGAATTAGTTCAAGAAACTGATACAGATATGAAAAATAAAAAGATCATCAATCTTGCCAATCCAGCTGACCACCAAAACGCAGTGACCAAGAAGTATGTTAATGAAAAAACAGAAACAATATACTTAACCTTTTTTTGGTCAAAATATGCCCCCAGAAGTCTCTTCATTGAGACATTCCTCGAGAAAAAAATGATGTGCTGATATCACACAGACTACAACTCAAACATTGAAGTACTTCATCAAAACAACTGTGGTGTCACTGCTTTGGATTAATCTTTGTTCTACTCAACCAATCAGTAATTGTGAGCCAAGCATAAACCATGTGGGTGGTGTTATCAAATCATTCACTTTGATAATAAGCTATATTGACAACAGCCAGTCATCTAAGGAGCAAAGAGTGAGGATGAAGATGTTGGTCAGACCTTTGTTGAAAAGCTCGAAAAAAACATCAAGGAAGTTAAAAATTCGACATTGCCAAGAAGATGACCTTCACAGATGAAGATAGGTGTGAGTTCAACGATGCATTACACTGCTGGATTTGCAGGGGTTTACTTAATGATGACACTTATGCAGCTCAGCCAAAGGCAGACAAAATTAGAGACCATTGCCATTTCACGGTGTAGTATCGTGGAGTAGCTCACTACAAATGCATCCTGCAATTCAAGAGGCCCAAGATCATTCCTGTCACCATTCACAACTTGGCTGGTAATGACTCTCATCTATTCGCTAAGAATCCCGGAAAGCCTTTTCCCAGGGCCCTTAGGGGCAAGCATAGTGGTAAAAGCAAGGGAAATATCAAATGCATTCCCAACAACCAAGAATACATACATCAGTACAAATACAAATACATCAGCTGCAGCAGAGAAAGTTGTTGTTGGCCCTTTCATCAACGAAGAGGGTAGAGAAGTTGAAGTCAAAAACGAGCTTTGCTTTACCCACAGCTTCAAGTTCATGGCTTGTTCTCTTGATAAATTAGTTAGTAATGTGGGTCACGAAAGCTGAAGGCTGGATCTCAAAGAGACTAAGCCGAAGGGAACTGAGAAGATATTCAAAGACAAAATCCATTTCGTCTCGCGGAAAGGTGTGTACACATATGACTACATCGATCGTATCACTAAATTTGATAAAACAAAACTGCCTCCAAAAAAGAGTTCTATTCAAAGTTGAATGACAGCGAGACCTCTGATGAAGACTAGAAGCATGCAAAAAGGGTCTGGAAAGAGTTCAAAATGAAGACGATGGGTGATTGCCACGACCTTTATCTCAAGAACGACTCTCTCCAGCTTGCAGATGTGTTTGAAAAGTTCGGAAACACCTGTCTCAAGCACCGTAGGCTCGATCCCGTTTGGTATTACACTGCTTCTGTATTGGCTTGGGATACTGCATTGAAGGTGACAAACACCGAGCTTGAAGAAGGCACTTTAGACAGAGTCTTCAATCTTCCTTTCAAATTTACTACAATAAAGAGAACAAACTCAAATATCTTAAACGTCTTTTGTGTTATCAAGATAAATAAAAGTAGTATGTGAGTGGAACAATAATATATCCAAGAAACTGCTTGGCTGGAAATCGAAGCATCAAAAGCTTTCTTCTTTCTCTTCAAAAAGATGCAGATGTAATAATTGGAAGAGTAAGACCAAAAAAATTGGGGGTATTCCATTCATTATTGTTGGAGAAAACACAAAACCATTCTTTGTTGGAACAGGATTAGAGAGTAAATTTATTGATGTAGCACCTTCAGCAATATTCAAGACAAAAGAAAAGCCAACAGAAGGGTAAGAGTGGAAAATTGTCAGCTGCCACTGGAATGAAATATTGGGAGATTTTGCAGTAAATACTTTTTCCTGGTGTAACAGAAAAAATCTTGTCAACTTTACTGCAAGAAATTCAACTTCTAACGGTTTTGTATGGGGAAATACAGGAGAAAAACTTGGAGATCGTTTTCATGGACCACGCATTCTTGATAAGAAGGTACAGCATTGATGCAGATCTTGTCCTTAGACAATCTCAGGAAAAAATACTGTAAGAGAACACACGCAAGAAATCTTTACACAAACAATCAACACCCTTTCAGAACTCACGAGCGAGACATTGTGAAGAGGGAGTGAAATTAATCAGCACTGAGTAATTCAAGTTGCCTTTAAAATCAAAGTTGATTCCAAATGTACAAAAACTGTTTTTTTTTTCAGATCAAGGTTGATTTCCAGTCAATCTTGAAATCAAGGTTAACTTCATAATTTGTCTTTGAAATGAGGGCTGATTTCTAAAATGCGTCAGAACTGGCTTTTTCTATCTACTGTTTGTCGTCATCGCCGTCGTCAGCAAGGTCTCTGCGCTCGTTTTCGTTAACTACTTCCCGACCTTCTTCAGCGGAATCGGCTATTAAGATAAGCTTGTTGCTATGAGCGAGCTTTTTCTTACCTTCTTTTAGTTCTTCAACGGCTTTTTCAACTTGCGGTGGCGTGGGCCAAAGGACTGAAGAGGCCGACTGAAGGTGATCGAGGACTTGTTCGTACAGCTCAAACTGTTTCTCGTTACTTTTCTTCTTAACTATTGGTAATGACGAAGCCGTGGATCTTAGTCTTTCTTGTTGATTCATGCTCTTCGGACACTTCTCTCTTGAGGGATGCAAAGCCATCGCGAAGCTCCTCCTCTACCTCAGATAAGGTGTTGGCGAGATTAAATTCTGGATCGGACGGCATTGTAACGTAAAGTTTGAAAAGTTCGAGAGCTGACAAATGTGAATCATTCTAAACGCCCTACAACAAAAGATGTAATGAAACGCCAAAGCGGCTCACGTGCTTACGTACCGATAGGAAAATATTTACGTTCTCTGTCACAGTGTTACGTTACAGTTTAGTTCTGCCAAATGTAAATACACTTCCTTCAAGTTGGGTGGTGTTAGAACACGTTTTTCAATAAATTGAATATTCCACCCAACACGGATACATTTTATTCTTTCTGCTGGCTTCAGGGAACACGATTGATGCCCACACGTATATTACATGTGGGCATAACTATCTGAGTCGTTTACATAGCTCTGGTTATTGTTTGAGGGATACTTGTTATTGTTTGACTGACACGTAAATTATCATTACGCATTCTGACACGCCGAGTCCTTCCGCGTTCATCATTTATCGGTTTCTTACTGTTACCCTACAAGGGAACTAACTGTGGTAATAAGTTTTTACCAAGACTTTACATCTTCGTTTCACTGTGGTGATTGCTATTATGAACGGGACACGGGAATCGGCGATTTTGAGGAGCGTGATTCGGGAAATAACCACTTAAACGAACCGAGAACCGGGATGTCCGTTAACGAGAGTTTATACAGACTCTCTCGCATTAGAGAGGCGGTCGGGCTGCTCAGCGACACTCTTCAGTTATTGCGCGGGAACAAAAATTTTATGAGAAGCGAAGTTGCTAATTTATCAAAAATCCTCAACGGCCCACAGGGCAACGTGGTCTAAGACTGCTGCATCAATTGAAATGCTTAACGGCGATGAAAAACCTCCAGCAAGTCTCAGAATTATACTGATATGACGCTCTTAACCTGTTGAGTTACACGACACTAGATGTGAAGAATATTCACTCGGTTGTGCAACACAAAGATAAACTTTTCATGGTGTTAGACTACCCAAGGAACTTTGGAAATGTAGCCTCAGAGGGCTTGATGAGGACAACCCATTGGGCGGCGTACTATTTAACAAATCAAAATTATTTTGGTATCCTGCACCCGAACGTGCCAGATCCCGTCCGCCATACTAGCAATTCAACCGTTACCACCTGTGCCGATGGCCCGATGGCACCACAGAGCATGCAGAAGATTAGGGACTGGGCGTAAACATTTATTGCAGAAGTGCATCAGCTCTCCGTAAAAGAGAAATTCAGCCGGTTGAACCAATCAGCCTCGAACGCTCTGACTTCGAGGAGCAGCAAGAAAACTGCGGGCAACAAGGCGAAGAGGAAGATGGAATATTGGAGAACGATTTCCCGAGTGATGATGATGACATTCTATCTTTGGAACGAGAGGCTGATTTTTACCTCGCAAGGGGTTCCTGCTTCGAAAGAAGTATTCGCTTCAACAGCAGAATTGTGTTCAGTTAATTTTTCTTTATCTCCGTTGTTATGGAACTATGGGATTGCCATGACCTTTAGTGTTTTATACACTTGTTGAAATTTTTATTCGTTTCTTTGATACTGACCTGCTTGTACTGATACGTTTGTCCGTGATCGAAGTTTAATGAAAGGAAGTCGTTACCGTGACTAGCCCACGTTATTCGTGCAAAACTTTGAAAACTTCTAAAATGAACATCATCATTATCATTTTGGTGAAAAGCGATAAACTCATGCCTTACGGTGACTATATACTTTAACGAATCAATGCCGGTTAAGAAAGTCATCACTCACCGGAGAGGCTCTTCTAGGTTTAGGAAATAGGCTAAGACAAAATTGTATGATCGGGATCGGGATTGGCCGGTATAAACCGTCGGGATTACGGGACTGAGAAAAAAGTTTTAGTTGGGATCGCGGGATTAAAGAACCCTATTGGGGACCCTCTAAGTACAGACTAAGAGAAACTTCATCGAACTTGCTTTTACTCGTCTGTATTGCTTCGTAATACTCTCGAGTGTAATTCGATCTAAAAACCCAAAAGTTAATCTTAGTTGTAAATAGAAGTAACAGTTTCAAATCCTTTAATTCTATAGGGATGGTTACACGATCATACATCAGCAGGTGTTCAAATCGTTCCCGTTGCATGATTACGCATTAAAAAAAAAAAAAAAAGGTCATGCCATGCGGTTTGAATGACCAATCGCCGACTTACCTCGATACGATATTTTGGTTAACTCATTAGTATGGGGAAAGGAAAGTAAGGCGATTTTTACACGCAAGAGAGGTGGGAACATTTAATAAGTAACTTCTCCATCAACAACAAAAAAAGTTGGAAAAGACTTTCTTTGATTTGGTGACTTTTTAAGAAGCCTTTTTCATTTAAATTTTTTTCTCAAGAATTCTTTTCCAGAAACAAAAAAAAAATGTCTAAATTTCATCAACCGCTAAAATCTTTGAAGCTCTACCTTGAACTTTCATTGTTTTGTTTTTCATTCAAAATCTGTACAAAGATACGTGTTCACTCTAGACGGCTTTAATAACTGTGCGAATATAAACACTAATTCTGTATATATGACACAGGCACTCTGACACATGTCCGTGTAAATTGGCAGACTTTCACATGATACAGTTGCCAGAGACTTTGCTACACTTAGAGCACCATGTCAAGTTAGCGTGTTCGACTTGGTTTTCCTTGCGATGGCTTGAAGCAGTTAAGAAAAAAAGATCACAAGACAACAACAATCAGTTCGGAGAAGCAAACGACATGTGGACTATTGGTTGAGTATTTGGTTTTTCCAAAAGCAATCGCTCGCAGAGGGATGAGAAGAAAAAGGAAAAGAAATGGAAGAATCCCAAATAAAGTCCAACATTTCAGTGTCAGCTTAATATCGGGACAAGAATCCTCTTCCTGACCAATCCTAAACACTGACGGGCACAATTTAATTAACCTGGAATCGGAATTTATCCCCTGTATCATGATTGACTAATTTTGTGTAGGCGAACCAGTGAAGAAAGTGTAACAGTAGCAGGTTGCAATTTGGCGAAGGAATATCTCGCGGTAAAGATGCCGGGATTCTTCAAAGTTCTCGCGAAGACTCATTATGATCAGCAATACAGGTTGCAGTGGATGACGTCTGACTGGTGAGTACCCAGGGTCATACCAGCTTGCCTTTGGTTAGAAGAGCAAGTGTAGCACTAGTTAGAGATCTGCAAGGTAAATGTTTATTTAAACCTTTTAACTCAAAAATACTACGTGCATTGTTCCGTGGCAGATCCGAGGGATCCATCCCCCCTCCCTATTTTGGGTAAAAAAAAAAAAAAATAAAAGAATCGCAGAAGGAAGAAATGCCAGCAAGGCAAGCGACAAAAAACCCCCCCCCCCTTAGCTCAAGGTCTGGATCCGCTACTGTTGTTGGTCAACTAAAGTGTGTTTCAAGATTTCTGTGCGTTAAAGAAAACTTCATTTCTTCTCTACACAGCATTTTCTTTTTTTTGGTGGTTCATGAAAGTTCCTTTCCAGGATAGCCAGCAAGAGCAGAGTCTTTCAACCAACGTTTCTTGAGCAAACTATTTGGAGGCTTGGGAGGCAATGACTAAATTAACCTTTGTCATTAAAATCTGCTGGATCCTTTTTGCTACCACTTTAGACATGGTCAGTATGTAGAAAGTAGTTATGGTGGTTACTCTAGGTCCTTACCAACCACAGAGCCGTATTTTGTACCGCGTGACACGTTTCGACCAATCAGGATCCAGAACTGTGACACACCCCGAAACTGAATTTTGGAGTCACACGGGGTTATGTCACGCAAGAGGACAAAATGACGTCATATTGTCATGCAGTCACGCAAGTAGAAATTATTTCATTTCATTTACTTTTGGAGGAAGTTCGCGCATGCGCAATGAACTATTGACAACACTTAAGTCTGCAATCAAAGCAAACATGTTTTCTTATTGTAACAACAGAATCCTTAGTTGGCATTTGGGACGTCAAATGTACTCTTCCTGCTGCAAAGAGCCCAATCGTTTAATTCTTGTATTTGTTGTCGCATTTTGTGTACAAAAAGATTTAAAAATCTCTCAGCCAATGAAGATAACATTCTTTGAAATTGTATCCTTGTGTCATGCCTCTTTTCACTATTTCCGTGTGATATTGTTCGTCGTTGTCGAAGGCTGACTCGTCCAAACCTTTGTAGTAATGACGATACTCTGAAAGAAGAATTGAGAGATTATATTACCGGTGATTACTGGGAATGAAAAAAAAATATGACAATTTTATACTTACGGAGTTGCTAAGGCGATTAATTTTGGATTAATTAATGGATCGACGGAATCCATGGGTTGTTCTGAAAATACGATAAGAAATTTCGATAGAAAGATTTATGATAAAATTTTAAAAATTCACAAAGTATTCTAGAACATTCCGAAAGCTTACAGCACAACAATTTGGTAGCATTACAACATTCTAGAAGGTTCCACGGCATGCATGTCAGCATGACTAATCATTCTCTTATGGACATTTATCTTATAGAATTTATCCATAGAACCCATAGTAGACTTACCTCTTTTTCCCTCGACGATCGTTTTTCCTCTTCTTCTTTTGTCAAGTCTTTTCTTTTCTGCCATTTTCTAGCTGACTTTTGCAATCAGGGTGATGAAGGCTGTCGAAGCTGAAATGCGTATATTCGCGTGAGTGAATTTACACAGGTTTTTTCCGGTCAAACACGAAAAACAGGGGATACCCACCTACCCCCTACGTTTGATTGACCAATGAGAGTCGAACGCGCTTTATTTGAATTATAAAATGAACGGTGTGGCACGAGAAAATTATGTTAGTCATTGAAATCGTGCCTAAAAGAAAGAAAGTGGAAGAAGAAGCTGACATATGTTACGGACGAATATTTATCGAAGCTGTTGAAGCGATCGAAGAAGAGGAAGAAAGTGATGATGAAAATATGCCTTTATTCGAAATGGAATTTCGTGCGAGTGGTCCTGGTAAGAATTGGATAAAGAATTTAGTAGCGAAGCAAAGATTTACCGTTCGTTTGCAAGAACTGCGCACGCCTGCGTCTGACGATGATGTGGGACAAGAAATTACTTCTGTTTTGGAGCGAGCCATTCTTAAAGAAATGAAAAAGAGGGAAAAGGTGGCTCCTCATCATGTCGTTCATTTCCATATACAAGCCGGATATTCTCATGCGTTTCGATCTGCGAGTTTTACAGTGGAAGAATTTGTGAAGGAAGTCCGCTGTTGCAGACCTAAATGCAAACCTTGGCAGAATAATTAAATTCAGGGGAACGGTTTGACAAATTTTAAGCTGAATTAACTTTGATTTGCTCCTTCTAATGGTGTTTGAAAACGTTAGCGTGTCAAACGCATCGAAAAGATTGAAAGAATTTGTGAAGGAAGTCCGCAGTTGCAGACCTAAATGCAAACCTTGGCAGAAAAATTAAATTCAGGGGAACGGTTTGACAAATTTCAAGCTGAATTCATTTTGATTTGTACTCCTTCTAGTGGTGTTTGAAAACGTTAAGAGTGTCCTACGCATCGAAAACAAAGATGAACTTTGTTGTGCGCATGAAAGCCACAGTACACAAAGACGACGATGTCAATTGAGAACGGATGTATGATAATATGCGCAAGGGTCGACCAGTGCAAGAAACTCAAGAGCATGAATTGCACCGTTTGGCAGGTGTGTAAGAAGGTCCATGTAAAGTGGGCGAATTGGAAGAGTTTCAGAGAGTACCGAGTCCCAAGTACCAGATTTAAGTGTTGTCGATCGATAAATCTCACGATTATTTTTAAGGGTCCTTCAGCATCTAAGAAGATTTCATTGATGAAATTGGATGAGCATTATCATGGTTGCACACCATTTGGTGTTTTTGAATCGCTCGTATTACTGTTACGAATGTGACCGAGGATTCAACACGGAAGATTACGAACATCATCCTTGTGAAGGTAGGAAATGTGTGTCGTGTTATCGCATGAATTGTCCCGAGTTCCGTCGACATGAGGAGCCTTCTGGAAAGAGTGCTAAATGTCTTCGTTTTACGGAGAAGAACGGACAAGATTGTTATCAGTACCATTTGGGTCGTGCCAATTCCTGCGCAAAATCTGTTTGCAAAATGTACAAGAAGTTTCCTGATTGTTGCAAGATAGTGTAAAGCAACGATAAGAAGAGATGGACACATGGTGGGGTTTGAAGATCCGTGAAGGTTAAGCATTGTTGTGAAGTTGAAAAGTCTGCGAAGAATACAAAGTATGTCGATAAGAGAAGTCACAAATGGTACATTTAACCAGCACAAGAAGAAGAAAGAAAATCTGAGAAGATCAGAAGAAAGAAGAGCTAGAATAGTACGCCTTGAGAAAGAAGGAAAGGAATTGGATCAAGAGGGTTTGATATTCAAAGATCCGCCAGTTTTCGTGTATGCTGATTACTATGCTATGCAGAATGGAGAAGGAGAACATCATCCTATTCTGGTATGTTGTGAGATTGACGAAGATGAAGGCACAGTAGTGTTTTATGGAGAGAATTGTTGTGAGGACTTTTTGGATTACTTGGATGAATTGGCCATGAATGAAGATGGATTTGAACAATCGGTGGTAATGTTGTTGTTTCATAATCTGAAAGGATATGATGGAATGTTTGTGTTCTAAGAACTCTATAGACAACATCGTTGTGTAGAGAATCAAGTGTGTGTAGGAATCAAAGTCCTTTGTGTCACGACAGGTCCTATCATTTTCAAGGAATCCTTTTGTTTTTTTCCGTTTTCTCTGGCTACATTTCCTTAAGCTTTTGATCTCGTAGAACTCAAGAGTGACTTTTACCTCTCTTGTTTAACACCCGTGAAAATCAAGAGTATGAAGGTCTCATGCCACCGCGTGACATGTTTGATCCCGACGGTATGCATCATGACAAACGACAAGAATATGAGTCCTGGTACCTCGAACAAATTCGACGCCTTGTGAATTTTAATTTGCCTCAGGAAATGAAAGAGTATTGCTTTCCTGGTGCCAAACTCTTGAAAGCTATTTGTCAGAAATTCCGAGAAGATTTCATGCAGAAAGCCCAATTTGATCCTCTGGAACAATGTATCACCATGGGCAGTACTTGCAATTTGTAATGGCGCACACATCATCAACCATGGAATGAGCAAAACAATTTGTTTGTGACGTGATATCAAGAGGGAAACAATTAACTTTGGTAAATTCATACGCTCCAAACTACGATGATCCAAATTTTTTTACCTCTGTTTTTGAGCATTTAGCCGATTCAAGTACGATGGGATTTTAATAGGAGATTGTAATAAGAGAAGATTATAACTTAGTGCTTGATGATCGATATTGAATCTTTCAAAAAATCACTCAGAGCCATTTGGATTAACAAATATCTAGATCCAGAAAATAGTAGCAAATGGAAAATTATCTTTACTTTAGAGCAAAGAAAGTATGGAGGCAATGCCTTTTTTAAAGGAAATCTTGACAAAAAAGACGTCGGTAACCTAAGAATAGAAGATCCATTTGTTAAAGAAATCGCCAAAATAAAAAAGAAGATCTGATGCACTTATTCAGGCAATGCATGAAAACAAAAATGTTTTGGCAGAATCTTGCGACATGGCTTCAGTCGTGTCATATTCTCCCAACAGACAACCGACTACACATGGAAACCATTTTGGGTCTTAAGCCTGACAGCTCCAATTTCAAACTCCAAATAAATTCTTTGCTGCCAAATGGCTTAACACTATATTTGGATATGTCGATCAAAAGAGCTTTATCCAACTCGAAACAACTTCTTGATTCATCTGAAACATATACATCACTTAGAAAACACGTCACCAATCCACACAAAAAATGGACGGCTTTTCTATCCTAGCTGGATCAGATTTCCTGAGCCCTTGACTCCAAAACCAGTCCTTCCTTTATATGTAGAACATATATGAAAATAGTATACTTTTGTATAGAATATGTTTTTTGTCCCAAAGAAAGAAAGAAAGGAAGAAAAAAGAAAATAATTTATAAAATAAAAGTAACGGATTAGAAGAAATTCAAAATATAACTTGTAGCCAATTTTTAGAAATGAAATTAGTGCAATTAGCCCTGTAATTTTAGTTTTAAAATATAAGCTGTATAACTTGTGATACCATTGTATGTAGTGTTAGTATTGTGATGTAAGTAGTGTTAGTATCTTTAACGTAAGTAACAGAAATGTAAGTAAAGTATCCTTGTAATTAGCGTAATTATTGTGACGTAAGTAGTGTCTCTTTTGTAACTCTGTAAGTAGTTTTTGTTTTTGTTTTTGTTTTGTTTTGTTCTGTTCTGTTCTGTTCTGTTCTGTTTTTTATTCTTGTTATTAAATACATAAAAAAGGAATGGTAGATTCCATAAATCGGGGTTGGTAACCTTACGTAAGAACCTTAAGATAAGAAGTAAAAGCAACTTTAGACATTTTCAAGTAGTACAAAAATGATTTAAAAGAAATTTTTTCCAGAATGACTAGTTTTTATGATGGGATTTTTGCTTCCATTTGTCATTCAGTTTTAAATTCCATCTCTGTTTGTACCACTAACTTGTAATAGACTACCTTTCTCAGAGATGATGTAACTACTCATCATGTGTATGAAGAAAGCATCAATCTTAGATCATGGAGGGAGATACATTCATTCACATGGGTACTTTCCAGCAGGGAGAGTACACATCCTAAATGTAAACTAAGAATTCTTTGGTTACAATAAAAAAAACATGTTTGTTCTGATTACAGACTTTATTGTGTTGTCAATCATTTCTTGGGTATGGCCAAACTTCCCCCTAAAATAAAATTTTAAAAAATATCCATCCATGTGACATTATGACATCATTTTCATCCTCTTACGTGACATCGTTTTCACCCTGTGTGACCTCAAAAATTTCAAGTTTGGGGGAGTGTCACAATTCTGGATTCAGATTGATCAAAACATGTCATGTGGCTCTTTGGTTAGTTGGGAACCAGAGTAACAACTATAACTACTTTTGAATTTCACCTGAATTTCAAATTCACCACATGTTTTTTTTTCCTATGCTGTAAATAGGTAACCCTCTTAAACCCTTAAATTATATAAACTGCTTTTGCACAACCTATAGTTTAATACCCCAATTCTTCCGAATTGCAAATCTTCCACCAACAAATTAACAAACCAAAAGGGTTCTAAAACTCAGCTCACTAAAGAAACATGTATAGTATGTATATTTTCAGCCACAATTTTCACTTACCCGAGAGCATAGGTTGGTACTTCATTTGAAAACAATAAGAACAGTTCATGTGTTGCTGTACGGATTGCATAACACTTATGATCACTAGCACATATGTAAGTCTCCATGGCTTGGTGATACACACCACTGGGGGAATCTATGTAAATAAACTGCACCATGTTAAACAGGCAGTTGATAATGATCTAAAAGAGTTACAGACAAATTTGTCTTTAACATACATTTAATAGATCCCCCTTCTTTCAACTGGCTCTCAACTTCCATAACAAGTACTTAGTACTATCTCTAACCCATTCAAATCTGCAACTGCTTCTTTACCCTTCCAAAGGTGACAGTGTCTGAGTGGTCATGCAACACTCAACAAACAATTTAATTTGATTCTTTTTAAAGTAAGTTTTTTCTTAAATCCTTGTGCAGAAATAGAAAAAAATTTGTAACAAACCTGATTATGGAAGCTACTCAAGATTCAGATTGGTGGCACTTGTTGTTCAACTTTTTGCATTTCAAGCTATGATTCAGATCAGTTTCTCAATTTTTTTGTATTATTTTAAAGGAGATAAAAAAAAAATTTCATGGTTTCTGGGGAATATTTCTCCTTTAAGATACAACTATACCACTTAAGGGGGCTAAAATCGCTGAAATTTGCATTTTATCAAGGGTTGTGTAACTTATATCTGCATGTACTTACTTCGTACCAACATAATGAAAAATAATAAAAGACCTTTTTATCAACATCCACTCACACTTTACCTTGTTCAGAGGTATTTGGCTCCTGGACAGGAAATAGAGTACCAACAACTGACATGTAAAATGACACGAGAATTGACTTTCTTTTAGCTGTAGACATTCCACTTCCTTTTGACAACAAAAGTCATAAGGTAATTAAAAAATAATTGTATAGTAATTGTACTTTAACTGACTTACCTCAACATGTAGGTTTATAAAATATTTGAAAACAAAACATCATTTTTATCTAATCATTCAGATGCTAAACTAACTCCATTTTTTGGTTCAAATAATAGGAACTTAAATTTTGAAATAACAGAATAAAAAAGTTGCAATTGTCTCACATGGGTAGGATCTTATTCTACTTACCCATGTGGGATTAGCTAAATGTGTTAATTAATGTTGACAAGCCAAATTCATGTTGTTTATAATGCTCATGAACAGCTCCTGATCATGAGCCACCTATGAGTGGTTCATGTGCCCTTCCTTACCTGAGGTACTTCCCTGATCCACACCAGTTAGCACCCCTGATGGATGAACACTAGACAGACTCTTGTGCTCATCTGTGTTCACCAGCACAAACCTTGAACAGATGCACAAGACAAGAGTCACTTCAAAGAAATATTTTAAGTTTCAAAAGGTAAAAACAAAGAAGTGCCATTATCTTGAACTGCAGACTGTAAAACTCATAAATTTCCTAATCTCTTCAACTAGGGAAAATCCTTGGGTTTGTGGACATGTGACTTTAATTCCATCCTAGATATATCTTATCTAGACAGCAGCCTCTGTTTTGACTTGAAACAAGCGTAGATTTTATCTTCTGGTAAGACTAAAAACAAACATGCATTATTGCTTTTCTGTAGAAACAGCAAAATGCTCTTTCATTCTAAGTATTGAAGTTAAAGAAGATATTTTCATGTACTATTGGACACAAGGTTCAGAGACTGGGGAACATCTGGTTATATTCTCCAAGTGATTCTCCCTTAACTGGAGAATATTCAGTTAAGTGCTATGTACATGGACCAATCTCATGTGAGCAAAAACATTTGATGGGTAATGACCTTCATTGTTGTTGCCAATTCCTACAAAGTAATGGGACTCTCTTGTATTTCCCTTTGTATTTTCATGAAGAAATTATGATCATGATGTAGTAGCATTAATAGACATAATTATAGTCGTGTACAGTTGCTAGTAAGATACCCTAGGATTCCACTATCGAGTACCATATCACCAGGGAGATTTCTTGGATGAGATCTGCGACTGGTTTTCAGTGTATCAATAGCAAGTCTCCAATACTGGTCCAGGAACTATAAATGAAAAATACCATTACAACTACAAACACATTCTAGCATAAGGGATGTTTAGGAACACACATAATGACCACTCCATTGATGCAATACTTTGACCTAGTCTACCTTGTAATTTCTTTATTGGAAGTACACACAAAGCCAAAATTAGTAGTCAAAAGGTTTCCTATTCTTACAACTTTCCTTAGATATTTGTTACATAAACTCAACTCTATTGCAGCATTTCATGTCTTAAAATGTGATGCTTAAAGTTACAATGCACCCTCTATGCCTAATCCAAAGGGGCATAATATGCCATTTTGGGATATCATAACTGAAGCAAGGATTTTTACATAATGAAAGTAGTTAATTTGTGTAAACCCTTAAGAATGGTCACCATACTGAACCTTTTGTCAGTTAAACCTAGCATCTCATTTAAATTAGGTGAATGAAATAATATGAAGACACCGACAGAACACTGTTTAGTTTAAAGTGAGCTTTATACTGTACCTTGGTTTCAGCATCCTGCAGTGTTGGTTTAGGCCCACATATCACACATACCTCCACACCTTCAATGAGCTGGAAACAGCAACAGAGACATGAAATAAATATAAAGCACATAAACATGTTTATATATAATTGCAGAAACCAACTTGTAAATAACTTACTTGAAATGTTAACAACCTGTGAGGAATCTAAAAATAAAATAAAAAGTTTGTCAACAACTTTTGAAACATAAAAGACAAGCAAATAGTTGACATTTGTTTCCCAGTTAACAGTTGATCATTTAAGTATTGTGGTATACCAGTTTTCAAAATTTTCAAGGGAAATAAAATTTGTTAAAAGAATTAAGATAACCAGAAAAAAGTGTGCAAGATATAAAAGAGAAAAAAAGATAACAAGGAAAACTAAAAGTGTACAAGATACTAATGTAACAAGCAGACAAGAAAAATTTAAAGAGTGTGAGATGTTAATGTAGCAATAAGTCAACAGTGAAAACTAAAAGTGCACAAAATACTACATAAACATAAGAATCACACAACAGGAAAAACCAAAAGAGCAAAAGATTCTAACAAAACAATTCCACAATTAGAAAAGCCAAAAGTGTGAAAAAAAATTTAAAAAATGCAAAAATCAGACAACAATGAAAAGTAAAAGTGTGCAAGATACTAAAGCAACAATCAAACATTGAAAAAGAAAACCAAAAATGCGTGATATACTAATGTAACAATCAGATAACTAGAAAACTATAAGTGTGCGAGATGCTACCATAAAAATCAAACACAAAGAAACAAAAAGTGCACATGATACTAACGCAACAATTGGATAACAAGAAAAAATAAAGTGTATAAGATACAAATGTAACAATTGCAAAACAAGGAAAACTAAAAGTGTGCAAGATAATAAAGTAACATTTGGATGACAAGTACAAAATAAAAGTACATGCATGAGATATTAATGTAAAAATCAAGCAAGGTAAAAAACAAAATGTTTAGCAATATATGAGATGGATATATCTGACAGACTCTGGACTTGGAGGTTGGCAAGGTGGTATGTTATCAAGATGCTGTCACCTTTGTGGTACATTGGCCTTGCTGGCAATAGTTTTAAAGGATATTTTGCTCATAAATTACCATTGAATAGGCAACCTTTCAAATCCCTTGAATTCGGGTATCTTCATGTCACTCACACATATTGGCACAAAGATGATGGGTGAAGAAAGGGAGGTCTGATAGTGAGGCAAGTCAGTCTTACACATATGCAGACTTACTACAGGGCTCAAAATTAAAGCTCGCAAACTGGCAAAATGCGAGTGATTTTGGTAATCTGCGAGTGAGAAAAATTTCCACTAGCAAACGTTTGTTAGTTAGAATCATCCATGTCTCCCAAACATGCAGTAGAGAGGTGGTGGTTGTCAGGACAACGACAAAGGAGACCAAACATTTAACACCTTTTTTATAAAACTTTTCAGCTCATTAATAGCCTGTGCGAAATATCAATTCTAATCTTTATATCAGATATGGTCATTAATATTTCAAAGGGAAATAATTTGCTAGTGGTCTCACCAGTTTGCTAGTGGAAAAAAATCTTACCAGCAAAACTTTGCAAGTCGACTATAAAGTTAACTTCGAGCCCTGCTTACTATTTTCTTTTCTCAGATAACAACAATAACAGTAGTAAACAAACAAAGACAAACCTTTGGACTACCATATGGCAGATATATAGGTATATCACGAGAAGACCATGGTGGTAAGGAATGAACCAACAATGACAATAAGACAGTCTCCATGCCAGTTAACTCCCACCTGGAATGCACCATGAATTGTCAGAAATGCTGTGTTAGAGAATCACAATCAACAACTATATACTGACAAATGGAAAATTAACTGCATTTCTCATTTTGAGGTCCAAATCAAGACTTAACTCCCAAGTTCTCAACTATTGACCCTTGAATTATATATTCATTAGGTTCTGATGCATACAAAAGATATATTTTTCAACCTTGGACAAACTTTCAATTAATAAATATTACTAAGAATTAATAATTTATAACTTATATAGTGCAAAATACATGTGGATATGATCTAATGCTCTATAAAATAAGACTAAGCAAAAGAAAATATGAAAATGAACTATAAAAGACTAAGAATAAAATTATACAATTTGACTAAGTAAAAACTAACTATAAAAGCAAACATGAAAATGCCTGTCTAAAGAGATGTGTTTTAAGAAGTGTTTTAAAACAATTAAGATCATTTACTGCTCTTATATTTGATGGCAATCTGTTCCAAAGTTTAGGAGCAGCTGCCATAAATGATCTATCACCTAAAGTTTTCTTAGTTTTGTCCTGGGTGGCAATAATTGTAGTTCAGACTGAGATCGTAACATCATACATCCGAATTGTTGTTTAACGTTAATTAGATCCATAATGTACTGAGGTGCCAGCCCATGGATAGCCTTGAATGCTAAAATAAGTAATTTAAATTCAATTCTGAGACAGAAAGGTAACCAATGCAAGGAAAACAAAGTAGGAGTTATATAACAAAAACAAGAAAGGGAACAAACAAGTCAGGCAGCACTGTTCTGAATATGTTGCAACTTGTTGAGATGTGCATCTGGTAGACCATACAGCAAACCATTGCAATAATCAATACCTACAGTGATGAATGCATGAACAAGTGTTTGTGTGGAGTCTTTAGATAAATACTTTCTGATGCCTCTGATGTTATACAGGTGGAATGACGAGGTCTTACACGTCTTGTTTATATGACAGCCCATGTTCATGTTTTCATCAAACCATGATCCAAGGTTTTTAATGGCAGTCACAGGACTGATAGTAGCGTCACCAACGACCAACCCCTTGATGTCAACTTTAGTGAGTAAACATTACTTTGGTTAAACTAATATCACTACTGCATATGAGTAACACTTCTAGAACTAGTTACCCTATCAAATTGTACTCCTAGAATTCTGTGGCATTATCTTTAATATAAATTAACTTAATATACATGTAAAATTTGGGCTTGACTTGATTCAATACCTATATATATTTTTAATGATACAAACAGCAAACTGCTGATTGAAATACATGGTGAGAAGGAAATCTTACCATCGTTCTGTTGCTACAGCCACTTTTCCCATGACAAGCAAACATCCAAACTCACTGCTGACTGCTGTAGCAAAAGCATCCAGAAACTCCTGTAACAACAGAATGTTAGAAATGTCAAAGTCACAACTAACGGTGTATAAAATGCTAAGAAATGAATGCTGTGTGAATCAGTAAGGGTTTACAAGCTGAATATGAAAAAGTAAATGAAAAACCATCAAGAGGAAGGAAAATCCAAAAGCAACACTTTGCAATGCATTTCTACACATTAAGCCCAAGGTAAAGATGCTCCAATCCTTCTGCAGAGTTTATAATGCTTTTATTTTACTGGCAATACAATGTACCTGTAGAAATGACACATCTGGACAAAGAATGATATCAACAGCTTGAGTAATGTTTCCTGTTAACTCTGTGCCTTCCAAGAGACTGTCAATCAAACTATAACAACACTGAAGAAATACATCAATTAATTGATATAAATGTATTTTTATTATGTAAACTACTGTACACACACAAGAAAACCTGAAATCAGAGGCAAACTCTAAGAAAGTTACTTACTCTCAATTCCCTCTTTAGCAGTTCTACATTTCTGAAAGATGTCAACTCATCTATTCCTAATAACAAAACCTGAAATATAATAATACCAAGCAGTGTTAAAGTAAAAAATTTTTCGGGAGTTATCCTAAAAATGTGTTTTCAGTTATTTATATGCTAAAAAAAAGTTAATTTCACAATAATTACTAAACAAACTGGATCTAAGTGATCAATTTCCAGCATTAAAAAAATTGTATTGTATTCGATAATAACGTGGTGCAATGTAAAGCACAGAGTGACATGATTGTATCATAAAAAAAGAGCAATCACAAGTTGATTATATCTGAAGCCTATCCTGTAGTTACATCAGTGCATGTAGTCTGGTGCATGTGTTAATTGTCAGTGTTTCCCAAAGAGTTTATCCTAAACACTCTACTTGGTCATTGTTGACCATCCATTATCTTTAAAAAGTTTTAGGTGAGTGATTGAATAAATCTTTATGAAGATCATTTACACTCCACCACATGAAGACACATCATCAGTGTTATACTGCAAGTAAAGGGAAGACATACAAATAGATGGCCTTACAGTTTTAAAATACTCAGTTTGTATTAATAACAGGTAGGTCTCAGTACTCATCAATAGGAAAAGCATACAAATTTCCATGTATTATATTACACCTACCATGGAATTAAAGACAAAATCTAAGAGTCTATTAAGATGCAAATCACTAGCATTGTCATCAGAGGCAACAATTATTAAGGTGATCCTGAAACAACATGAAAAAAAATTAACTCAGTTGAAAATACTTTTAATTAGCATTACATGGGAATTCACAGGTTGATAACTGATCCCAAACCATCTAGTGCTTATAAAATTCATCTGTAACACAGTCCCACAAATGAGGAAATGTTTTCAGATGCTTAAGAAATATTTTGTTGTCCTTAGCTGTAATTTCACTCTGCCTCTTCCGGCAACTAACTCTGATAGACAGCCACAAGACTGCACACATGTTTTCGCAATGTTATATTTTTCTCTTTTAACCCTTTAACCCTGAGGAGTGACTAGAATCTCATTTCTCCTTAGAATATTACCCCTGAATCAAACATATAGGTCATGAGAAAAAAGAAAATGATCACCCTAAGTTTTGATTGTTAAACAAATTCTCCTTGGCAACTCCTTAGGAAATGTGTAGAGGACAGTATGGAGAAGATGCATACTGAAGTAAGGGTGTAGAAGGTTAAACTTCTGGAAGGTGGCCCCTTCATGATTGCCTGCCTTTACAAAGGCACCATATAAACTTTGCATATATGGATTGTATTAAACTTCAACTTTTAAATCAAGTAATAGATTGCAAGCTCTTGAATGAAATCCTTTGGTTGATAAAGAAGAGCAGCCCAATTGAAGAAAGAAACATTAATAGAGACAGACATATTGCAGGCTAAACTTGCCACTTTTTACAAATGTTACAGACCACACATGCTCTGAAATCCCATTTAAGCTTGTCAGTTATTGAAGTTCTAGATGCTATTAGGTCTTTTGATATCATTAAACATAAACATCATACATTTCATGCCTGGTGATTTCTATTACTTACAAGAAAAATTCCACATGCTTCAAAGAGGAGTCAAACTTTTACAATATGCATGACCCTTCTAAGACCTGAGACCTTTCAGGAGGTCATGAAGTTTGGGAGCTCTTGAAGTTCCCTTTTTTCAAGTAAATAGTATATTATTTCAATAGAAAAAGATAAAACTGAATAATAAAACACCTTTCATTAAAAACCTTCCAGACAACTTTAGCATCATCCGTGACTGTGTTAAGCAAAGTGACATCTTGATTGTTGGCAAACATGCACACACCATTAAGTGATCCAATCACAGGAAAAGGCAACTGTATGACAACACACAACATATAACCACAAAAAATGTCAAAAATAATCAAAAAACGCCAGGTATATGTATTACAGTGTGCTTCAGGGGCTTGATTCAGAGCTAACCTTTATTTTTACATTATATTTATATGCACATTTAAAATAATTGGTAATGACTTTTGTTGTAAGTAAATAAGCCCATGTTCACAGGATGTGCTGTACTATTCAACAGAAAAATTGGTGATGTCTGTGTGGTCACCTCTCTAACGTTTCCAAGGTGATGTGACAAGCAGTTCTACTTCTAAAGGCTGTCATTTTCAGCCAACCTTCCCACTGGTATTGGTACAAGGAAAATTTTCCTTGATAATATCTGAAAAAAGACTTAACACAGTCTTCCCCCCCCTCCCCTCCCCCCAACTTTGATTTGCAAACAAACTGATTTAATTTGATAGAATCCAGAAAGTTACCAAAGTTTCTCTGGCTGCAAGGTGGTTTGTTAGCCCTCATGAAAAACTTCTCACAGAAAAAAAGTCGAGCCCCCTTCTCATCTAGTATAAATGTTACAAAACATACTTATGTACTACGTCATATATACTTTTAAATCACTCTACCTGTGGGAGGTTTCCTTTCGTTCTAGTGAACAGTGGAATGCCGCCATCAGTCGTCAAGCAAACCAAATATGCCGCCATGTTGAACTCTCGCCAAGCGCATGCGTCCAAGGTTCGGAAGAACGCAGACAGCTGATAGAGAGATGGCGGAAAGCACACGACTGTGATCTGAACCATATGACTATAGGACTTGTGAGTAAATTGTTGCAAGGGGGATGCGTGACTGCTAGCGCTTGCTGTGTGCTTAACTTCATATGGGAACATGTCGTCCAATTGATAGTGGTATGTATTAATTTTACCTTTTCCGCATGAAGAAATTTGATGCAATGACCGTGGATAATTTGGGCTGCCTTGAAGGTCCAAAGTAGATGAGCATCCGTTGAAATAGATTTTACTATCAACCTCTGAAAACCGTGTCTTTCACACAGATTTTCGCGTTTGTAGGAACAGAGGATGGTTTGATTAAGAAATTCGGTTGAGGAAAATCGGATATAAAAAATTATTTGTTTGGAACGTTCGTGATATGGCCTGCCATCAATTGATCATAATTATTTCTCTCGTCGTCTGTTGTAGAGATGTTTTTGTTATACATCAAAGAGAAAAAGTGTTTAAAAGATGAATCTCTCATTCAAAATAAACATCATTATGTACATATGTATGCCTTACTCGTATTTTGTGGTTACGAACTCATTACTTAAGCTTAAAGACGAATGAATCTTGAAAGCATTTAAAATCCTTTTTTTTTTTAGCATCGACCAGCAAATTAAAATTAGCAATATAGCTTTGTTAATCAGTATTTTAAGTTTCACTTACAACATCCATGGTGGAATTTCCTTGTTATGTGTATTGCAGTGAAACAGTTTTCTTGCTGGTATGAAATGCCATTAACGATCATCAACACAAAATGACAATCACGTCCTCTTATCTCATATTTCATACATGCAAACAAAGGAAAAGGAAATGTCAAACCAGGAATGTGATCTCTGCCCTACTTATTGTTATTCTTTTTGTCATATGATGCTAGCAAACATTGTTAATGAAATTGGCTTTTGATTGATGCCTTAGGCCATAATCTGTATTATTTGGAAAGGCAGGAATCCTGGAACAAGGAATTTGGCTTTTGAGGTTGCTTTCCTTTTTCTTTGTTTTATTATTTTTGATGGCATGTGTCAAACATTATGGCAGCTTTTAACAGAGAAAGAAAGACAAAAAATGTTCTTAATTTGACAATTCATAAGGTTTTTGTTATTTGTCTTTTTTTTTTATTATTCAAGGTGTCAGGTCCATCTATGATTCCTACCTTCAATCTCAAAGGAGATGGGGTTATTGTGGTCTCAGAGCATCTTAGTTCATATTTCAGAACAATTAAAAAGTAAGTGGCCAGTTCCATTGAAATGATGTACAAAGAGGCCATTAGGTTCCTAGTAAAAATTTGTAATTTGAAGTCTTATCAACACATGTATCATTTCTTCCTAGTTTGGATGAACCCTGTCACCTCAGAAAGTGCAGTTTAGATAATAAATTACTTTTTCTCAAAAGAATGATGTAGACACTTGTCTCAAGATTGAGATGACTGACTGAGTTTTTTGCCATCTGAAACTCTACTTTTGAGCTAAAGAAAACTTGTTTGTGTGCTACAGCTTTAGGTCACATGCTAAGTTCATATGTGACAAGTTAGTGTTTTCTTTTTAATTGCTAGGATCTGCAATGTTGTAAGGAATTTTTTTTCCAGCATATATATATATAGTTAGATGGCTCAGTTATCTAAGGAAGAAATAACATAATGGGTTTTCTGTGTTTTGACATCCAATTTAAAATTAGCCATCTTTCTTATTCTATCTTCATGGTGATTTTGATATAAATATGACAGCTTGAAGTGACTACTTAACTTCAATATAACTAAATTAGCTAACAAAGTATTTTTTACCGAGATCTGTTTGCAGCTATTGGGTTGTAGTAATTTTGAGAATATTTAGCTGACCAATTGTATGTGTTACTGCTTACAGAGGAGATGTTGTCATTCTGAGGTCTCCTGAGAAACCAAATAACCTTATTTGCAAGAGGATTGCTGCAATGGTTGGTATATTGTGCAATAGGTACTGCATTAACTCTGTAAAAAAATGTTTGAAATTGGAATGGAATAACCTGATAAAGTCCTCTGCAGACTGTTGTTTTAAACTGTAGTAAGAGTTATTTAATTTGACAACAGAAGAGTTGATGTGATCTTTGGTCTTTTTGTTTTCCCACTTGTAGGGTGGGGAGTTCATGAGAACTGACACTGATGGAAAAGATAGCTTTGAAGTAAGTTTGTGACCGCAGACTGAGGAGAAGTAATCAATATGTCTGTAATTGAGAACAAGCCTAAAAACATTAAAAAGATGTTTAATTCTATAACCACCTGCATCTTACTAAGACTTTTTTGGTTATTGGCAAGCCAGTGACCATGTTACCATCATGTATTAACTAGGACTAAGTGACTCTGTGTTTTTGTTAAGTGATCATTAGCTCAAAGTAGAAATGAAAGTTGATGCATTTTACTTCAGAACCTCAATCTTCTTTGTATTGGCTTAAGATTCCGAAAGGACATTTGTGGCTTCTTGGTGATAACCCCAAGTACTCCAAGGACTCCAGGGACTATGGTCCAGTTCCTTATGGACTCATTCAAGGGAGGGTCTGCTTCAAGGTTAGGGCAGGGTTGCTAGTGATACAGAGATGTTACGTCATCCCAAATTAAGTAAAAACTGAATACTTTACTGTAAAGGTCATTTCCAAATCTAAGGTACAATTATCATTGTATGACTGAGTCTTTTCAATAACTTGAAGGCATTATTTTCTTGTTAACTTAGGCTTCCTCAATTGTTCTATGTTATCCATTTTAACAAGTCTGCATTTGTCATAGGGTAGCAAAGGGATTCCTGATCCCATTTCACATAAGAATTTTATAAAAATTTACACCTCACATATTTAAAAGGGAAAACTTCAAATCTTAAATTATTCAAATGGGAGGTTTCAGAGAAATCTTGAAGTTTTCATGAAGTGAAAGAAAAACTCCTCATATCACATCTATTTCAGGAGGCAAATCATGCCTCATGCTGGTTTACAAACTCATGAATCACACTTGCCTCTCCTTAAAATTCACCTATTATCATTTTTGGCCCTTATAAAGTGTCATGTTTAAACCCTTTGCCACCCTCTTTATTTGTAAGGCAAGATACAAGAGCTAAAGATCACCACAACTCCTTTTTCCTGAGACTGATGATTGTATTTTATGACTGTCATTGAAGGGGTTTAAGGAAAACAGGTGCAAGCTACTTTTTTGATGGAAATGAGTTTTGAATACTGCTATGCTTTAGAGGAAAACACACAGAAAACTTCAATTTAGTCATTCATCTGGCATTTTTGTCTATGTATCATTACCCAATCTTTAAAAGATATATACTGTCAAATAACCCTGAGTTTTATAGAATTACTCTTTTTTTGAAAACATAGAACAGTTGACAAAAACCCATGCAGAATGATATTTACTATTTAAGAGTCAGCAAGTCAAAAATGTTATCGATTTTTTCAAAAATTACATCTTAGCCTAAGAAACAATCTGCACCAGATTTCATCCACAGTCCCTCCATGTATTTGATAATTTTCAGGTATGGCCTGTGAGTGAGTTTGGAAAAGTCAGTAATCCATTCAGCAACAGATGATACCAGAAGTTGAAGATAAGCTGGGTGGGAACCAAAAAACAGATACAAATGAAAGCAGTGTACTCAGATGGCAAAAGACTTGATCAGAGAGGATGAATTAAATATTCTTAAATTGTTTCACCAGGTTAATTGCGGTTAACCATCCAGATCGTTACAGTAAGTAATGAGTGTATGAACCTACCTTATGTAGGTAACATAATGAAGGAATCAATTCAGTCACATGACAGTGTAAAGTATATGATTATTGTGTGTATCTTGCTCTCTTGTAGAACTCTAAAAAACGAAATGAATGAACTTTGTATTCCCTTTCTATTATTTTCATCTAGTAAAGTGGAGAGGATGATAAATATCCCCTTATCCCTTCTCAGTGAAAAAAGGTTTCCCACTGCAGGCAATGAAAAAACAATGTATGTACATAAATATCATAGAATCCTGAAAGGAAATAGGAGAAATATGTTACTATGGATAGGTGATAAAATACTGAATAAAAATAAATAGGTCGGCTTCACATCAGGCCTAATTTTTTCTTGTAGTCCTATGTGTTCAATGTGACTCCATTTTGGTCCAAACTCCTCAGCAACTATCACTCTTCACCTAGAGTGCCAAAATGGCGATCAGAACCCCAGGTCTAAGATTAACCCCCCCCCCTCCCTCCCCCTTCATACTTGAATGGATTAATAGAAAGAGCACAGAACTATACCTGGTGTTTACATGTCACACTATTACTTATTTAACCCTAAACTAGTGAGGGAAAATCAAAAGTGGAATGATCTAAGAACTCTTAATTATTTCTTACTTAGTCCTGGCTATTAACCAGAGAGATGAATAAAGGGGGCAAATTTCTAAAAAAACTGTGGTACTGCGTCGGTGAGGAGAGTGCAACAGGGTAATTAAGTATCATCAACTGAGTTGATAACGTAACTTGGCCACCACAAAGAGTATAAAAGTTAACTTTTAATCTCTTTACGGTGGCCAAATTACGTTATCAACTCAGTTGATAATACTAAATTACCTTATGAACAAGAGAGTCCTAATTTAGCGTAGTAAGAGAAACCTATCAAGTTAATCTGTATGGATCGGCCATGTGCCAAGTTGGAAAAAGCTTTGAGGAGTCGTCTTGTTGAATTTTTTTTCGACGCATAATCCTTCCAATAGTCAATGATTTTGTGTGACTAAATGGCCCGGCAGCCGGGCAGTCTCAGTTGGACTAAATACCCGGTATCAGAAATGTTTACAGAATCTCCACCAAAAGTTCCTTTCAAACTTCTTTACAGAAGCAGATGTTTCCGTTTAGAAATGTTAAAAGATTCCAAAAATTAATTTGGCTTTTTAGTGGGAAAATTCTCCAAGCTTGAGCATACTTTAATAGTGATAATATTGCTCGGTTGTCAACACTTAGAAATTGTACGCTTCTGATCAGACTGCCAGGCACGGTTTCGAATGGGCTAAATGCTCAGAAGTTAAAAATTTTCACCAAAGTGCCACTGAAAGTTTCCTTGAAACTTCTAAAAAGCATCAGAATTTGGTAGAGAAATGTCAAGCTATACAAAAATTAATTTGGACAATTTTTCCGCGCTTGAATATACTGAAATATATATGGCTTGCCGGGTTATAGACCTTAAAAAATTGTACGCTTCTGATCAGACAGCTGGGCACGGTCTCGATGACTAAATGCCAGGCAGTCAGAAATCTTCACCAAAATGCCACTGAAAACTTCATACAAACCTGTCTAGTACATTCGATGTTTGTTTAGAAATGTTGGTTTTTCAGTAACATACTAAAACATATTAACGTTATAGTATGCGCAAGATCGAAAAAATTGTCCACTGAAAAACCAAATTAATTTTCTGATATTCCCAAGAAATTTGGAAGAACCCTTCGGTGGAAATTCTGTGAACATTTCAGACTGCCGGGCATTTAGTCTACTTGAGACTGTGCCCGGCTGCGAGGCATTTAGTCACAGCGGATTTTGTAAGTAAGACGCTGAATCCTCTGAAGATCCGGGCGTTGACAAGACGCACTTGGATGGTGCATAAGAGTCTCCATGTAAGAGCTGAAGTAACAAGTAGAATGGAAGGTGAGTCCTTCCGCAAGTGCATCGGTTCAATGAGGTGTACAAGCCCTCAATGTCACTACTATGTATTGGCAGTCCGTAAATGCTCCGAGAACTGGGAGGAAATGTGGTGCTGTTTATCCACTGAGAGATCATGTAATCTACCAGACCTTGAGGGGCTGAGGTAGTAGCGTGGAGCCCAAGCCTCTGGAAAATGTCTGCAAGGAATGGGGCAAGAACGTTGGCGCCATGAGCATCTTGATGTATTAGAGCGACATGACTAAAAATGTCGGGCGACATAACTTCAGTTGAGAAGACTTTTGGGTGACTCGACCGGATACGTGTCCGAATGAACTTCTCACTATCAAATTTTATTCAAATTTGGGCCGAAGATTTTTGGTTTGCTGGTTCTTGTTTGTCCAAAGATTCTGAGTGTAGTGCTCAATAAAACGACATTAATCAGCCACTCCGTATCGCAAGGAATTGTAACGTGTATTAACGTAGACCGTGTCCAGAATCGGATTAGGAAAACTGGGAAAGAATTTGTAATCTAACCAATCAAATTGCAGGTCTCAAGTGAGTGTCAGTTCAAAACAAGATGGCTGCAATGTTTTGATGAAATATCTGAATAATAACCGTAAGCCCATGCAAAGAATGGATGGTGATTCAGATGACGAAGGTTTGAGAGAATATCTGTTTTATCTCGTTGTTAACGTAATGTTCTACGTGAAGAAAAACGAGAGTGTAGTTAAACTCTCTTGCTTTGCAACTATATGAACTTGGCTAATGAGCCGGTTTTGGTAACAGAGAGGCCTCAGGGGTTTCTGATAACTGTTACACAATTTTTTATAACGTTGTCAGAAGAGAACGATCAGAAGGTATTTCAGTGAATAGCCAGAAATTTGACAAATGTAATAGATTAAACGTTTTTCGCGCGATTGTGGTACTGCGATCTTATGATGTTTCTTTGCTGCATCAGTTTGCCTGCATGAAAATACCACGCCAGAAACTACTGGGTTTTTATCCCCTTGAATAAGTATGTTTAGGCTAAATTCAATGCTAGCATTTTACTGCTAACTTTCTTGGCCCTTTCCTTAGTTCTGCGCTTCTACTGTGGGACTGGTTGAAACGGAAAATTAAACCAAAAATACTTAAAGCTTTCCTTTTTAATTTTAAATTTGTATTTTACTCCTGTTCTATTGCTGATCTATTCTATTCATTTACTTAAATCTCTACTGGCTGATTATCACAAATGTTTTCAGCTTTTATAGCTATAGCAAATGAGCTGTTGGAAAAATGCAACCTTCCTGGCACAATATCTAAACTTGAGGAATGCAGTGACAACTTCTTTGTCGCAGTTTACAGAGGTCTTCTTGGTGATGATTTGCCTGGTAAGGTTAGACTATGGCATCTTTTTTTTCTTAGATTGCTTGGATCATCCATAAGCAGAATCATACATTTTCACCTCCAGAAGTACTAACATGTGCACAAATATTGTTACTCTTACCCTATCATTAATTTTGGCATCTTTCATCATTTCACAGGTATTGTAGAAAATCCCATCTCAAATGAACAACATGTTTTGAACTGCCAAACTTTGATAGATTCAGTTGCTTCTGATATTCTTAATGTGGATCTAACTCACATCACCGGGAGCAGCATTGTGGAAGGTGACAAGATTTCAATTCGGAACTTGTTAGAGATCTTTGCTGGATTGCTTGAGTTTTTCATGGAGTATGATGATGATGACGGTTAGTAGCCCACTCCAAGTTTAATTTGGTCTCTGCCAGTGTTACAATTTACTGTTATTCAAAAGATATTATTATAGTTTGTGGTTGGGTATCCTGTGAATGGTGAGTAAAACAGTAACATACTTGCACAGGTACAAACAAGATAGTATGTATATGAAAAGTCTGCAAAGGAGAATGACTTGTATATTGTCTTAGTTTCTGCAACACAAAGTGGTTAGTGGTATTGGTACTTCCTCAGAATAGGTTCCTTAGTCATCAAAAGTTGTCCCTCATGATATGTAGTAAATAAACCCTCAGGCTGCTGGTACAGCCTGAGGGTTTGGCTGATAATGTCAGCGGCTGAGATATTGTCTGAAAAATGAATTTTTGGTGGAGAAGCAAAGCTTCAAGATCAAATATGATATTTTGAGGACAATCTGTCAGTCAAGGACATTATCAGCAGAGATACCAGCAAGCTAGAAAGGGGTTTATTTGTTTTATAACCCTTGCATTAATTTTGATACTGCACCAAAATAGCTTGTTATAAAGCAATAATTGATTTCTTTTGTGTTTTCTGAAACACCATTTGCAACCAGTGCTTTAATGTTGCTATCACTGGACTCTGAAAAACGAGATTGTTTTTCCTGTGTGTAAGATATTATAGATGACAGGTAAAATTCTTGAGCTGGCTTTTTGTGCTTTGTTTCTTTTGGAAACAGTGCAAATATCAATGCATACAGGAGTTATTACATGATGCTTGTCTGGTGATTTTGCACCACATGACATAAAGTAGCCAATAAAAGCATGCAAAAAAATAATGGGTGGGTTATAATGTCAGATATTCCTGATAGTTTGAGTTACATTCACAGTCCAAACTTTCACTGTTATGGTCCCCATGGCAGCTAGGACAAAATTTTGGCTACTGAATCTAAAGTATAAGTTGCCAATTTGGGGACCTGGGTCTGGTGGTCATATCGGGATATGAACTATGGTTACAATTTAGCTTTCCTGGTCCGATGTAATATTACTCATGCTTGGTCATTTTCTTGTATAAAATTTTCCTGTTTTTCATCAGGTTCCCAAGAATGTATTTATGAATTTTAAAAAATTATGTCTGTCATTCAACCATACTGCTTATTTGACCCATTAAACTCCAGATAGTGACCTATTTCTCTTTACAGTAATAATGCTGAATCATTCATTAAGATCATGAAAACAAAGGAAGTGATTGCCAACTTTAGAAGCTTTGTATGGAAAAATAATTATCCTTGTGGGCACCTTAAGGAATGTACAGGGAAAAGGAGGAAGAATATGGATTATGATGTTAGGGTGTAAAGCGTAAAAAAGCCAAGGGGTGTGGATAGCACATTAGTATATTACATATGTAATGTTGTATAAAGAGGTTTTACTTCTTTACTTTTTTTGTTTGTGTGGCAACCAAAACTTTATTGCAGACAACTACATGTATTTAATGATTTTAGATTGCCAAATGGTAAATTAAGAAAAAATTAGACTAAAAATTTAGGTAGATTGTGTAATTATTATCCAGTTAAGAATTGTCCAGGATCATTGAGCTAAAATCCCAAATTATGAGAAAGATTATTTGGAAATGTCCTTTCACATGGTTTCTTTCTTTGATGATGTAGCACTAGTGGTCACTGTTAAAATTGCATTGAACTCTTTATAGCTTCTGGAGATGAAAATGATTCCAATTTGCTGACTTCAGAACACGATGTCATCTCTGGCGTACTAAGAGAAGAATTTGGTCCCTCATATGAAGCTGTTTATGGTTTTAGGTTTGTGAACTGCATTTGCTAAACACAGTTGAGCCAAATTTCTACCCTCACTTATTAGAAACTCTACATGATGAAACCAAAACAAGCTTCCCTTCTCCATTCCATGTATAGATCAAGCTAAAAGGAAACTGCTAATTGAAATAATTATTTTTTGCTAGGTAGCACATTTCTAAACTTTTTTTGATTATGGTATATGGCAGTTGATCATGCTTCTAAAATTAACATATTAATTAACTAACCTTGATTTCTAATGAATAAGACCTGAATTTAAGTATTGCATGGTTATTTGGTCAATGATCTCTAATTTGTGGCTGATAGTCTACATTTAGATAATGTTTAAGTAATATTTTGATGCTGGAGAAATTCTTGATGAATTTTTTTATTATGATATTGTTACCTTTTTTCACTAAAAAAGGGACAGGAGAGGGGAGATAAAGAGAGAACCACCATTGTCACAGCAGTCAAGTGGAGGAGTAATGCTAGATAGAAATGGAGAGGAAAAGAAACAAGGAACACCAGCAACGTCATCAACTAGAGTCTCTGTTGTGTGGGATCATGAAAATTCCACTGGCTTTGATGCAGACACTTCAAAGGTAGGAAAACCATTTTTTTCCTTTTTTTTAACACCAAACCAACCAATTTATGATGGATGGATTCTAGGAAGACTATCAAGGGAACCTTCATGGAAAGCAATTTAAAGTTTTTGAATTTTAAATAATTTATAGTATTAAAACAAACAGAATTTACATGTGAATACAAACTGATTATGGAGGTAGAACTCTTTTAAATTATTTTTTAAAAGGTGCTCATCAGCTTTTTATTTCGAAATGAAGGCTTAATGAGTAGCCCCAAAGGAAACAGTGAGTTTTGCTTTCTTGACACCTACAATGGAACACTGAGGGCCAGTTATTTTCATGAGGTTTAACCCAAACCACCATTTTACATAATCAGTGGGCTCATGCTTTCTTCATAAGAGGTTCGATTTAAACAGTGTCCTTCAACTGTTAGCTTTCAGCATTCTTGACTATGTTTACAAAAATAAATGTTCATGTGAAAGATCCAGTTAAATTGAGGATTGTTTAGGAACAGTTTTGTTACCAATAGCTGAGGTTTGTTTAAATAACCATCCCTGTAAGTCACATAGAGATTTTGAAACCTGATGTGCATGTATGTGTACCTGATCTGTTTTAGTGCTTGCCTTGTGATGTTTTTTGCAGGCTTCTTAGGGGTATGCCCAAACTGACCATTAAATTCTTTAAACTTTGAAATTCCCAGCTAAGTGACTCAAAAATAGAAGTTGTAAGTGACTCAACAACTGAACTTATCAGACTGGGAGAGACCATGTCAGACAGATTGCAACCAATAGGGGTAGAAAGAAGGCCAGAAGCCAGAAATCAGGTTCCAGATTCAACATTAGACATATCTGCTAGATCACCTTTGATCAGTGTCAGTTCTCAGCATGGTAGCAGACTTTACAGGGATGATGCCTTTGGTGGCACTCTAAATGGCACAAGACCTTTGCAGGATAATGCAAAGCCAGTTATGAATAATGCAAGTGCCTTAACAAGTTCCAAAAGATCAGATTTATCTGGAATTAGGTGAGTCTGTGAACTTAAAATATTTAACTTTAATTTAAGTTAACAGGCCTTTCCACTTCTCTTTATCCAAGTGGGAGACTCTGAGCTGTGCGAGAGAGTGGAGTAAAAGTGATGGAAGATGTAAACTGAAGATTTCCCTTCACAATTTGACTTTTTTATGCTTGGGTGTTACGATATAATTTTTCTACTCAGCCAGTGGATGATCTACACAATGTTTTCTACCAAATGAACAAAATTTGCATTACATTTGTAGGGAGCCAGGCCAATCCAGTGTACTTGGTCGTGATGCCACTTCTGCAGAAGATGAACTGACACAGTACACTTTGACGCCCACAGAGGTGGGAAATTCTCCAGCTGTTAGGGATAAGGTATGAGTGTCAACACTTTAAGAGTTATTCTCGTTTTTCTTCGTTGTTATTTTTTAACAGTGTTCACCTGTTTAAAGTGTGGTTTAAGATTTTTTGAAAGAAGTTGCTTAATGTGTAGGGCTTCTCACCTTGTTTGCCTTAAGGACCCTGACAAGCCTTTAACCAGTTTTCTGTCATCCTCCTCAACATCTGCTTCATGGCCTGAGCAAATATCACCACTAGAACCCTTTAAAGACTCTAGCGCTAGAGAGACAAGTAGCTTTGATGCTCTTGGTGTGAGACCAAAACAAAAGCCCCCAGCAAGTTCAGGTTCAGAAGCTGGGGACAATAGTGGACGGTCAACTCCAGTTTATCATCATTACCACCATCACTTTCATCACACACAGCCACAAGGGACTGTACCAGGTATTAAACAAATGATTCTGTTGAAAACTTGTTGATTTTACATCTGGATTTTCTCATACATGTACACTTTACATGTACATTTCAAACCTCTCACAAGGAGAAGATTGCTGGCACCCTTAATGCCTCAGGTAGTTTAGAGTTGTTTTTATCCTTCCTTTTTGTTAAGAGTACATTGTCAGTGGGTGATGGAAAATTCTCAAAGATTTCCACCATAGGGAGTAGTCAGGTCTGCAATTCCCTGAAAAGTAATCCTTTGATAGACCTGGTAGATAGAGAGCCTTGAGTGGGTTATTTTGTCAAAGTGGTTAACTCTCACAATGCCCCTGTTTTGGACTAGGTTCTGTCTAGGAGGTATTATGTAGACACACACAGTTGTAATTGCTAGTGCTGTGCAAGTTGTTTTCCTTAAACTAGAGACTTTCAGTAGCATTACATGTATGTGTGGTACATGCTGTAAGCTTCCTTTTTGCTAGTCCCAGAGTTCTTCCTACATTCTTGTTGCTGTCTTGCTATCATTATTATAAATTGTTTTTTTGTAGAATTTCAGTCTGTAGCTGGAGTTAGTGCAGCAGCCTCAGTTGATGCACCAGGTGAAACAACCAGTTTGTCAAGGACGAAGCCTACTGGAACAGTGCCAGGAACTAGACCTTGTCCAAGAACAACTGATAGACTAACAAGGACAGTTCCTGGCATTTATACTCACCCTCACTCAGGTGAATTTTTCCTTTACTATTCTTTGAATTCTCATTTTATCTCAAATTCTTACAGTACAGTACTTTGTTAACTACATTGTACCTGTTAAGAGCTTGTCAAAATTTTGACAAGTTTCATATCATTGTAGGTACAGTCATATGATACTGTATGTGGATTGTTTCCTTTCATCTGACTTGGACATTAGACAATACCACTTTCCCCATTTTTAACAATCATGGTATAGATTTTCTTTATTACAAGGGAGTTTTTAATTAGTTGTTGTCCCAAGTGATACCAGTGCACTCTCTTCTACAGGTCTCTCACAACCATCTGCCACCACAGTCACAGGAACAACATCAACCTTAACTGACTCAGTATTTCTATCAGGGTCTGGATCATCCCGTAAGAACTTTGTGTAATCAAGAAAACGAAGTGACTTTTATCTTGCATTTTTTGTGGACTGTATGATTTAATAGTTATGCCAGGGACGCTTTCCAACCGGTGGAAATATCCCGAAGAACTTTAAGTAAGAGAAACCTGTTATGAACCTGTTATGGATTTCTCAACCCAACTGAACAGTTATACCATCTTAAGTGCATCATAACAGTAGTGCATCTTATTGAGAATAGTTGTGCTTGTAAACAGGATGTTGTTAAAACTGATAAGTGTGACAGGGTGGATTTCACCAAACTACATTAATGATTTTTTTGTCTTGAATAAGCGCTTAGAATCTCTTTGCATAATAAGGAAGTAGACCCTATCACAAACGCTGAATGATGATGAACCTACACGCAACTCATGCGCACCACGTTTGCACTTGTTAGGTCCCCGTTTTGTAATGGCAACTAGTTCTGATATTCCAGCTGATTCATCAAGTGGCAAAGCAGCCTTACAAGGAAGGCCGGCTGTTTCATTAGCAACAAGCACAGCAACATCTACAACAGGTTAGGTATCATAAACATCGTTGGGATGCCTTTTTTTAGTTTTTCCTTGTTTTAGTCTATTAAATCGTCCTCGCCACCAGTAGCGATTTTCATTCCCCAACAAGCTCCTCTTCTTCTTCCATCATCCTTTCTTAAACCGTCATTTCTATCCTGAGTTAGAGGTCAAACCATCGCCATCCAACAATCACCAAAACTATAAAGGGGATAAGTTTCTAAAAGAAACTGTGGTGCTGAGTTGGTGGGAGAGTATGACAGGGTAATATGGTATTATCAACTAAGTTGATAACTTAAATTGGCCACCGTAAAGAGTTTCAAAGCTGACGTTTCGAGTGTTGGCCCTTCGTCATTTGCTCTAAGGAAAAGCTAACGCTCAAAACGGTGGTCAATTTACGTTATCAACTCAGTTGATGATACCAAATTACCCCATCACCGAAACTGTTGGTTTACTATGAACTTCAAAGTTCGACCCCGTCAAGTTGTTCAGTGATTTTGGGGTTTGTTCAAGTGGTGCAGTGGTGCTATAGACAGCAAAAGACAGCATACTTTGAATCATTTTTCCAGGTTCATCCACGCCAGTGTTATCGTCACTGCCACCCACAAGTAACAGATCTTATAGTGCATTAAAGGAACGGGTCTCACTACCAGAACAGACAGACGAACCAACAGACCGATTGAGAAGTCTGAGGAGAAAGCAGGTACATTAAAAAGATTTTACTGGCTTTTTTAAAAAGTCTGTCTATCGTAGAGCTGGTCCTCCGCCTTCTGGATATAGGGTATTTTGTTGGTGGTTGATCAGACGAAAGGCAGTTGCAGCGTCTATTTTCTACATGCTTGAAGAGTTTCGCTAGAGTAAGGTCTGAGCACGATAATCAGCGTGCTGACAAGAATAATTATTTAAACCAGTCTCAGCTCGTCGTAAAACAATTGCAATGAATCCTAAACGGGAATGCGTTCTATTATGAAGTAAGTAAAGTCTTTATACGGGCCCAAGTGGCCCATGGGGCCGGTACTTAACTCCGGTTTTCTTAGCATGAAGCGGCTAGGAGTATTGCTACTCCCCCCTGGAGGGGATGCTAGTCCATCGCAGGGTTACCCCCAGCACATTTGCTGGTACCTATTTGTACACCTGGGTCAAGAGATGCAGTGTGAGAGTAAAGTGTCTTACCTAAGAACACAACACAATGACCCCGGCCAGGGCTCGAACCCGGACCACCCGATCCGGAGTCGAGCGCACTTAACCATGAGGCCACCGCGCCTCCACTCGTTCTATTATAGACTTACCAATTTCCAGGTAAGTTGTCTGAGTTCTTTTATCTTCTTTGAACAACCAACCTCTCCATTTTGAACTCATTGTCCTCGATAGAAAGAGAAACAGCGGCTTATAAGTTTTAACTGAGAGGACACAAGCTAAGCACTGAGAAAAACATCTGACTCCCGAGTGGACGCCATAACCGTCCTTAAATCGGTGGTATGATTTACTGAAGAATAGGACGTCAACGAATTTAGACAATAGAGTAGAATTGCAAGTGATAAGTTTCCTGCCTACTGCTTTTAAGTACTGTTCAGACTTTTGACACTCTCGAAAAATAGTTTTGACGTCTTCCTTTAATCGTAATGTGTTTCTTTCCATGGTGCAGCCATTAGCGTCTTCTCTCCCCGTCAGACTGCAGAAAGGATCCAAAAGTTCTGAACATCCAGCGCTTCGATCAACAGCTGCAGAGCTTTTACAAAAATACACCACACCGGATGACGAAAGTGGTGAAAGTGACAGTGAGAGGGAAGCAGACGACGAGGAGTTAGGTCAGAACAGTGATAGTGCTGTTGGTGAGCTGTCTGAATTTCTAAAACATACATTGAGCGGAAATGAAGAAGTAGAGAATTACGACTACGGCTACGATTACGAGATTTGATATCAAACATCTGATGAGAAAATACATAACTCGAGAATTTTATTTCACGCTTCGTAATTGCTAAAAGAGATACCTTTTTCGTGCCACTAAGACATTCTCATCGTAATTTACCCACAAGTCACAATTATGGTAAGAATTAACTTCTTTTAATCAGATTACGGAAGACTTGAACCTCCTGCAGCAAAACCGACGACGAGAGATTTCTCAACTTCTCGATCAAGTGGTAGCGCAACCAGGACATCTACGAGGCCAAGAATGCCTCGCAGCTATAAAGGTGAAGGTGCCAACAGCGTCCGGGGTTTTCCTGATTTCTGCTAAGTTATTTTAAAAGCCACCGTGAAGGGGATCCTAACCTCATGCGAGTTACCTCTAGCCCACTCCACCTTAGTATTCACTCCAGAGCACCCAAGTGTCCGGCCTACCAAAGATCGAAATGACCTTGCCCAGAGGTCACCACTTCTACAAGACATTCCGTTTCTGACAATGGATTCAATTATCGATTTTAGTTTGTTTTTTCCTTTGGTGCTGACATTGTTGCTTTCAGATGCAAAGTCGTAGAAGTCTTTCTACGCTGCTATCTTCAAAAAATTTACAACTAAAATTTTCTCTCACGGCTCTTTAGAAAGTGATTTCCCATTGATCTGCAGAGATAAGAAAACCTTCCTGAATAATTATTTTGTTATCCAACCAGAATCAACTGAAGAAGATTCTTCTCCTGAACGTGCTCCCCGCCGCGGCGTGACTTTCCGTGATACCGTAGAAACGTTTCCAGTTTCAGGGAGAATGGATCGGTTAAGGCGCCTGTTGTACGAGGAGTCCGAGAAGGAGCGGAAACGACACACTGAAACCATGCGCAAGACTTATCGTGACCAGTTGAGGGAAATACAACAAGAAAAAAAGAAAGAGAAAACTTTGCACATGAAAAGAAAATTACCGGTAACTCTCACTATGAGTTAATTTCAGTAACGTGCTTAACGATAAATAATGAGCACAAAAAGGTCCAATCTCCCATCACCCCTTACGTCCTCTTTTAGGAGTGAACCTCGCACAGTTTTCCTCAACCCTCACCTGTATGTGATGACATTGCTATTAAGAGCCACAGTACGGTTGCTAAGTTGCCTTGCTTGGAACGAAAAGAAAATGATGTCTTAGAACGGAAAAATTCGAATGCGAAACCTGCAAAAAAGAAAATTTGTTTCATACTGATAACCACAAATACTTACCATTGAATACCATTGAAGAAATTCAAACAAGCTTTGTACAAGGTCTCTCTGAATTCTCATCCGACCATTTTAACTTATAGCTCTCACCAAAAGTTCCAAAGAAGAAACCGAAAAAGAAGTCTCCAATCCAGAAACGTGGGAGATTGGAGGCTGTCTATTGCTCACAGACTAGAAAATCCCGGCCAGTGAGGAGGACTTTGACAACGGAAAAGGGAAGGAAGAGAAGTGCATCAGCGAGCCCTGTATTGGGTAGGAGAAAAAGTGACAGTCCAGGTTGGGTATCGCATCATATTAGCGAAACATTATCTTCAGATTATGTCGTTCAGTATTGTACGATCGCCTAATTTCACGATTCAATCGTACTCTACATTCGCCGAAGGTGTTTGTAGTTAGATTGGGAAATCTCGTTTTGCGCTCACGAGACTTCTTGCCTGTTGGATAGAACGTTTTCACTTAGTAATTCAGATGGAGATGTACCTTTGCAATAAGTCTGCGTTTAATAATTGTATTTTGGGAGATTACAGCTAAATAAGCTGTTTAAACAGGTCTGTAAGGAGCTAGGTCACCATTCTTAGAGCTGTTACTGTTTTTGGAGTTGTTGTTTTGGGGAAGGGTTGGAGAAGTTGCTGTGGTTCTTCGTAATTTTTTGTAATCAAACTATGAAATATTAGTTTGTGAGAGAAGGGAATGTTAACCAGACACTTAAAAAGATAACGAAGATTGTTCATGATGAACTTAAAAAATTTACATCTATAATCCGAAAATTTTCTTGGCAATCTCCTACAGATCACCCAGACATGTTACTTCCTGCCATGTTGGAGGAGTTCCCTTTCTTGCATGTCTCGCCCCAAACGGCCCACAGCATGTGGGACAAGCAGGCGCGGCACCTTAGTTCCTTTCTTAAATCTGGTGCGGACGCCAATAGAACCAAAACTCAGAGAATGATTGAAGAAGCTGAGAAACGACAAAAGGCGTTAGTGGGAATTTTAAGAAAAGATGTGGAACATAATATGAGAATGGTAAAGTTATATTTGCAAACACAAATTTCAGGAAAGTGAAAAAACTTATGTTGTTTTCAGTGCTCTTTGAACAGAACACACTTTTGATACGATCGCCATCCATTTAGTAACTGTTTAGTATGTTTTCACCTTATTTCTTCCTCAATGTTATTTTTTAGCGTGATAAACAAGAGCGGCAGCAACAACAGCGGACTGTAAAGGCAAAACTGAGAGAAAAACGTCAAGTCTCTGCACGTGCACGTCGATACTACGATGAGTACGAGCTGCGCATGCGGGCCAGAATGTTGAAAAGGCGCACACGTGAAGAACAGGTTGGAAGTGAATAAACGCTGTCAGGGCCCAATTTTTTTCCCTGTGTTTAAAGAAGGGTATTTTTAGTGTGTAACTCTTTCGAGGCATTAAACTGCTTTGACACGTTCTCATCGTTTTAAGTATTTAACGTGAATCTTCTTCTCTTGCCTTAGATATTTAAAAGGTTGTTTGAGGATGGTTTGGAGATTCAAAAACAACGCATACGCGAACTTAGAGAGTATGCAAAAGAGAAGAGAGAAACTTTGGCTCAGAGGCAGCAAAATGAAATTGAGTCACTAGAAAATTTGTATCCTTTATTTCGTACTCGTTTCTTAGTATTTTCTCTCCTAAGGAATTTATGAAAGTGCCATTACTAGCTTGTCAAAAGAGTTTTGCTTGGAGACGATTATACAGAGAGGAGATTATAACAAAAACATTCTGGGTCTCTCTCACAAGCATGTGAGATCAGTCTGCTCTGATGATTTTCAAAGTTGTCCTTTTGTTTTAGGATTTGGTTGAGGAAGAATTACTTCTTTCATTCCTCCTTATTTGAGTACTTCTCCCTATTGAGCAACGAAGCCTCGTGTTGGGAGCTGGGAAAATTTGAATGGATTTTCGTGTGAGGAATCTTATCAGAACTATTGAGCGAATTAACCCTAGGCAGTGTCTGAGAAGCACACGCTCAAGCCCCGTCAAAGCCTTATTTACTTCTTCTTTTTTTCAGTGTTCTGTTTAATTAACTGCAATTTACCTGTGTGGTTCAGTTTTCCACACATATTACTGTTATCTGATCAGCCTTGGTGCTATTGTTTCCTTGACGCGCATTTTTCAGCTATCGTGACCAGTTCGCCATGTTGGCGGATGGAATCGCTCGGGAGAGATACGAGATGGAAGTGCGTGAAAAAGCTCAGGAGAAGGTAAGCTCACTAACACGCAAGTGAGTGAGTGAAGACTTGACTATCAGCTGCGCAACTATGACTTCACTATGTGCACATTTGTTGAGAAACCATCACAGCGTTACTTCCTGTTTTCGGTATTAAGTTCAGCTGTACAGCCTTCTTAGTCACACTTAGCAGCAGGCTGGGATGGCGCAGTAGTTGGAGCGCACGTTTTCCACTGCATTATTGTGGTTTAGATTCTCAGACCTGGTGTCAAGTTGTTGAGGTTATTTTTTCTGTCTCTTGTCCTTTCACCCGGGATTTCCTCCATCTACAAACACTAATTTCAGTAAGGACGACGTTCCAAACTCCGGAGCCTTAAATCCAATCGTGATATATATATATATATATATATATATATATATATATATATATATATATATATATATATATATATATATATATATATATATATATATATATATATATATATATATATGTATATGTATATATATATATATATGTATATATATGTATATATATATATGTATGTATAAAGAAACTGTAAACTTCTGTGTCGAATGAAGATACTAAAACCAATGAAAAACGAAAGTCTTCTTTTAACTTTTACTTTAAAAGCAAAGTAAAAGTTAAAAGAAGACTTTCGTTTTTCATTGGTTTTAGAATATATATATATATATATATATATATATATATATATATATATTATGGGAGGAAAAAGATAAATAAACTGTTTATTTGTCTTTTTCCTCCCACAATATAGACATCGCTCTACTCCTATGTACTGAGCACTGTTATACGAAAGTCAAAATTTTACACTCTCTCTCTCTATATATATGTAAATTAATTCAACATTGTACGTTGGTGGTGAGCGGTAAATTAACTTTCCAACCGCATATTTAAACGTCTTTTTTTTCCATCTTTTCGATTCACAGGTGGTCCGACAAATGCGACGGGAGTTACGGCGGAAATTTGAACATGACGTGCAAGAATTCCAAGAAAATCTACATCGGGATGAAGACTCAGCTTACTTTAGGCAGTTAGAAGCTGACAGACTAAGAGGCAAATTTCAACTTGCAACCCGCAACGCGTTTTATTGAAAACCAAGTCGTTCACTTTAACGTTTCTTTAAACGCTTTTACTTCTCGTGTGGAACTGTAGGCGGAGATGCTCATTGTTTATTCGATTTCCAGAGTCTAGAGTGTAATTCTACCTTCCAGAAAAACTGGGAAAAAGTCCATTATGCATGAAGAGGTAGACTGCTGTGTAATTTGTTATTTGAATTAAGTTGCTTGCGTTTCTTGTGACAAAATAAAAATTCACCATACTTGCTTGTCGTATTTTGATGTGCATTTCACATATGATGCTTGGGGACGTAACGAATTGATGATCGCTGGCACTTAGAAGTTTGACGCATATTTCGGCGAAAACTCGTTTCCGTTCACACTCCCCTAATCCCTTGCAAGCGGGAAACGATGACTGAAAGCGTGACCTCTGGGAACGAGATATATTTCCGCGTCATTTGTATAGGTAATCACATGATTTCGAGTGCAATTTGGAATAAATAAGCACGAGTAAATTTTTTCAAAGACTAACAAGTGCTTCTTTATTCCAAATTTGCACGAGAAAAATCATGTGATTACGTGTTAATAATATATATGGAAAAATTCGAGATGGCTTATCAAAATTAAGCATAAGCAAAGGCGCGCATCAAGCGTAAAAATAATTTATTCAAACCATACGTGCGGTCAAAACAACAACGTACGATCAAAAGAATAATATGCAATGATATCTTCACATCTTTAAGGCGCAAATAAAAAGGTCAAAGTCCGGCTAAACAGTTCAAGGAATTGTTCAGTCTGTGTCCGAATCACTTTCGATGAAATGGAATCGTCGTTTCCGAGGTTTAACAATGTTTGTTTCTAATTTCGGCGTTGGATCGCTCGAGCAAAATGTTAAGCTAGGTCGGCTCGTAATTTTCGATTTCCTTGGCAATTTCCTTCTCTAAACACCACTTTTTCAAAACCGACAACCAAAAAGCAGTGCTTTTTACAGTATTTTCGTTGTTTGAGCTGTTTTTCAGCTGCGGTGGCGAAAGAAAACCTACTTAAAACGCCGGCCATCGTTTCGCTCGCAAATTTTCAAATTTTGCTGCGACATCCAAGGCTTGCATTTGATTGGCTATCTGTGAGTTTCTTTGATTATTGACCAATCATAATGTCTGATTTGTTACTTTCTTTGCACTGAATTAACCCTCTTCTGCACTGAATTAACTCTCTTCTGCACTGAATTACCTGAAAACTGCATTTATCTTAACCAATCAGAACTGAGAAATTTTTCCATGTATATTATTATACATGAAACAGTTACTTACTCGCACATGTTCGGGAGATGAAGAAATAATAGCCAACTTTCCTCAATAGTATTTTTTGCTATCTACTCTCCCAAAACAATGTAGCCGTGGTTGGAATACTCTTTGTGTATGAGTAAGCGTTAACTGGGTATTTGGTTTTGAAGTAAGAATTAAAAATCATATCTTAAAATACATTGAACAGATTTATCAACGGCTCCATCAAAATCTGCCGCTTCAATATCAATTTTTAGCTGTTGATGGTTCATATCACGTGACCTATGTTCCATATCTCAGCGGGATACCGGTAAAACCTGCCGTGATACCACAGGGTACAAATGAGCGTCGTGCACATCTTTTAATTTCCAATATGACGGACAAACACAGTTAATTATATTTACAATAGCTAAGATTTTCTATCGCTGTGATTGAATTTTTTATGCTATCCCGGTCATTGGGGAAGCTTCTTTTCCGTTCCGTTGATGACTACAGAGGATTTTATCAATTGTAACTTGGATGAAACAGATAAAGAGAGGAACATAAGAAGAAAAATAATTACGAGATTTTTTTAACCGGAAAATTACCAGCCCCGTGATGATATCATGTTTAGAGAATACTAGTGATGTTATTAAATCACATTAGTCCTCAAACAAGGTTTTTTACCAATATGTATATCTGTTTTATCTCAGTCTGTAATGAGTATGCTGACCAATTGCTGATCTTAAGCCGGCCTGGCTTATAACACTTTTGTAGCATAGAAACAGTTCCATAGCTAAACGGCGCTGGGGTGGAATAATAAGTGATAAAAGATAACACTATCAATGAAATAAAAAATAAACCAACTGAATGAAAAGGAACATACAGTAATGAATTCATAACACACATTTACATCCGAGAACAATGAAACCCAACCTAACGAACTTAGAAATATATACATATATATATCTAAATAGAGAGAGAAAATTAACATGAAAATTTTCTTTTACTTTTTTTTTCGTGGAAGGAATTTGGAATGAAGCGATGCTTCCGTTGTTTTGGTTTGAAAGGAAGATCACACTGGGACACAGCCGTAAGAAAGTCATAAATGTATTTTTTAATTAGAACTACTGCAACTTGTTCATTCTCAGCAAAATTTCATCAGAAGCTGCTTTTTGCTGGTTGTTCTTTGCTTCGTCCCATAAAAAATAATAAAACATAAGTGGCTTAAAAGAAGTGAAGGGCCACACTTAAGTAGAGCACACTCATTCAAAATACATCCCGTCATTCGAAGATGATTTTATCACAAATGGTTAGAAAGATAATAAAGTGTCAAAATTGATTGGCGTCATAATGTTCAGCAATGTATTGATTTATCATTTGGCTTTTCAAAGTCAACAAAGAAAGTCATTAATCTCCCAGTATTTGTTTAGTCCGCTCAGTGTAATAGTTTTCACACGCACATTATAATTTACGTTTCTCGCTCGAAAATATCAAGAAATTTCCAAGGCAATCATCTTTCCAAGGTGACAATTAATGCGGCACTGAAAGTCACAGATAGCCATTAGACACATCGTTGAGTTTTGTTATCTTTATGGATATGTACAGATATATGAGATCTTTATGGCAACTGTTTCATCTTTTTTTTTACAGATGCTGATTTTCGTGCTCGTTTATTTGTCCTTACCAGCAAAAACCCAGCCAGAAGAGGATGGTGTCTTGTTTGAAATCAAAGAAAACGTTTTTAAATTTGATGGAAACTCTATTTGGCAGGGAAAAGCAAACTCTTTATTGAGCTGTTCCCGGACATGTGCGAGTCAATCAGCTTGTAAACGGGTTATTTTTGAAGGAAGCAAAGGAACATGCTTTCTTCTCGGTGAAGGTCAAACACACTTGGCAAATACGCTTGTTAAACAAGATGGAACCTTTTATTTGAAAAAGGTAATTTAAAGTTGTACCCCTGCCAGTTCCTTGTTACTCCGGCAGGGTGCGTAGACAAGCGGCGGCTGTTCTAAATTATGCTTCTTTAACGGACTTGTGAAATGTCTCCCTCAAAAATGAATCGACCTTAGCGATAATTTTTTTCGGTAATCTTGCTTGCTCGTTGGCGAGAGAATCATTAATAATTTGATTAGTAAGAATTTAAGTCTAATGGAACCTAATCTTGAATAATGATTCTTTTTGCAGATCACCACAACAGGAGTTTACAGTTTATTGGGTGGGTGATGTAGATTTGGCCATCAAAACACATCCTGCTTCAGTGTGAATAGTAGTCAGTCCTGACACGTTCGACAACAAAATCAGCTCGTTATGTACTCAGACATTTCCTTCGTCTCACGCACGTGTCAAATGTTCCTGTATTAAACTCAAAATTTTCCATCTTCCCATCTGTAATTATTTTTCTAAAAATGAAATCCTTTTTTTTTCCTAATGCATCCCGTTCTATACAGGTACCTCTAAATCGGCAGCAATTGCCTCGTGCCAGGCCCTTCATAGCCAATCTCAGTCGGGTGTTTATTGGATTGATCCTGACGGTGGATCCCACACAAACGCCTTCAGAGCGTATTGTGACATGAAAACCGATGGAGGAGGCTGGACTCTAGTGTGGAGCTACTCCTTCACTAATAACGTAGATTTTACAGCTCATTCAAATGCAGTGACACCGAGACCCAACTGGCAAGTGACCCCTGAAGTGAATGTCCCTATATCAACAACTCCTCCTTTAAATGAAACAAACTTCAACGCCATGAATTTCTCGCTCTGGAAACTACTCGGCAGACAAATCCTCATCAAGAGCAACATAAATAACTGGCTGGTGTGTCATCCAGGAACTGGAAGTTTGGTTGATTGGCAAGAAGGGGAAGTCAGCTGTAAGGTAGTGAAACACGTGACTAACACCTGTACAAGTGCTTTGGCACCTTCCAAAATATCCCCAAGTAAAGGTTATGGACCAAAACTTTACAGAGATAGTGAATGGTACAGCCTTTACTATTACTTCGATGGATACACTGGCAAAGACTGGCCGTCTCACGATCCTTGTGGTACGAGCAAGAGCAATCATTTAAAAAATGTCGTTAATCCACGTGGAAATATATATATTCGTGCATAGCGGACTGAGTTATGGAATCTAGATCCTTAGGTAGTGAAAAGACCTCTTGAACTACTTCGACTTAAGTAAACAACACTAATGACAGCAATGATATTTAAGGGGTAGATGTGGTCGATTAGATTCAAAAGAATGCGACCTTTGGCTATCAGGTAGTTTTGGGTGATATCGCCGCAGCCGATGAGGATCAACTGAAAATTTAGTAGAGGTTCCGATCTGTGACCGTTTAAAGATGTAAAAGCTCGCATAATTAAAGTTTGGCTTTAAAGACAGTCAATAATCTCAGACGTTGATCTTCGTCCATTTCAAAAGTTTTCACGAGTGACTCCTCTTTCTAATGTTGTAAGGTCTAGTTGCCATAGTTTCATTTACATGTAATGATTTGTGAGTTTTAATAGTATTACAAGGTGGGGCAGAGAAATAAGAATTAGAAAATCTCTTACTGAAATGTCTGACAATTCGCACGACTTGGTTATTACATAATTTCTTGCGGAAGGGTAGAAAGTTCTTCGATTTTCTCCTCCTCTTCATCCAAAGCAACACCCGATCGCAGATTCGCGGGAAAGGAAGGGAAGACTGAGAGTTCGGAACATCACTAGCAATCATAGAAAGAGTTATCAAACAACAGCAACGATAACAACAACAACAAAAGTCAGTCGATTATCTTTTATTTACAAGTATGAAAAGCAGGCCGAGCGGGTCACGAGCTTAAATAAATTCAACCACACCGTGATAACCTCTGCAATATAGCTACTAAATATCTATATGTTAATAAAAAGGGCACAAAACAAATCAGACATAAATACCGTCTACATTCTTGTCATGTTCTACCTACGTTTCCGCTCCATAGACCAATAAAGTGGTGGCGCTTCCGGTAGGAAATAACTGTCATTGTATACAACAAACTTTTGATCGCTTTTTGCCTATCGCAATTAACTCTTCAGACTTCCCTTGTGGTTTCCAAACCTCACGCGGGATGATAAAGCGATGGTCGCCGTCTATTTTTTTGTTCATAGCCGTAGTGTTATTATTAACCGTTGGCAACTGAGGAATATCTGAAATGAACAAGTAAATATATGGTCCTTAAATTAAAACGATTTATCGAATCTTGCACTTAATTGCAATAAAAAAGAAAGTATTTCAAATCCAAGAAATGTTGCAAGCCCACATGCTTACTAGATCATTTAAGAACTTTAAACTACGATTACCATTTCCATATTCCAATCCACGACAAATTTTGGCAGTATTTTCAAACTGTTTTTTACTTGAAAGAGAACATTACCTTCCTCGCCAACTTCTAACTCCTTTAGTTTTTTAAGGTACTCTTGAATTTCTTTAATCTCTGGCCACCTTCTCGTGGCTCTCGAGGATTTTCGTGGCTTAAATGGAAGTCTTGTTCTCACAAATGTGTTGGGTTTGTGCTTCAATGTCTCGGCCGCCAAGTAAAACTGTGCCTCCTGGGGTTGCAAAAACCAGATTAACTGGTTTTTATCGTCCTTGAACTCTACCCTTTCGTCGTCGAGGGTGTTTATTTCCTGCGGTATAAAGTCAGATAAATGAACGTAGTAAGGTAAGGGAAAACACTGGGTATGGATAAGCTTAATATACATGTCCTTGACCTTGATGAAGAGTTCTTTTAAAGCCAGAACATTTTGAATCTGACAACTTCCTCTGGATAATCAAAAATGTTTTTGTTTTATTGATGTCGTCGTAGTTACTTTTCTTATAAATAGACAAAATGTGTGTTCCTCAGGATGACTATCTTTCAAAGCTGAGGCCTGGTCGTACTGACCAAGTAATGACAGGATTTTCTTCCTTCGTCCTGTCAGGCACAAGCTCACTAAAGGCACGCAATTCATAGCGATAAGTTTCGTTTTTTCCTTCGAAGATCCGGGTTATTCATGAAGCATTTATCGTTACCCACAGACGTATTATAACTGTTGCAGTTTTCAGCGAAACAACGTTTTGAATGTTTTTTTTTTCAATTCTTACTTTCGGGAAAAGAGTAATTGTTGGTGGTGGGGAGTATTTTGGGAGAATAGCCATTCGAGATGCCTGTTAAATCCTCTACAAATTTCATCCACATGATCAAACAAAGTATTGGCCCCGTTCACTGCGATGCAATCACCGAGGTAGTTCATAAGCTGAAAAGAGCTTCCTCTCAGGTGGGTGACCCTATATTTGAAACTAGATGCTGTTACAGGCTTCTGTTGAGAACTAAAACGTTTGCTGTGCTCATTGTTTTTATCGGATAGTTGGCGTCGCTAATTAACAAACCTTATTCAATTCAACTGCGTCTTTTAAGATTTTGCTTGCTGCTTGAGCTATGTCCTGAAAATTCATTATAAGAAATAAGCAACAATCAACATAATAAACATGGTTTTTGGGAAACACGAGCAAAACCGGCGACCAACCGTTAACTTGTCAACTTTAGCTCTTGCTGAAATGAAAAGAGAATTCGCTAACGAGAACTTACAGGTTGGAAACTGATGTCTTAAGACACAGACTGACTATCCGTTTGAAACCAAAATTAGCTTTTGCGGAACTGAGAGACCTATGAAACCGACGCCCTTCTAACATCAATCCCTTCCCCCCTCACCAATGTTTCCTTGGTTACTGACTCAAACTTTGGACCCGAATCGGCAGAAACTATCATGCAAGAAAAGAAATTTGATAGCACTAAAGCACTAACCTCAAGTTTGACATCGAATTTAATGGCAGTAACTTCAAGCTTGAAGTCGAATTTGATAGCATTTACCTCAAGCTTGACGTCGAATTTGATAGCAGTGACCTCAAGCTTGACGTCAAATTTGCTTGCACTACCCTCCAGCTTGCCGTCGAATTTGATAGCATTAGCCTCAAGCTTGACGTTGAATTTGACAGTATTAACCTCGAGCTCGACGTCGAATTTGATCGCGGTAACCTCAAGCTTGACGTCGAATTTTATAGCAGTTACCTTAAGATTGACTTAGAATTGATGGCACTAACCTCAAGCCTGACGTCGAGCTCAAGTGGTTTTCCTGTATTTTTCATTACTACACCAATCTCGTCATAAGTAACGTCATGGAGGCTGAACGGTGGTTTAGCTTTGTCTGCACTGAAATATCTGTTTTCCCAGGCGCCAGTGTGTGGATCAAACCGGTACTAAGAGTGATAAGAGTATATGAGCAATTTTATAGTATCCAATGAGGTAACGAGGTGAACTGCAATCAAAGCATTGTAGCAATCGAAGCTTAGAGAAATAAACGAAACACTTGGCGCCTCCCTAAACTTTACCTCGCTCTTAGCATGTGACTCTGCAGCTTAGCTGGCAGCAGCTCCCAGCATATACCCGTGAGCACAAAAGCAAAACAAACTACTGGAGAAGTACCAATGGACAATTTTTGGATTTTATGCAACAGGTAGTAAAGATAGCTCTTAATCTAGATTATAGTTAATATCGAAAAATAATAATAATATTAAATTCATCATCGTCAACAAAATCGTACGCTTACAGTTCATCCCCCTAAAGTTTTTTTTTTTTTTTAATTTCATTTGATATCTCTATATCTATGTCATAAGTCATATCAGGAATAACTGATAGCTGATACATTTGTTTTTTCTCGTCAGCTTTTGCTTGATGATGTATTAAAAGAGGGGAGAAGCTAGATACAATCACCTCTAGGAACTAAAGAGTCACTAGTAACCTGTGGTAACAATTTCCAGCCATGTGTGGCTATCATGTCCACTGCTTCCAACACAAAATGCACTGTCTCGTCATCCATGAAGTAAGGCAGATTGACTCTGGCAAACCCTGGTCTGAAAACAACAATTTGGTTCTTTGAGTCCTTAGTGTCCCTTTGCTGTAACATTTTTTTTTATCCTAAACTGGCTAAGTAAGGAACGTGTGTAAGTTACTATCTTTTTTCCAGTTCCAATGAAATCATGTTTCCATCAAACATTAAAATTGGCTGCGAAAGCTTTTTATATTGATCATACTAGGAGGCATGAACCAAACATGTCACGCGTCAGTGTATCGGCCATAAACACCGCGTAGCGCGTAAAATACTGAGTTATGTATGAAATTACTAGACAATTCAACTGCTGAAGACTATTAATCTCTGTGAATATTCTAAGATAATGAAAGATATTCTACTTACTTCATGATCTCCAGAGGTTCTCTACATGAGAGTTCCACATCTTCGCTGAAACAAGAAAGTAATCATTCGTACGTTTTAGTGAAACATTTTTCATAATCTGTAGAGTCTTTCGTTGTAACAAATAATGATTTTACTGTAGTATATAGGGTTGTTACTGTTAGTTGTTACTACTCAGCGAGTAGTTCATGCTTACTTTGACTGAACTGGAGTTTATCTGTGCAATGACCAAAAAATGCATTGAACATTGAAAGGCCGTTCGGTTATAGGCGATAAATTCCAAATTGTGAAAGCCATTAGCTCAATAATTAACGATTCTCCTCTTCATGTGAAACTTTCTCATGCAATGTACAAAAATCAGTCCTCTTGGAAAATTTTATTTTCTGTTAGTAAAAGGGGTTATCAGTATTGATCTCCATAGAGGTACTCGAATTAATTGACTTACTTTTCATGAGACTCAAGAAACCAGGTAAATTTCTTTGCTATAGTCTCGTTTATTCCCAAAAGATCCTGTATATATTTAGAGTGAAGGTCAGTGACAACAAAATATAATTATTAATGACAATATAGGACCAAGTCAGTGTTGGATCCTCATTCCAATGACTGGATCGATCATTAAAACTCAACTTAAGGTAGTAAAAATTCACCTATTTGGAAACATTTCTTTGTCTATCTAGGCTTTAGTGCAATATGCTGTTTCCTTTGGATCTCCCCCCAACCCCTGTCAAGAAGTTTTGTACCCACCCTTGAGAGTACAGTACAATTCGGTCTGTAATCATTTGAGCGTTCGTGAATGAATACATTTCTACGACAAGTTTGAATAAAAGTGTTCAAGCGCACACAAATGGCGCGTAAACTAAGCCACAACACCGCACAATTGCCAGCGTAAAGCATACTTTGTCTGATTACTTTACAGAATACTCATCATCTGTAAACCATACCTGTGCATAGGGCCCTGCGCACGCGCATCCTCCGCGAGCCTGGATGCCATAAAGATCGTTAAGTAATACAGAGACAAAATTGTGATGCAAAATCTTTCCACTATCAGGATGATGTATCAGCAGAGAAAATATCGGCAGGCGACGAGCCTTCTCATTCCCCAAAATTGTTATTTTTGGATTTTTTCCCCACACTTGAAAGGCATTTCTATGTAGAAAATTAAAGCGTAAGCAAATAGGGCTTTTTAGTAATTGAACGTGATTTTGTGAGCAATTTACCCGAAATTAGTTTTTACCGACCTGCATAACTCTTCCTCTCTGTCTTCAATAGTTTTTGTCCCCACAGACTGCAAAACAAAAAAGCAGCTTGTTCGGTTCATTCAAATTAAATTTCGTTTCATACACAGTAGTATCGTACCCAAATTTAGTTGTTTCGAACCCAAGTGTGAATCGGTTCGTACCAAAGCCACTGATCTATTCTTTCCCGTCCTTATATACATTTATTCAAAATACCTCGCGTGCGAGTGTGTCAACAGATGTCGATTGTTGTGTTGTGTATTTTTTTCTCCCGTTGTTATTAACGGTAATGAGTTCGTTTATTCCAACGAAAAGAAATAAAAAACATAAGTTTTTACCAATGGAGAGCAGATTTTGCTGAAACAAGTACTGAAAGGATGCGCAAACATCAACAAACCCGTGATCAAATGAAGTGAAAGCGATAACGACATGCTGTGATGAAGTATAGTATGACTCTTAGACCTCGCCCTTAAAAAATGGACACCACGTTAAAACATGTAATATTGCTATTTTCAATAAGAAACCGACCTTATTTTAAACATGGAAAGCATAGTTTATTAGTTTGGGTACGAAGCGACCGAGCTGGGTACGAAACGACTCAACTGGCTGGGTACGAAACGACTCAACTGGCTGGGTACGAAACGACCGGTAACCACTCATTTTACTACCTCCTCTTTTATATGCGCTGTAACTTCACCTTCAACCTATAGCTCAATTTTCATTCTAAGTATACACAGCGACCTTTAAGTTTTCAGGCTGGCTCGCTATCTCGTGCTTTGGCGGAAATCTTGGTAAACGGCATCGATAATGCATTATGACGCAGTATAACGTATCGTCCTAGTTAATTACTAATGATCGGCATGTCCCTACGTCATGTTATCGGGTTTACTGCTCCTACACTGTACCCTCGATAATTTCGAGGAGCGTGCCATTCGTTATTGACTGAAAAAAGTGTCAGTATTGTACCTCTTTAAGTTGGAAGACCATACCGGCCCGTACTGACTCTACTATGGCTGGTGTTCCTCCCTCTTCTCTTTCTTCAATGTCTTTCAAGTATAAATGTGTATCACGTGTCACCTGTATCAAGTAATAGAAAAATGGTATTAACGCTGAATGATTCCTGACCAGTCACTGCAATAAACCTCTAAAAAGAGGATAAAAGATGTGCCAGTATCAAAACTACTTGAGGAGAGATATATGTTGAGGTATAATGGCAAGATGAATAGGCACGTAACCAGCAGCATTCCTAGTGAAAGATGGTTTGCGTTGGACGGCTATTTCATGTCGAGAGGTCTGGGCGCAAGACCTAGCCGGGCCACCGTGTTCCAAGGTTACTTCACTGTTACAAGGCCTCTCCACCAAGGAGTATAAGTAGGTGTTGCCAAGTTAACAGGGAAACTGACGTACACCTGAGGGTAACCTGCAAAGTACACTCATTCCATCCAAGGGGAGTCGCAAAATTAAGTAAGACCAACTGGAAATAATCTCTGTGCCTAATGACGTCTTTATCAGGTTCCAATCACTTTTTTCAGACCACCATCATATACACATTAACTGACATGTTTTACAGAGCGTGATGCATGTTAACTTACAAAGAGGACTGTTCCTCCTCCACATCCCCCAGGCACAGGATTTCGAAAAAGCCTCTTTTTAGCAATAAGTAAGCCTGAAAGAAAGCATTTTTTTCTTGTGTGAAATAGCGATCGATACAAAATAAAACAAGAATCAATATAGACAATTTTTGTTTTCAAATTTATCATGTATGTCCCTGTCTGGGCTTGTTTTACGGCATGGCCTGTTACGGACATTTTGCGATCACTATTAGGAGAGTTACGTATGCAAAAATGACCAACCTGGTCAGGTGCAACAAGCACTAAGTTCTGTCCTATTTTGTTTTATCATCTTTTTTTTTTCGCAAGGCATAGTTGAGTTCATTTAGTTTCCCACAATGCAGTTGGTTAATTTTTTTACCAAGTAACCCCTTGAGCAACGAACGCAAGATACTGTTGTTGCATGGAATAGTTTTACCTGGAGTTCCAGGTCCCCCCACAAATTTGTGAGGAGAAAGAAAGACGGCGTCTTTGTACCTGAAAGAGCAAAAACAGTCATTACTCTTTGAATCCATATTTATTTCGCAAAGCGTTGGCTGAAAGCTGGAATTAAAATCAAATTTTATTGACATAGAAATCAAAGCATCCGTTTGTTGCTATTTCCCTCGTCCTCATCGATCACTAAATGACGAGGCTCCTTTATTGCACCACAATCTGAACAGAGCTGCTACAGCTTTCTCTGAGGTAATGCTCATTTAATTAGCAAAACTGAACAATTATTGTTGCCTCTAACCGTGGATTGAAATTTTGTTTGCTCCATGAAAAAACTCACAGAGTGTCATCAATAACCAGAAGAGCGGTTTTAAACCGGCAAAACGGTTTGTGATAATAATTACAGTCTGCGCTCTGTGAAAAATACGTGTAGAATCTGCACATAATCATTAAAAACAAAATCTGTGGATTTGGTTCGGTCAGGTGAATTGGTTTTCACTATATAGAATTGACATAAGCGTCATTTCGACATGATAATATTTCGATGGATATGAATAGCGATGTCCTTCCTTACCCGGTGAGTGTTGGGTTCATGTCAATCTTGAGATATGGACCTGCCGATGCGTAATCCCAGAAAGACAAGGCCCCATATTTATGACATAGTTCAGCCACAGCAACAGTGTTTGTTTGGATTCCAGTCACATTAGAGGCAGCTGAAAACGCCACGTACATATTGTATTCTGCTAAGCGATATTTCTGTAATCGGATAAAAGGAAACATGCCTTATAATTGTTGAAAGCAATAATGTGAGATAAAACCAAACTCATCACAAATTATGAACCAATGGGAAATGCTAAGGAGAAGAGCGTGCTAAAATTCGAGTGACCAGGCCGTCGTTGGCTTTGGTTTTGCAACTGATTGGTTGAAAGAGGCTGCTGGTACTCTTGAGCAATCACAGAGCAAAGCAAAACAAAGCAAGGCAGCGTCTAATAACTTAAAGTTTTTAGCAAAGAGACGTAAATTATTACCCTAAGTTGGGCTTCAAGCATCTTCATATTTACTGTGCCTTGGTCGTTATCATGTATTCTGATGATCTATAATGAAAGAATAATATTTGTCTAAGGACACGTCAAAGTTAGAAAAAAGTCCTGAATGGTTTTGATATGATGGCCACTGCGTAAAAAAATTCATCAGTGGAAGACGGCCATACCGCTGATAAATATTAAAGCCACTGAACAACTATATAGTATATGATTTTTTTTTTCTTAGTTCGACAAAAATTAGACTACCTTCGCTCCTGTTTCTTTCCACGGTAAGATATTTGAGTGATGTTCAAACGGACCGACGAACACAACCTGTTTGAAGGAAAAGATCGAAATGCTCGAGAAAAGGGCCGAAAATGGACGCCAAATCTGTATCTTACGTTGAATCCGAGACAAACGGACCAAAAATGTTCAGTTGGGTACTCACGGTTTTGTCAACAACTTTTCCTGTTAATTGTAGAGCATGGATTAATTTATGGATAGCTCCAGTAGCTCCACTACCAGTAAACACAACTACATCGTCTTGCCCGGCATTGACGCACTTCTTGATGATTTCCCTGCAGTAATTATCATCATATGGCTCATTAGCTGTTGTTATATTTTAAGCGACGTGAAGAGGTGTGAAAAAAACTCACAATATTCTGTTAATTCAACATGCTTTAGTCCATATTTCTAGAAACGAGGGCAGGGCAGTTTTAAACCCTTCTAATTGTTTTAGCTATGCTTCAAGGAATTTTAATGTCTCGGGTTTCCCTCATTTGTCAAAACTGCACTCTTTATTCCGACGTCGAATACCTTTCCTTAGCTGTGCAGTTCGCTTTTGTTTTTTCATTTGACGATAGCTCTGCTTTTTTCCCTCACTTCTAAGACAATCAGCACTCAGTAAAGACAACTTTTCAGAGCACTCAAGGCTTCCCCAGTGCGTAATGATGGAATCTCAATTAAAATGGATTTGCAACGCAAAGTTGTTAAGTTAATTGCCCTTACTCAGTCTTACGCAGCCGATGATGTTATTGTTTTTGCGGACTGACTTACCGTGCTTCCTGTCTAAATCTTGTTGTTTGTCGTGACGTCACACTCGTAGTTGTGTGCGTGTTGGCGTAAAAGGGATAAACAAACTCCCTTATGTACCTTTCGATAAATCGGAGGGGCCTAGTGACAAGTGATAAACGTGAAATCAAATTACCGTAGTGATTCATTTAGCGCACGGGGCGCTGATTTACTTTTGGTACCTCAAGGGAGGGCCCTTTTTTGAAACAGGGTGCTTAATTTTGTTTTGTTTTTTTTTTGAGAATGTGAAGCAACCTTTGATATTTACTTGAAAAGGTTAAAGAAGGTTGGAAAACGAACGTGTTGTCCTTAGCCTAGCAATCGTCGCAAAATTTTGAAACGGAATCTATTGTTTGAAGGAACCGTACATTCACGGGGACATAATAGTTGAAAGACTGAGACAAAGACCACCACTTTTGTTGTGAGGCTCTAAAAGGCAATTAAAATTAAAGGAACCACGGTTTATCTCGATGTATATGTACTATAACAGTGCTGTTAGGGAAACAGAACGGGGGCGCCTATTGGAATAACAGTACTTATTCGATAAAGGCGCATATTAGAATAGGGGCGGGGAGGGGGGGGAGTAGGCGCTTATTGGAGGGATGGTGCTAAATCAAATCATTAAGGAAACCAAGAACCAATAAGAATAGACTGCAGGTGTCTCACATGATTTCTGTTTTCTAATTAAACAGTGGTTTTATCCAGCCACCAAAAGTCAACCATACTGTCTTCCACATAGATATTACACAGATATTTTCTATAATAGCCGGGCAAAATGTTATTAACTTACTTTCCAGACGCGGTGTAATCGCAATAGATAACTAATGAGAGAAATAAAATGCACAGATTACGTTTAATACTATAATATTTTATAATAACCTTCTACTGTATAAATTGTGCGCATCAGTCACTTATTAAATAATTTAGCAATTTATATACATGAATTTCAGCTAATGTTTCCTCTTTATATATTTAGAACATCCTATATGTTTGTATTCTGTGTGGGCTCTCACTTTCATTAAGGTCGGCGTCATGACAAGCTACACCCGATTTCCAAAATGTGGACAATCACAGTTAACAAACATCTACAAAAATGCATATTGTTTTAACTTTTTTTTTTTAACAGTATCTGTGTCCTCGTAACATACCTCTTCTTTGCCCATAAGGTCCTTCAAAACTTGTCTTGCCCCCGATTACATTTTCGTCAATAAACTCGAAGATTGGCAACATGGTTTCCTCCACAGCAACGTGCTTGGTACCTCTGTCCTCGTAACTTTGAAATGAATCAGCGTTTTCCTGACAAGGCGCCTTGTCTGATTTAGTTTATGAAGGGTAAAAACAAAAATATTTGCAATTAAGAACCATTTCGATTGGAAGCTAAAATGGAAAAAACATGAAACAGTTAAACCGAACAAAGCGTAAAACTTATACCAAAGTCTTCAAGCATGTGACTGTCAAGAGGAGGCGGGAAGTGTTAGGCTATTTTCAACAAACTACAGGTGTACAAAAACATACGGACATAGATTTTTCCATCATCGAAACAGGGCTCTGCCAAAGATGAAGGTAAAGCCTTACCAACTAGTTGTTTTTTGATTAAAGTTGCGAGAATGCTTATTTACGCTAATAGTACGCACGTGCAACTTTGCCTGACTCTGACTTAGCAAGTGATGCAATGTCACTAACAATATGTTTGTCAAAAGGAACGTTTAGGCAAAGAGGCAGTTAATCGTAATTCGAGGCCAAATTTGAAATGTCGACGAAAGGTCCTCACCCAAGGCACGATCCTTTTACCAATATCTCGTCGCTAGTAGAAAAAAAAAACGACTGCTTAAAAATAGGCTGGAGTCCTTTTTTTTTCTTTTTTTGTTACTGTTTTTACAACAACAAAATCGTCATTACCACCTGGCCCTGAAATTTCAGAATCCATTGTATCGTCGAGTACAATTTTCAACCTTTTTTCAATATCCGGGATGGTATAATCGATGTAAGGAGATACCGGTGAAAGAGAAGATTTAATTGCGTAACTTCTGTTGAAAAATCATTATTACTCTAAGAGTCTAAGTATCATAATGAAAGAAACAGAAATTTTGATCTACATCATGGATAAAATCTTACATTACAATCGGCTTAGTGATACCAGCACATTTTCAATTCACTTAGAGGCTGTCCAACTGTCCACCACCCCCCTCCCAAGGCTACACATTAATCACGATATAATCCTATTGTGGAAAATTTAATCGAAATGATATTTGTGTGTCTTGATGACAGCTTAATTGAACAAGTTACTCACTGAATTAATTTTAACCCTAAGTGATCTCTAAGAACACGACTTATTCAGCGCTTTTTTCACAATGCAATTCAGTATTTCTCACCGGCGAAATTAAGCTCCAAAACCGGCGATATGATTGTGAGGTGATTTTGATGTGAGAAACACTTCTTGTTCTTGTAAAATACTCACGTCTAAAGTACAAGTGGACCCGGATGAGTGAAAGATCTCACTGCCGCGATACATGCGTCCATGAGCAGATGCAATAAAGCTCTAAAGCCACTGAGATGAATTAAATAATTATGCCTTGAGTTAATTCAGACCGGATAAGGAAAAGAGTCCCATTAAAGAACTTTATTTACTCAGAGCTTACTTGTGCCCTCAAGGCGAATACTTTGGCTCAAGTGAAAATCTAATTTACACCTTTGAAGTGTTTATTTTATTGTGGCAAGAGTAAGTGCTTTGTAACTATAGCTACTGTGTAGTAATTCTTATAAAAACTAAGTCCATAATCCGCGCACAATAAACTCGAACATGTCGTTTTCTAAAAGAAAAAATTATCAGAGAAAACGCAGTTGAAATGGCCTCGTCAAATGATCGTTGTTCATTCATTTTAGTCTGGTCGATTAACATGTGACTCTATGGCTGACGTGTGATGATGAGATGGTGAAACCATCAATAACACTTTCCATAAAGACTAATGAGTGGCACAGGCCAGCAGGGCTACTGCAAACGGTGAAAGGAATAATAGCCATTGTTTTAAATGATCAAGTACACCACTTTTATCAAGTTTAATTTTTTAGAATTAAGATTTGCGCGAGCAGAAGTTTATCGAAGGTCCTTGATGTATTCCTCTCAAGTACAAAAGTAACCACCCTGTTTGTTGACGCCGGAAGTCAATACCCAAATCACAAAGGAGCTAAATGTTCTCACTTCGGCCACGAAAAATTCCTTTGGTGTAGAGCCATGTGCAATGTAAACAGTCTTTCACTCAGCAAAAGTTGTGACCTTCAGAGAGGAATAAACTTAGCCAACAGAGTTATGTTGTTATGGAAAATTTCACCAAGGAAAGTACCTTCTCAAGGAATTTTGTAGAGCTTAAAGACCTTTCAGGTGTTATCTGTTTGTCTGCTAAAGAAAATTTCGGGCTGGCAACACGGTTGCAACATTATTGCAATAGACAATGTCTATCTTATAAATTAAAAGACTGTAATCGCATACCGTGTACTGGTGTCTCTTGCAACAGTGCAATTTTATTCTGAAAAGTCTGTTATTTGGTTATCTCCGGTTTCTTTTTCTTTTCTGGTGTAAACACTTACTATCACCACCATAATCAGCTCCAGTGAACTTTCGTAAAGTATGAACAGACAATATAACATGGTGGCAAAGAAACTGGCAGAAGGAATTTATAATTGTACTTGAAACAACAACAAAAATTCTGTTATCCGTGAGATTTTGAATTGATTGTTTCTCAGCAGTCCCTATATGACTTGAAAAGCTACAACCAAAGTCACCATTTCGTAATGATCGTCTTGCAACTCATGAAATCTGCGCACATGTTGCTCACTTATTGATTTTCTCACTTTACTCATCACGTAATTAATTAAACAACTGTTTTATGAGTTCCCAGAATTATCCGAGTTATTGCTTAAAAGCCCAACTTCTTTCACCCTTGCCCTCATTTACTTGAAATTATTGTCTCACAGTTACCACGGGAAGTAGCATTACCTGATTTCTCTGAAATGGAGTATTGTCAACAGTGTTCCTGAACTTCTCAACCATTTTCTTCCGTGGATTTGTGGGAGCATCTCGATCATAAAGCCGAGACTGACGAAGAGAGCAACTAAGTATGCATGTCGCAAGGATGAGACTGAAGAAGCATCCGGTCGGGTGTCAGAGAATTCATTTACCACTTAATTAAAATAATTTGTGTTGTTGATCTTTTAGTTCAGCGCACTTCATCTTACTAAACTTGTTATTAGCCGACAGTTTAAACCCTTCTCTTAAACTGCCCACACGTAAATTGCATGACCGAACGAAATGCGGCCGTCACATCTGACCTGGTTTTGTTGTCCCATATCCGGTCCGGAAAAGATTTTAGCCGACAGTTAACTGAGGCTTTCAAACAGAGGACTTTCTATTACAGAAAAAAACTAATATTTGATAGGATTGGCCTTATTCAAGCCCTTATAGATCTGATTTAATACCACCGAACTATCGATAGTTTCCCGAACCATAACAATTACATTGGGATGATTCACAGGTCGAATTAATTCAAGTCTCACAACTCCTATGTTAAAAGAAAACTCAAACTTTCATCAGTAAGAGCTGTCAAACTTAATTTGTTGACGCCAGTATGAAATAGTAGAAGAAAAAAAAGTCCCAACTGACACGAATATTAATTTTCCGGTAAAATCCAAACAGAGGCAACCAAAGAGATACATAGTCACGTTTAAATGTAAATCGTTTCAAACAAACTGAACTTCCATCCTATTGACAAAGCAGTGACATGTCATTTACTGTCTAATAAAAGTAAAGAGAAATTGAGCAAAATTGGAGCCAACGTTTTGTTCAGCTATCATCAGAATCGTGGGTTTTGTTATCAGCTGTCTATCCCAGTGTCTTGCCTTTCCGCAAGGTTATCACTGTAAACGTATACTGTTGATGTTAGTTTTGGAATAAGTGTCATGAATGTCCGAATAATTTGGCCACACGGTTAAACAAAAGTTCACCTATTATCAACAATTCAGGTTCCACAACGAAGCTATTGAATCATACCGCCCAACGTGATTTTGTTTACGCAAGAGATTAAAATCGACTGGCCACTTGGCCTTCTTTCTTCGTCTTAAAAATGACGAAAGTTAAAGTGAGTGCCGCCGGCAATAAGAAATAGGTTTCACAACGTACATCTCCTCAGGTTTTCATTAAATTCCTTGGTAGCTGATCTTATAGATTGCAATATCTTGTCATTCCAGTATCTTGTCATTTTCGATGTACATATCCATATTTGTTGCTAATGCGACTGGCGCGGCTGACTTGTTAAGGAATGTAAAAGACACAATCTCTGTCTGTTTAATGAATTCTGGTTCAAGGTACTGAATTACCAGTCCAATGAATGTAAAAAGTCTAGGTACAGTGAAATAGAAAATCACTTTGCAAGAGATTTATTTCGGACTCTGAATGTTTTTCCAGGTGTTTTAGGTGTTTTCTTGAATGCATCTTGTCACACACTAATTAACTCTCTAGTTATTGTCATAAACCTACTCCTTAGAACAAAGCGAATGTGATGTCAGCTCGTTGAATTTTCATGAAAACAGAGATATTTTGTTGTAACTGTTTCCATTCTTGTTTCTAAGCCGAAATTTCTCCGCTCAGAATGTTAATGTGGCAAATCAGTTTGAAAGCTTAATTAGGACCAGAACTCAACAGTATAAGAAAGAAAAGGACCAACCCTTTTTAATCCTGAATCCTAAGGCGAAGAATACATGAGACAGAATATGATTACGTTTTCGTCATTTCGTTGCTTTGCTTTCTTTTTAAGCATGTGAACTGAGCGCACTCCAGCCAGTTTACAATGAGCAAGAACAAGGACAGGTGAATCCATCAAGTTGCGTTCTCCTAGAGGATACTGCAGAGGTCCATGGTTTCACCGGCTGTAATACTATGTAAACCGGCCACAGATGAAGTTCATTTACCTATAATTTTAATGTCTTGCGACATAGTTAGATTTTTCCTTGTGACTATCATGAATGAAAAAAAGTATATTACATAAAAAAGTACCACTTTCCTCTGGCGCTTTCCTTCACAATCACACAATTCATGTGATACTTTTTTTAGCTCTGTGGGTGCAGTTAAATGACGGAGGTTGATAAGATAAGTTTTGTTAACTGCAGTTTCATTTTTCCTTATTCTTACTTGCAAAGTACGAACCAGCAATACTGAGTAAAAAATTCATCAGTATTCTTAACTGATTTAATCAAATAATATGGCTTCTTAAACTAACGGCTTTTGTAATCCCGCTCATCAATCTTTGTTAAAAACATATTTTTAATTACCATACAATCGTATTTTAAATTGCTTTACGCTAGGTTTGCTCTGCCTGTTTAACAACCTCTTCTGGGCCGGATTTTAAATTTGCGGCTTTAATGAGAGTTGTCATGAAAGAGAAAATTGGAATACGAAATATATTGAACACCTTATGTAATTAGTACAAAGGCATCAAGGCATCACATAAAAGCTGAAAATGCTTCCCCTTCATCGGGGCAGCAGATGTCAGTCACTGAATCAAACTATCTAAGACACACTGTGAATGCAGTTGCTTCTTATATTGCGCAAGAAACACTTTTTGTTTAGTGGTGATGTTGATGAAGTTATGGAGCCATCAATTCCCACCGGTTTCTAGTTGTGGTTTGGTTGGAATCAGTTGTGATTCAAATAGGTAATATTTCTAACCATATACCACTGAAACCTTTTATTTTCATGATAGCAAAGATGATTTTCACCAAATTATGAGAAAACGCTGCAGTCTGTCAACATGAAACACAAAATTTCACTTAAGCAAGAACCAACATGAAAACGATTGCGCCCTAAAGGCACCATAGATCTTTGACATTTCTTAACTTTTCAATCAAAAAATGCTTCAAAGAAGTTGTATTTTCTGGACCTCTTTCAAAGCGACTAACAGAAAAAAAGGTCCCAAATTGGAAATCTTACCACGCCCGAATGACCCCATGCTTGTCATAGCCTCGACCAAAGGGAAAGATTCCAGATGTGGAACGCTCGCCTCTCAGGATGTACAACACTCGACACTATCTAAGCTTACCAAGGATTGTAATCATTAGCTAGTATCTCATAAATCAAACTGACGAAAACAAAATACAATAAATTTTATTAAACTGGACATCTCCACAAAGGCACCTAACAATAAAAGCTGTAATGCAATAAAAGATTACATTTACATAAACGGCGACCTATGTCGACTTTTAAACTCAGCAGGCAATTTACCATTTGTGACCCAATTTTACTACTCAATTTGTTAACTTAACAAGTTGAAAAATTTTGTAGAAACTTTTGACTCGGTGCTCAAACTTAATTAAAACTGTCAGGTTTTTTAATTTTGAGCTGACCATAGCAGTCTCTTTGTTTAACTTCGTACGTTTAATAACGGTAAGATTTCTTTTGTTTTTAGATTATTGTGATATTTAAGAACAAAGAACCATATGATATCCCTTCCTAATTAGCTCATAAACACCCCTAAGAGTGTACGTACGCTTCATAAACAAGGCTGTTGGTGATAGCAACCTTTTTTAACTACTCTGGTAATTAGAGAGATCGAGCTAGACGTTCGTGTTTTCATTTATGCTACACAAGAGGGGCGAGTCCCGTCATTCAACAAGGCCTCTTTTCTGCCCATGACTCGGATCATTTTAATTAACACGGCTAACTTTAATTTGAATGTGGAAGAGAAGAAAGTGAATAGCTTTGCTTTCTGACCGGGCAAAGAACAGCCTGGGATCGACCCCAAGTGACTTAAATTCGTTAATGGTCGGGGTATCGAAAAACGGTTTTAGCAGTGTTCAGTGTGCAGGATGCGTTTCGGTGTGACTACGAGTTTGGTGTTTTTATATTATCACGGTTAATTAAGCATTCGTACCTTCATACTCTTCTGGAATCAACTGCGGTGTACGTTTGTAAAAGAACCATCACTGTTTGTGTCGGACTGGACCCATTTCTTCACTTTCTCGTAAATCAGCGGAATTTTCGTCAAGCAACAGAGAATACAAATAAGAATTCAAGGTCCTAAATGCAAATCACCGAACGTAGTGTACACATGCTATGTTAGTTAGGTATGAAAATGACAATATTCTTTCATTGTTGATTCAGTCTGTTGAACTTCTCTGCGAGACTGATAGGAACTTTCACATCAAACCACTGCCCAAACAGACAGGAAATACATAGGGAGATGGCTACCTAACTACTGCTTTCTCTAATCGGCTACAAAAACTACAGAAACAATGGAAACCTGCCGAGAGAACCGAGAAAACATTACAAACTGTGTGCGTCAAACAGGAACTACACAGGGATTTATATTGAATAATTACGGCACTGATACAATCTACTGAATCTAAACCAGCTACGTGGAATAAAATAATGAATGTTATTCGTCGTTCAATAGGAAAAAAGGATCTATTTATTTAACATACGATTTATTCCGAAAGTAAAGTTGCCTTGTCTATAAATTATCTGAAATGCCTGGAAGCTCCTTTGCCAAGTAAAAATAACCGTTGGCCTAACCCACACAAATCCGCAGAGGCGTTCAGCGAGACACGTTTAGAATGAGTCAATTGTCAAGGAGCGGGTAGTTCTATCAATATGTTTCTTCCTTAAAACCATTCAATTATACTTGACATCTCGTGTATTTATATCGTCATGAGCTTTTTATTCGTCATTATATTCCGCTGTTTAATTCAATTAAAAAAGGGGCTCTCTCGGTGTTGGCACAGTAATGTAAGAAAATGACCAAGCTCACTTCATTTGTTCAGAGTAAAGAATTTTGCAATTACATCATTTTGTAAAAGATGCTTTTCAATTTCGCCCTTCATTGGGAATGGGAGTAATTTAAGATCAAAGTAGGCAACCATAAATGTGTCTCGTGCCAATTAGCATTATAAAATAATTCAAATAGTACGCGCGCTCTAATTGGCCATAAAACCATTTTACATGAGCGTATGTAAACACGATTTTCGTTCCTCTTTCATTAGTTATTTTATAAAAGAAATGTAAAATGGTTTCCGTGTTTACATCGATAAGCTGGAAACCACTCCGCTTCGCGTCGTGGTTTCCCACGCTTATCTCGTGTTCTCCCAACCTCCCAAGTGTTTACATCAGGCTATGTAAATACGGAAACCATTTTACATTTCTTCAATGTAGTGGGCCCACTCTTAGATCATTCGTTTTTTCTTGCCTCTGAAAACTTATTATCTTATAAGAGGTTTTTTTTGCTTTAAATTCTGCTGAGTCTTTGGCTATAACCAATAGCAAGCCATGCTTTACTGTACTGCTTTCTGATTACAAGTGTTGATTTCACATACGTCACTGCATAATCATGTTCTTAAACTATGAAAAACTGAGGCCCTTACCTGAGAAGTTTTCAACGAGTGTTTTTTGTGGAGGTAAGATAAGGTGAACATGTATCCATTTAACACGCTAGCAATACTTGAAAACGGTTTAATAAGAAGCCAATGATATGAATATATACGCTGTGAGAAACCAGAACGTTCGGTGTCATTACGAAATTTACTAGAGCATGTCGCTTAATGGTCAGGAACACAACTTAGTTCGTACGCAGTATTGCATGAAAAGTAAATTGCGTGATCAATCATGGCTCGTTTGAAATCACATGATTTACGTCTGTAAAGCAAGAGCCCGTGTCGAATCTTAACAAAACTAACCACAAAGCTGTTTAATTTTACCAATATAGTAAGAGATTTTGAGGAAAGAAACAGATATATACAGTCTTTTTTCTTTCTTTCCTTTAACTAAAATAGGCAAATCATGACTCGATTAAATTACGGCATGCCCACCATCAGTCCGGTGTGTCCTTACGACGACTTATCTATGAAATAATTACCAAGTCGTGGGTACACATTTCCGTCGATTATGAGTTGGCTTTTGCCTCTGGGAAACTAGTATGCCATAATTAAGACTATTTTTAAATTACGCTGAGAAGTCACGGTTCATGTTTTCAATTTTTTTGAATCATTGCATCACTTTAGCTGTAAAATGGTTTTGCAGACTTACCTGTGATCCCTCTTTTTAATGTGTAAATAAAGACGTGAAAACGAATACATTACGAATACGTTCAGTCATTGATCTCGATTAGTGGCTTAAAATTCTTGATTCTACTTCGAAAGCAAGATGGAAAGTGCACTCAAAGCATTCACGTAAAACTGTAGCAATAAATTTGATCTTGACTGAGAAAGTTTGATGACGGAAACTCTTACTTGCACTTGAATGTTAAAGGTTAACTTGCCTGAGAGGTCTTCTAACCACTCTCCAAACGTGATCAGAGGAACGACTTGCCAGTGGAAGAAATCGTCCGAAAGAAACGGGGTGTCTTCCAAAAGCACTTTCCAATTGAGTCAACATCTCTAATTTTCCCGTTTAATATGCTTTCATACTATGATAACGACATGACACATTTTTCAGCCAATAAGAGACATCGCCTCTTCTTCAGTCAACAAGTCGATGGGCTATAACAGTGACTCTGGGCCTATATTTCAGGGAATGACAACACAGCACATAACAGAAATATTTGGCCTCAAGAGCAGTGCAAGGTCTTAGCAATGAGTTCGAGCCAATAACCATCCATGATCGTAACCAATTATTCCTTAGCCTGGATCTTTGCTCATCACTTGAAATTATTTGGATTGTGGTACGATCTCACGGACACGACAAATAAAACCTTTTCCAATCTCTGGGTTTGAAGGATATCTTGTGTACCATAAAGAGAAATTGATTCAATGAAGCTTGTTTACGCAGACGCAAGAGGACAAACATCACAGCTGGCGAGACCTTTAGCACAATTAGAAATTGCGAAAAGGTAGATGAATGATGCCAAATCCGAAATAAATTTAAATAATTGTTACTTTACATTTAAGATTCTATACTCCATATGATTAATTACGTTACGTGAGACACGAAAATAGGATTTTCCTGTTCAGAACCAAAGTTTCTTTCCATTAAATATCAAATTTGTTCGACTTCATTAAAAACCAAAATAGTTGACCGAACAAACAAACAAACAAACAAAAAAACGAAGACTCTGAAAACTGTAGATTCTATCTCAAATTGCCACGTTACATTTCTTTGGAAAAATCTAGAGCAAGTAACGAAGTCTTGCATTTTCTTAATTATGACCAAGTTAAAATAATTACAAATAACAGAATATTTACCTTAACGTTTTTATATAGTTAGAAATCTTAAAAGGTGGATGTGGCAAACTAAAAGGCCTTGTTTTATGTAAGGTACAAGTTTGCTGTTTGTTTGCAAGGTTAAGCGCTTTTGGAGGTTAAGTATATGTTTTATGATATTTAACATATCATATCTAGGAAAATAAACGGAACAGCTGAAATGAGCTCTTTGAGACACTATGAGAAAGAGTAGCTAAGCTGTTGTGAGTGCCAATATCTGTCTCTAATTGTCTCCATATTCGCTCTTTCATTTTGGTAATTTAATAATAAGCCCTCCGGGACAGGTTTTTTTCAATTGTAATTTTTGTGTAGCTCAGCCAAGAATTAACCAGACGAATATTAAACAGATCGGGCGCGTTTTATTTTCATTTGCTTTCGGGAATTCAGTACAGACGCATACAACATGTGTTGTTACTGTCTGAAATTCTTGCACAACTTGAATGATCGAACGAGGAACCTCTTTCAGGGATTAAGTTTCCGCCTGCTTGAAAATTCCTGTTTGCCTGAGTGCAGCATACCTTCCCAGCCTTTCAACCAATCAAATTTACCTTCTAAATCTGGAAAGCTTACCGTGGGAAGGAGAACAAATAATTTGAGTAGGTTAAGTAATTCGTCAAATGTCGTGATCAATGATGACAAAGACAAAAATTGTGCCACTTTGTGGAATGGAGTCATCACTTCATAAGATTTTAACACATCGCTCTCAAATGTGAGTGTGGCGCTCATTTTATGTTGCTATTTGCAGCAGTCTGGAAAGATTTTTCTTTACTTCTCCATTTCAGAAGCTACATAAACTGTGAAAGGTTCAGATGGAGATTAATGCTTCAAGCATATTTGAGTGGTTAGAAGGGGACGCAACGATTTTCTTAAAAACTACGGCATATTCCGAGGCCAAACAAGATACCTTAGATTCTTCTTGTTGTAGGGAAGCGTTTAAGTCTCATCGATCACATTTGCCTTTGATGGCTCCAGTGAGTCTGAAAATTATTTTTTAAACTGTTACCGAGTTTGTCAAGTGAAAATCAGTTGAAGACAATAAAGGCGATGATAAATTCAAATTGTACTGATAACTGTCTTCCACCTCAATACTTGATAAACAACAAATTATAGAAAAAGGCAAAATTCTTTGGTTTTTTTAAAATCTCCACATAAAATTTTGGAAGAAATCACCTGTAGAAGTATATTGGCTACGTTCTTTCCTTGCGTGATCACTGATGCCGATAAACAAACACGCTAGAAAGAACTTGACCAATATATTTACAACCACTCAACCTCAAGCATAATCGAATATAAGTGTAGAAAGCCAAAACTATCGCTTGATGGTTTTTGAAAACAAATAAAAATTCTGTAAGTCTGTGCCGAAGTAATACAAAATAGTTGTCGCTGCTTTGAAAACCACGTAAACAAATGAAACCAGAATGACAAAAAAGGGGGTTTTTTTAGGAACGAAGGGACACAGACAAGAGATGTTTTGCAAATACTTTTCGAAGAGGGGAATTTGTAGCAGCTTTGCTGAAAACACAGCCAGACGGAATTTTGACACATTTCCTGTGATTCGAGTCCAGCCCAGTTTGTTGAAGATGCCACCTCCCTGAACACTGAGCTTAGGAAATTAAAACCTTTTTATGTCTGTAAGATGAAAGCAAAGGTGTGAAGTTGTAGCATTGAAGTGTTAATAATGCCACCCGCTTGTAGTTTTTTTAGGCAGATTTATGTTTCCGTTAATATATGGTAGTATAGGGAGTGAAAAGGCGGGGGGTTAATTCAAATTATCACTACCGTGATCAGTAGTGTTGTGGTATGCCTTATGAAGGAGTTAGGTAAGCAGGCGACTTAAAAACTCCCGCAGAGTACCGGATGCCCTTAATGTTTCACATGACTTTCTTTAAAAAACCTAATTCGTTTTGTGCCATGTTTTTGTTCATGATTGATAACTTCAAAGCAGATTACGTGGCAAAGTTTACTTCAAAAGTTTTACAGTAAACAGCCTTCGTTAAAAACAAAATGTAAAAACTACCATTGTTACTTGTAAACGTAGTTAAAAAAAAAATGTAATCATCTGCCATGAAACGGATATGTGTTGTAATGATAAAATTATTCAAGAACAATTGAATTTGAATATCATTTAGCCGACTTGAACAATGATCCTTGTTCTCTCTTTAGAAAAATATTTTTTTGGCTGTTGTTTGTTGTTTGTTGGCTGTTGTTTCCCTATCAGTTAAAAGTATGGCGCACAGTTTTCCTTTTTCTATCAGTTACGGTGCAGTTCAGATACCAGTTTTGTAACTGATTAGCACTCAGGTCATGATATCTTAACTGGTCCTGTTGTTAAAATTTTTGCCTCAGTCATGGTTTAATGTATTCTAACCTTTTTTTACCAAGCAAAAGGCTAATGATAACAAAATATTTATTCACTATTCTGGAAATACTCAAATGAAAAGGCACCTAAGAACAATCTGTGTTATCTCCAGTCAAAACTCCTTTCAACATCGTCTATTTTATATTTTTGTAGTTCAGCGTCCCTTATTTTATCGTCTATTTTGTCTTTGAGCCACTCACTGACTGTGTTATTACTATATATTTGTGACAATAGATTGGATGCCTCGTCCCTCAATTGACGGTATGCGTTCACAGACCTGAAATTGAGAAAAAATAATGAAAGTCAAACGCATTCGCATCTAATGTCAGTTTTACCTTTCTGAAGAGGTTCCTTATTCACTACAAATTAGAAGAGCCTTCCGTAAAATAACCAGCTGAAAAATAGATTCACTACTTATAAATATCACACTGTACTGCTAGTCAGTGCTAGAGGAACCATTATACATGCTTAGTGAGTCAGGCGTTGTTTTAGCCCAGAACTAAAATTGCATTTGAAATATAATTTTTTACTATATAGACAGTAATGTTTCCTGGACGGAGATCGAAGACAAATACGCGTATCATCCCAAGGGTGTCTCAAGAGTCTCAACTTGTTGACTAAAACAGACTAACTGCGGTCTCTTTCAGGACATGAATTTCTTTTTTGTCAGAAGTAAGATTTTCAGCCCTGTTGCAAGCCGCAGACAGCTTTTAGATTAATTCAGTGCGCAGCCGTCGTCAAGAAATTCATTAGATCACACATGCGCCTCGTTAGAACAGCTTCGTAAGTTTAATCTAGGGACTCTAGTTGGAACCTTACCAGCCATGGTCTGAAATTTAAGAGTGAACAACTGTTTCTTTTGTGAACTAAACGAAAATTAGTAAAATGCCCTGGTACCCTTCTGAAATGCCTCAAGTGGTTGTCTAGAAAATAGAGAGATAACGCTTACTGAATGCTTTTTAAGCGTGCAAAATGCAAACGGAAATAACTGAGAAAATTTTCTTCAAGTTGCCTTTCCAACATCCAACCTTTTTCCCTAGGAAGAGAAAAAAAAACAACCAACATTTCAGAGAGGACTTGCAACGGTTGAAGGGTTATTCCCCACACTATACAGATTAAATGATGATCATTGTCACGTTTCTTTATCTCTGCTAGGCAATACAGCACATGATCACGCAACGAATTGCAGAAGCGGCTGAGATATGAGTTTGACACGGTGTCGGGTAAAAAACAGTACGAGCCAACATAGCCTGATTTGTGAAAACTGTACAATTGGAAAAAAAGACCGCAACTTAGCATCAACATCAGATTATCTAATAGCGGGGATCGCAGAACACGCAAAACTTGCGCGCAGCAAAACACCATACCTAAGGAAAACTAGAATGATATTTTCTTTTTTTCTCTTCCGGGTATTTTGACTCTACGAATCGTCGATTCTAAAAAAAGGCAAATAACGACTGAAAAATTAAAACAACGTTACTGGCTTGTAGTAACACTTCGAAAATTGATAAGTTCTCTAAATATCAGTGTTCACGTGTCTTAACAGTATTGTTTACCGGAAGATTTTGTGTATAATAAAATAACGAAAAGTTTTCTTGTCATCAAGTAAACAATGGCCAAAATTGACTTGTTTCGTTGCGTTGGTCTTGTTCGCGCATGAAATGTGTACGTTTTTGGGCTTTCAACAGTAACGTGGGTATTTCTTGGTCATTTTTTATTGTTTTTGCAGATAGAATTTGATAGTAAGCAATCTTTGGGAGAACTTCACTTTGACTTGACTTTGATAAGATCCGCAGACGTTCTGGTGCACGTACGAAAAATTTGTATCTTGAATTCAGAGAAAGATTTGTCACACATCGACCACTTCTTTAAACAATGAGTTACTTAGCTATTTAAATTTCATGAGAACTTGCATTTGGAAACAGGAAATCCAAAAAATACTAACTAAGAATTATGCTTGGTCGTCCCGTTCTAGAAAAAGAAAGTGATTGTGCAGAAGCACACACTCAGTTCTCGACATGTCTCACATCCACAATATGAGTCTAGTCCATTTGGGAAGAATTTCATTGATCAGGCGTGCGGGGAAGAAATACATAGGCATGCGTTGCATGCAAGAGTTATTTTTTTCGGCTCGGCGGGTTAACATGGGGCACTTTGTGTACCTAATGTTTAATTTTTGTAACAGAAAGAGAGCATTATTTGCAAACGGACGAAAATATCGCATTATTTCACCTTAAGAGAAAGAAAAAACCTAATTTATCAGAACTTACAGAGGTATTTTGTGGTCTATTGTCTCTACTGTTTAAATACTTCTAGGCAAAAAAGAAATGCATCGGTACCACACTTATTGTTATCTCCTGCGCAGCAATTGTTTGGTCTCGTCACACAATGCCATCTATTTCCCGTTGGAGAGAGAGTACGTTGCGTGATGAGACCAAATAACAGTTGCGAAAGAGACTACGCTCACTGCCGATCCTTTAACAAGGAGAAATCAAAATCATTCGTCTACAGTTAGTTGCCTGAAAAATATAATTCCACGTAATTGTACTACGAAAAGCAAACTGAAACTCTGTTGTATCTCCAATAGACGATCTCGAATAAGTGAAGATACACTGAACAAGAGAAAAGGATAATATTTCAAAGAGGGCTCCGTGATTGGTTGTTGCTTATCTCGACGTTGCCCTCCCCATGTGAAATACATGATAAAATGCAGGTTGTTTAAAAGGAATTAACACGCGATTGGATTAAGTCCAAGATAGCTAAAAGCCGGTTTTATTCGTAGAAAAAGTTAAAACGCGGGAGAATTGCTTTAAAAAAAAAACACAATCAGTAGCTTTTAGTTCCATGTGAATTTTTTTTCGGTGTGGTCGGACAATGCGGTCAGAATACGCGATGAAATGCAGATTGTTTACAAGGAAATAACACGTGATGGAGTCTAAGTTGGAAAAATAGAATTTGATTGGTGGAATACAATTCAAGCACGTGAAAAATTGCCTAATGTTCATGTAGTGCAATGAATGGGTATGTTCTGATCGGACTTTGGACGTTTTTTTCATGGTACGTGATGGGCGTAGCGTGTAAGTTGTGAGTAAAGGAGCGGAGAAAGCAAGTTTTAACTTAAAAATGATGCAAATGATGTGAACCCGTCATATCCCGATAATCTCGACCTTAATCGATGAGGCTCTCGCGAAGGCCACAACCATAACACTTATCAAATGAGCACAAAATTTCTGACATCATTTACTAGAAAACAATACCCAAACGCCGTGATCAGTGCAAGACATCCAAATGCTGTGATATGATTGATGCGAGATACATACCCTAATGCAGCAATCTGATTGGTGCGAGACACATATCCAAATGCGGCAATCTGATTGGTGCGATATATAACTCTACATGCTAACATAGAGTTTTCTTTTTTTTTACAGAAAAAAGTTACTCAAAAAGGGAAGCTTCGCTTTTATGATTGATTAACTCTCATTACAATTATGTTATGAATCAAGTATCCAGGAGATTGACCATTAGATCCTAACTACCTTTAAGATGATCTACTCCTTCCACGTGCAATAAATGCATCAAGTACTAGAAGAGAGCATTACATATCGACTGAAGTAATGAAAAACTTTAACATCAGAAAAATAGTTTTGCTCACGTGCTATGCACTAATGCCAGTCCATGATTAGCGTCCTTCAGTTTACAGCTGAGTTCGTAGATCTCATGGCCTGGGAAGTCTCCGTACCTTTCTGTTCCACTGAAAAGTGCAATTGGAGTGAAACTAACGTACCTTTATGTTACAAGACCATTGTCTATGACTTGATAATATAATTGAGTAATTATATACCCTTCTATTAACTACTCAAATTGCATGCATGTTTATAATATCATTTTGCTCAGATGAAGGTGATAGATATGGCACCTTAATACTACATTCACACTTAAATTATTCTACTGAACCCATCTTACTCAAAGTATTCAGTTCCTTCCACATCGATTCTCCCACTGAAACCAAGTTCCTGAGATAACTCTTTACGCAGGGCCTCGTTCATTTGACCTATAAGCAAAAACAAACAAAAAATATATATTGAGACAAAGGCTTTTGAAAGGAGAATCACTTTACGTTGAATCGTTTTATTTCTTGAGAGGCTTCTTTAAAGAATTAGCCTCACCACAATATAATTCATGAATTATAATGAACTCTCGCACGATCTGCATTTGATCCATTTTATTTGCGTGAAATGCAACATTGATTATAATATATACCTTCTACTAAAAAGGCAATCTCTTGTATCGTCTTCAAACAGTAGATGCTGGAAAACTAACCTTCGTCGATGGCCTTCAAACATAATGCGAGGGACGGAATCCCTGCTGGTAATAACTCGCACAAAGTGCCGTAGTGGTCATATCTTCAAGATATAAAGGTGCCATAACTTCACACACGAATAATAAAGAGATCATCAAAACACTGAATAAAAAGGTTTTACTGTAATGAGAATGACAGATAGAGAATAATACATTGGCACGCGTGGCTATGGAATTTCTTTGCGAGTGTTCAACTCGATTGCTCAGGGGTGAGATGTCGAGATAACCACGTAACTTTCACGCGTAGCAGCCATAATCCGAGAAAATTCCGACAAACAATCATGTATTGAGGATAGACGCGTCAGCAGCTGATTGGCGATATCAAACACACGTGAAAAGTGATCGTATTTTTTCACGTGCGTGGTTACGGCTTTTCTCAGGGCTGGAAATCCTTGTATAAAACCGTAGTTTATATGATAAAAGATGATAATAACAATTATTCATAACAGTTAATCGGCGGAGAAAATGTAAACTGTGCGATTTCGTCAGTTTGTAATTGAAATCTACCGCGGGACTCACCGACTCCAGCCAGTGAGCGCAATACCTAACACGTCACTTTTCTTGGAAATCTTAGACATGATCTCCACCCACTGGAGATTATTTGAAACGTGCTTAGATATGGTCACGAAGTCAGAATTCGGTCCGGTGGCACCTGTACAAAAAAGGTAAAGCGTCAATATGTTTTAAAGTATCGAGTTGACCGCGCACAATAAGCTGAAACATTACATTTGAGGAGAGTAGTCACGGGCGAGTAAATTTGTTTTCATTGATATTTTTAGCGATGTTATGTAAGTATGTGGAAAAATTGTAGCAGGTGCAAACTTTCAATGAAAAATTTTATTCTGTCGTAAATAGAAATGTCAAATAAAGAGTGTTGTTTGGTCATATGAATGGTGATAACATCATACCCTTAAATGCACTAGCAGTCCAAATCTTGGGGAAAGCTTCAAGGTACCTTTGAAACATCTCTGTGGATAGTTAGATATTGAAAATAACATTAATACCTAAGAGAAAATTCGAACGATACCGATACAAGAACGCTATCGTTTATAACTTATTTCCCATACACTACATGAAACAGAACTAAATCATACCAGCTTCCTTCGGTCAACACCTCAATTACCTCACAATTTCAAAATGAGACGTTACGAGCCAATCTGAACAGGAAAACATTTTAGTAGTTGTAAAAAGAATGAGAATGAAAAGGGGATTGAAAGAGCTATTTTTTTAAAAAGCAGTTTCCATAATGGAACCACTTTAAAAACATTTTGCTATAATTTGAATTAGGTCATACTTTTTATCGGCATGGCAATAATTATCTTGCTACAACTGTCTTTGACTGCATGATAGAAACATGAGAAGCAGGATATAACAAGTAAGTCTCTTACCTTTAAGCGTTCGTTGCTATGAAATTTACAGCGACATATTTAATTCTTACCCTTCGCAAAATGTCTTCTTAGGTCAGTCCTATAATACCAAATCATAGGCTCTGCCAATTTTCCGATGGCTTAAGAAAAGTACAAATGGTTGATTAGCGGTTCGTATTTGAGCAGTAGAGTTTTAATGACCCTGATCAAACTGATTTTACACGTTAGAAGGCAACTGGCAACCGAGAAACAATAAACCCATAAAGTAACCCTTACTCTTTTCTCCCCTCTCGCAACTCTGTTTTCATGGATGAGTGCCGAGACTTGCAACAAATAATGTCTTTCGTGTTTAATCCCTCCCGTGCGGTCTTGCACACTTATAATGTACTTGTTACAAATCATTCAAAGTGTTTTGAAAAAATGGAAAACGAATTGCCAAATGTGCCGTTAATCACCATTGTATATTAATTCACGGCTATGTTGTTGATAACGCGCAGAAGTAATATCGCTAAAAAGAAAAAAAATCAAACAAACAACAATGAGAGAAATAACCCTCAAATCGGACGAAAGAAATGAAGCGCCCCCTTCCACCCCCTTAATATGCCCCCCTGCCCCATTATTCACTGATTTCAGTGAGTGCCCGGAGCGATCACGAAAGGGTTAAATTTACCTTTGAGAAATTCGATGCTCCACTCTCTCATCATATCATCCCACATTATTGGAGTAATTCCCTTACTCCGCACATGCTGAAGAACAGGTATCATGTGCTCCAAGAATATCATGCTCTTGTTTCTTTGGTCGTCTGCACAAGTGCGACAAGTTTTCAAATTCCAAACCTATATATGTGAAAGAACAACATTCTCAATCTTCTGCTCTGAGCTCAATCAATTATCATGTGAAATATCATTAGTGTCACTGATGTCATATGATGTCGATATGAATGGATAAACTGACCATACTTTACTCTGTAAAAATTTTTCATCCTCTTTTTAAAAGTAAAATTGTCGCTTACTTCATCAGCTCCAACATGAAACCACTTGATTCCAGGATGTAGTGCAGCCACTTGGTCTATCATTTCTCTGACTAAATCTGCAGACTCTGAATAATGGAATGATAAGACACTAAAGAAGAGCTTTGGAAACATGGCCACATATTTGGCAACCGGGTTAGTAATTGCTGGTTTTTTTTCTTTAAATTTTATCTTTTTTTTTTTCTGCATTCAATGTTTTGCTTTATTTACGTCATCCTTTTGTTTTCTTTTAATGTTTGTTGTTCATTAAGATCATTTGCTTAGGACGAGAACTATGGTTTAGCAGAACAGAGTCTAAGTTGCGTCGCCGGTATCAATGAATCTTATATAGAGACCAGAAATCTAATCATTGATAAGCACTCAAGAGAAATAAACCTACCTGGATTTTTGGGGCAAACTGAGTTGGTGTATTTCGCAGTCTCGCGAAGATGTTTGAATTCATCATGCTTTAAAACAAACTATTGGAAAAAATAGAATGATAATACTGAGAAATAGGGAGAAATTTTGTCGCGAACTTATTATTGTATTTAAGACTACGAAGACTTTATTGGAAAACGGGGCACATTTCAAAAGCTAAGATAGACCTGGCTAGTTTACTTAATTAATTTTCTGAACTGGTCGAAATGTTTGACGAATAGCTTCATTATATTATATTCTTTATCATGGCGATTTATGGATTATTCAGTTATAAAAAACTGGTCTGGTCAGTCTCAATAATGAAATCGCGCCAAAGAAAACGTCTTGCCCAAATATATCCTAAGGCCTTTCAGGGTCATTCAGGCGAGTATACCTCAAGATGGCCGAATGTCTGCACCAGCGGTATGACTGTAAGGTTGTGTTGCATTACTTCTTTCACCAGTATGGTAATATCGTCTTTGCTATAATGCAACAATGAATTTAGGAATATAGCAGTGAATTCCCTAAATTTAAAACTGTTCAGTTAATTCATGGCATCGGTTCTTTGTGGAAATCATTCGAATCACGTTGTGAAAATCAATTGAATCACGAGAGAAAACCCTGCCAAAGTCGATCGTTCAAATTATTGATTTAATTCAGTAGGAGTTAAAGTTATAGGCTACATAAGCATAAGAAAATATGTTTGTTGTGAAACCAGCAATGAAATTATCGCTCTGATCAAATATCTCAAATAAAGCAAAACATTTGCTTTGGCTTGGATCATCATAAACATTTACCAGCTCACGTGCTATTTTTGTAGGAATCCCAGAAATAAAATTATATGGTACTGGTGAGCTATTTGCAAATTGATGATCAATTTCACCTGTATGCATTAGGTCCTTGAATCACCTGGAGCTGTCCATTGTATGGGAAAGTATCAGAGTATTCGATAAGGAGCCCTGTGGCACCCCATTTAACGAAATGTGGTAGCAACTGATGAAGAAAACAATTTGAATTAGATCTTAAAAACATGTTGAATACTTCATGGAAAGTGTTTCCGTCTGGTATTTACGCACGAGTTGTAGTATCGGAAATAGAACGAGTGAGCGCAGCAAACGAGTAAGATTTCTGATTCAAACCGACGAGTGCATGAATAGCATACCGACAGACTTTCCATGTTGCATTATGGTAAACACACGTAGATTCAATTTTTGCTAAATGACAATTTAACATGAAGGCAGACTTAAGGGATTTAAATTTAGAATCAATGAGTTGTCATGTATTGATGTATTACCTGCAGTAGGTAGGTCATATTTGGAGGTGCACCACCAAGATCCAGATGAACAAGCTTGTGTCCATTAAATCTGAAACATGATGAAATACCATAAAAGTTCTTGATTCACTTTGTTTGCCTTAAAGGAACATCCCGAATATACTCGAACAGAAATGTGCTTTCCAGCGGGGTGCAATCATGGGGTTCCTGCTTTAGATTGGGGTAGCCATTTGGGTACGTTTACTAAAAAGGGAAATAAATTGAAATGTAGTCGCATCCATTTGAAATTTTACGTAGAATTTAATTATGAAGAACATGGAGCCTCTTTCCATATCCTAAATAAAGCCTTTTTTCTAGAACTGTACAGTTAAAGGTGAAACTGTTCTTTCATAAGCGAGGATAGTTATGTCTAAACCAAGTTTCCCGCTTTACACACCCACCCAAACTGCAAGCGAGTAGCCCTTCCATAATGATGCTGCCTCCTCACTGTACCTCACATATCGTAAAGTTGTTTTTAAACGTCATACTTACTCATTTGTAAAGATTTCACCACATGTAAGAGTTTTAACTATATTCAGTTACATATGGTACCAGAAATCAAAGGATAGTTTAGTGTTTAAAGCCCGCAAAGAATGGACAAGACACCATGCTTACTTTTTCCTTGCGTCACCCTTCTGAGACGTGTCCCCGAGATGCTGAGCGTGCATTTTCGTTGTGATATTGTACAATATTTCTTTTGTCTGATGAAGCTCAGCTTTTGCTTCATATGCTTCTCTTCTCGTCCTCGACAATTCTGAATAGCGAAAAGTATATCTAATCAGGATAGAAATAATATAGCTGAGGTATCAATGAATAAATGTTCGAAACTCTTTCAAGGAATTAGTGACCTGCGTTAAGAACCTGTGCAAAATTTTCTCCGAAGAGCGGCAAACATTTGAAATATCAGCCTGCCAAAACTCGTGCCCACCATGATGATGGTTTTAAAATCTGCTGCTTATAGTGTGACTTAAGTCTCTCATCGGAGAATTGACCAAAAACCTAATTAAGTGACGTATACGACAAAAGTTCTTTAGAAAAAGTCTAGTTCTAAACAATATGTATATATTTTTTTTTAACAATTTTATTCTGACCTTTCATTTACACAGTTACAATTTTACATTCATAAAATAGGTTTAAAATGATAACAATTCGATATATCTAACAATCTTACGCAGTTACCCTATTTTCAGCTTAAGAAATTAAACAAATTAAACTAATTAAACCAAGCAACATAACGTAAAAAAAAAGAGAAAAACAGGATAGAAGGCAAATCGGCTTAAGATTTTTTAAATTATTAACCATTCCTTTTCATTTGAATATCCATTTCTTTTCAAAGAAGTTTTTCTTATTTATTTTTCTTTCAATTTCATATTTGATAGCTATCTTGTTCTGATAACCTTGTATTTTAGGGTGTATTTGTTTTTTTCTGCAGTCCCACAAAAACAGTTTTCCCATAATAATAAAGTAATTGAGTAGTGTATGTGAAGGGCATTGTGTTGAAAGCATTCCAAATAAAACATTTTCCAAAGTCAGGTGAACTACCTGATTTGACAAGCGGAATCAGTACAATTCGAAATCATTCCAGAACTGTTTCGCATAAGTGCATTGATAAAGCAGGTGATATAGCGTTTCTCGCTCAGCTTCGCAGAGAGTGCATAAGTCATCAGCTCTAAAGCCAATTTTACACAATTTCGTGTTTGTGTAGAGTATATTGTTAAGGATTTTATACTGAAAAGTTCTAAACGATATTAATACAGGAACAATGATTTTCATGTACATCGAATACGAATAACGAGTTCACCTGATTTCCGAACCTGCTTTTTGAGACTAAAACATAAAATGGAAGACAGTACTTACCAAACATAAGACGCTTCACCAGGGCTTCAGTATCATTGCACTGGGATAAGTCTAGGGCTTTCAACTGGCTCCATCTAAGTATGATACAATTCAGTATGTGTGTATAATACGCGCACGCACAAAAAAAGGAGAGATTAGAAGCTCTATAAGACATTTCTTTGATTCGATTATTTTTGACTGAATGTGATAGACATGACATAAATTGACTATACTGAATGATTATGGTAAATGATAAAGTCAGTAACCTTACAAAATGATGCAGCAAAAATGACACCGACAATCAGGTTGCTATATCAAGTGCGCACTCTTAGTCCCCTGCCGTCTTCACCAAAGTTAATTGGACTGCCCCTTTTTGATGGGATTCGTTGCTGATAATATGATAAGACATTTGGGTCGTGATGGTCCATGAGAAAGCTGATTCCATGAGGAAAAGTTATAGCCCTCTAGGAGGCTGGTATTGAATTACTAGCAGCACTTAAAGAACACCGGTAGAAGCCTGGGGACATTTTAAAATGATATGTAACGCTTCGCGACCTGTCAGCTGAAGACGTTTCGGTGCGACATTGTCTTGTCAGGCTTTAGCGACCCGTAGCCTTGTAAAGATATTAGTGATTTCAGTGTGTGATAAATTCATGGGCTTACAGGGCTTACATTGTCGATGAGTGTGAAACCATTCTCCTACAGCTGATTGTCGAGAAAAGGAAGATTATTCACAGGGTTTTCGCCAGTAAAGAGACAGTCATTAACGATCTGCTTCTTTTTGTCACATGAAATTTTGAGTGGCCCATCTGATTTCTTTTATGCCGAGTATAGGTTATAAAGGCGGTTTTAAGCGACTATCTTGAGTAAATTCCAGTAAGATTTGCAGTCTTTCACTTCGTTAAATATCAGCTCATGTTGAATCAACTGTTTGCGATCCTGACTTGAGGCGTAATTGTGTTTCTAAGTAAGCGATATTCAGCCGATGGTTTTCTCTATGGCATTTAAGTCTTTCAAGAAAGAATTGTAGATACACGTTACTGACAAGGGAAGAATAATCATCTTCTTTCTGAACGCCAATATGTGCGATCACTTAAGCAATCTATTGGTACCTGCATGTTAACTGACAATCATGTTGTACATAAAATACAAGACGATCGTTTCCCTGGCCGATCTCGTGGATTATGATAATTTCAAACTTTCAAGGGCATTATTTGGCCCTACATCATCATCCAAGCTCAATATCATTGCAAATAGTTAACAAAATAGTCATAATTACGAAGTGAGAACACAAGAGTTATCAATCGATCAAATTTACCTGACACTGAAAGTTCCTAACCAGAAAAAAACAAACGAAGGAAAATGCAATAACATCTTTTGTTTCGCGCTTACGCTGCGAAGTTCATCGACTAAGAGATGAATCTGGTCAAAGAGCTTCCCTTCTTTCTTCCAGTTTCCCCTGTAGCAACATTTTCCAACAGTTAACCCCCGATTAAAGGCATTGTAGTTCCCGACTGTGATCGATCAGGCTTGAATAAATAACCTGCCTATGATGACATCTTGTGACACTTATTGCCCGACTTGCGACAGCAAATAAAATTAAAGAAACTTCAAAACAACGTTATGTTTTTACCTTGTTTTTGAATGTCTGCAAATTTAAACATTCACAACCTTACAAGTTTATGGCATTGAACGATCAGTGTGATAACCTTGTAACGAGTTTAACTGGTGTTCAGTCAAGATCTTAATCAATCAACAAGCTGACTGACAATACTAACTCAAAACATCTCTGTCAAAAGATCACCTTAATCAACTTTCGTAGACTTTGTTCTCCTGCTCGATCTATTCTTCTGACAAGAGCGGATGGGTATCCGAATTAATTTCCCACAACTGATGCTCCAGGTTCAATGTACTTTTACCGAGGAAAGCAACAGACGAAAAACATCGTAGATATCAAAACGCACTGAGGAATTAATCATATAGAAAATCGAATAAATTGCATATAATATAATTATCACTCAGCAAGGACCCCGGTTAAGGTCGGAAGAGGTCTAGGAAAAATTTTCAGTCGATCGTAAATCTCATGGAAAATTGTAGACAGACCACTTAGACATGTACGGTGACACATGTACGGGAACCAATCAGGAGCGTTTATTACATTTCATTCTAACGATTGATGTTGGGCGATCTTTCAAGAGATGTGACAACTTCAATTTTGACTGTCGATGACGTCAGTGACAGTCGTAGCTCGTAACCAGTCTTCGATTCACGGATCCAGCCACGTCAAATGTCATGTCTAGAGATTCTACGAAAGTGTGGAAATACTGAAATCCCGGGATGTGTGAACCTTTTTCTCTGACAAGTAAAATAGAGCCTTTGACATACATATTGCGGGACCAATTCTGCTCCTCCCCCCTCCCCCATCTGCATTGCTGAATTTTCATTGTCATTTGCAAAGGAATTTCTTTCAAATTTTTTTCAAACTTTTTCAGGCTCAAAACCACCTCCCCTTACCACCAGAGCTCTAAGAAAGAAAAAACATAAAAAATAAGCTGTCGATAGCTAGGAATAAATTTATTCATTGAAACCAACTGAAAGTGAAAACTATTTATTCTTGTTAGATTATTTTTTATTAATTTAGTTTTAATCCTTTTATCTTTATTTTATTATTTTCTTTTTATTAAATTTTTTTATCAACCAATTTTGATATATTTCATACTTTTTGTGGTTCCGTTTACGTTCATTTAGTTCCGGGTGGTTCCGGCATGTTCCGAGTGCTGGCAGGTGGTTGCAGGTGGTTTCGAACAGGAAATGCCGGTGTATTTGTACCAAAAACTTCGCTCAAACCACCAGGAACCTGTCGGAACGACGCGGAACCCACACACAACCTGCCGAGATGATAAGGCACAAAAGGATAGTATGTAAAGATTACATATCTTTGGGTACAAATCCCGCGCTTGTTGTTCTGAGGTAAATTGCAAAGGATATTCAGAATGTGAGTAGCCGATCAAAGCGTGCAACATGGAGAACTTTGTCAGTGAAAACATTTGGGTGAAGAGGCGAGGTCTTATCCACCTTGTCAATTTTTATAGCTGCTATGTCATTAACTTTAAAAAGGGTAGCTGACTTGTTTCTTTTTTGTATTATAACGTTCTTGATTTTTATTTACAGCTTTTTAAACTTTTTTTCTCTTTTCTAACTGATCTTCCGCCTGCCTTATCTGGGACGATGAAGACCGTGTAACAATAGTTGATGTTTCATTATTACCGTTAGAAGATAAATCATTGTTATGGTTTGTTTCCTTCCATGGTTGAATCCCAACGTAGCAGTAAATGGAATTTCTTTGGTTGCATCATGTGCATGGTGATGTTTTTTTTGTAAGCGGCTTCAGAGCACCAATTGTTGAGCTCAGCTTTTTTCTCTCTAAGAATTTTACTTAAGTTTTCTTTGAAAGTACGATTGCCTCGTTCGACCAGTCCCTGTGTAGTGGGAGTCCTCGGGGCTCCATGAACTTGTGCAATAGAATATGAATGACAGAATTGTTGCATTTTTATGCCTATAAATTCCTTTCCATTATTGGTATGCAAAGTCTTTGGAAATCCAAACATGAAAAAACCCTTTCCAGCGCTTGTACAACCGCCTCGCATGTTACAGTAGAATGAGCCAAGTATATTTGCTGTAATGGTCGTTAATGTGAAGGACCCATTTATGGCTTGGAGTACATGTACAAGGTAATTTTGGAAAGTCGGTTAAACCGATGTCTACATTGTTAAGGAAACCATCGGCTGCAACTGGTTTGACAACAGGTTTCTTCATATAGGCTGTCACACTGCGTTGAGACTGATGTAAAGTGCAAAGGGACACAAATAATTCAGTCACTTCTTGGTTAATTCCCGCGTAACAATTAAGTACGTAATGTTCTATCTTATCTCTCCTGCGGTGAGCAGCGACAGAATGTGCATCAGTTAATGTTTCAGAGAGCTGACGTTTTGGAATAACAATTTTACCATCTTTATCTTAATTTTTTCCCTGGTGCAGAGTCCACTGTTTACGCTTGGTAGTTGCGATATCTTTCTTCGACATTGGAACGTACCTCCTTCTTGTCCTAGCCAGGTTTTGGCTTGATCATAGAAGTCGTTAGAAATAAACAAAGATGTTTTACTTTCTTTCCCTTGCTTGAGGCTGGGGGGGGGGGAGGAGGAAATAGAGGGGGGGGGGGATGGAGTGAAGAAAAGGAAAGGAAACAAGCCTTTTAATTTCTTTAAAAATGCATCCAATTCTTTTTGAGAACCCCCCAAAAACCAAGCCCCTATTTTTCAACCACACCCCAAAAATTAAAATAGCCCTTTTTAAGATGGCAAAATAACCTAGGTTAAAATATGATCTGGGTTGAAAAAAATTCCTTAACTTAAATCGAACCTGTAACATATACATGTAACATATACATGTACCAAATATATATATGATACGTACACCCGTTTTCACAAACGTCTCAATTTGGAAATATGTAATAATTACATATGCCGTTCATTTTCTCTTGTCCAACATTTTTCTGACCAGTGAAAATAAAGCCTTTGACATGCATTGCGAAACGAAACTTGGCTCGACGACTCGTTCTTTGACTCTGAGCTTTTTCTACCTGGCTATAAGATATTGTGAAGAGATAGAGACCACCGTGGGGATGGCATTGCCGTCTACATAGCCGAAAATCTCAATTCTGAGCGTGTTGACATTTGCACCGACGATGTTGAAGCTCTATGGTTTGAAAAATTTGAAAGGATGCTTTTTGGGGCTGTTTACCGACTGCCAAATCTAGACGCCACAGCTTTTACGGACAGTCTGGAAGAAATGTTAAATCGACAAACAAACGAAAGTAATAGTCCTTCTTGGTGATTTTAATCTTGACCACATCCCACCGAATGTGGCAACAAAACATTTCCAGCGTATTACGAACCTCTACAATTTGAGGCAGCTGATTATCGAACCCACCAGGATTACTCATTACTCAAAAACTTTAATCGAATTATTCTTTACTTCAAAGCCTGAAGTTTATGTATCTGGAGTATCGCCGATCGGCTTCTACCATCAGTTGGCTATTTTTGGAACCAGGAAACGTCACAAAATCTCCCTGAGGCATAGCTTTCTTTCAAAGATTTATTCCTGACAGTAGCACACAAACACGCACCAATTGTTAAGCGCCGTGTTCGCCAAAGATCGGTGCCTTGGTTGACCGCTGAGACTGTGATCACAGAGAGCGATATAAACAAACAGTGAACCACACTGAAATGATTAAAAATATACGCGATGCTGTCAATACGAAAATGTATAAAGAAAAATTTAATCATTATTCCACCAAGCTGTCAAGTCACAAGAACCCCAAAGAGATGTGGCAGACACTGAACACCATCTTTCCCAAAAAAAATACGCATTCGGTAGTGATTCATCAGATCTGTTAGCGACAAAGTTCAACGAGCTTTTTATATCAATTGCAAGGAATTTATGCAATGTCTTTTAAGACCGCGCCTTTCCTCAAATTTTAGTTCCCAGAGGTAACAAGGACTTTGCTTCGCACGCTGTTGACGTCAGCCTCCGTTATAGCCGAGCTAATCACTTATATTTTAAACCTCACGATCTCGACAGGTGAAATTCCGTCATAGTGGAAGGAAGCTACAGTAACTCCAATTTATAAGACTGGGAGGAAGGATGATGAGAACAACTATCGTTCATTTTCAGTTCTCCCCTTGATTTCTAAAGTGATGGAACGTGCAATTCAAGTTCAACTGTTGGCCTTTCTTGACAAAAACAAAGTTCTATCGGTTTTTCAATCCGGTTTTCGTAAGAAGCATTCCACTGAAACTGCGGTTGTCTACCTGGTTGATCACATATTAGAACACATGGACAGGCAACAGTTAGCTGGTGCTGCCTTTGTCGATCTAAAAAAGGCCTTTGATCTTGTTGATCACCTCTACCCCTTCACAAGCTAAAGCACTATGGAGTTAGAGGATGCAGTCTTACCTGGTTCAGAAATTATCTGACTACTCGTTCGCAGACAGTTCAATAGGGAAAAGAATTATCATCCAGCCTTCCTCCAGACTTCGTCGTTCTTAAAGGTTTCTTACTGGGACCATTTTTTTTCCTGTAGTGAAATGTTTCAACAAAAATCATGAATATTCTACCAAAAAGAGCATAAGTTTTGAGTCTGTTTTATTCATATATAAGATGAATTGTAACAAAGAAACACATGATGAATTAAAGAACTCATGTGAAATTTTTTGTCCATTTTGTGGCAAATAATTACAAAAACCAAAAATAGCATCAAAACATGTCGTGAAAAAAGAGAATTAATAAATAATAATCATATGTATGTATGCAAAAATTGTGGTCGAGTTGAAGGATATAAGTTTTATAATGAATTCATTTATTTTCATGAGAATGTACTCAAAATAAGAAAGAAATCACTTTATCATTAAAGATATCTAGAATGTATGAGACGTCGAATTGACAAGGTGGAGGCCGAATTTGGGTAATAGGATGTTTGGGACTCGAAATACTTGCTTCTTCTTGGAAGTTCAGACTCACTTGAAGCCGCAGCATTACGATCCAGTGTGTTGCCGAGTTTAAAATCTTCCTGGAAAGCGACTCGAACCGGCGAAATCCATCTTAGAAGAAGCACAACTGCCATCGATAGAAGTTTTACTCGAGTATTCCAAGAGACAATTCCGCTCCAGTTCGCGGTACGACAGAGATATATGGACAAGGTAAAGGAGCACCATGTGAGCACGTCTGTCCGCCAATCTCCCACACGATGTTTGCGATACAGTAATAATTTTAATGTTCGGATACCGATAATAATAAATATTGTAACCGGGAAAGATTTTGAGATGTCGATAACAAGAGCAAAGAACATCTACAAAGCCAAAGATCTTTAATATTCTCACAGGATGAATAAAAATATGTCGTTTCTTTCAAGGGTGATGTCAAGGTTCACTTTGAAGATATGAGGACTATTTGATTCACAAGTATAAAAACAGACAGCGGAGATACAGAAAACGAGCATCCAAAATAAGATTCGGCAACCTCACTTTCAAAGACAAAAAATCTCCAAATTTCTGGTCTCATTTCTTATTTCTTGTGGTGATTATTGCCTCTGCATTGGATTGTTGTTATTTAGGTTCGATTCCCAACAAAGGCTTGGTTCCATAGCATAATGTTTAGTTCCTCTGGCTTTGAACTAAAGTCTGGGTTCGATTCCTGGTGGAACTTAACAAAATAACCGCACATTGAAATCAGCATAAAAATTAATATCTTTTGACAATAGATACGTAAACGACGCGAAACTCAAATCATTTAAGATAAGAAAAAATCAAAATCAAGAGCCAAAGAAGATAAACACAGATCCTACAGATCAAACGCGCGTTAAACACATAAAAATAGTAAAGGGTAATTTGGTATTATCAACTGAGTTGAAAAACGGAGATTGGCCACCGTGAAGAGTTTCAAAGCTGATGTTTCGAGCGTTAGCCCTTCGTCAGAGTGATACATGAAACAAACGAGAGAACTCGCTTCGATGGTGCTATATATTGATATGTCATTATAATATAGATAAGGAGGACACAAACAAGATTGAGAAGAAGGATATATCATATGATGCAAGAAAAAAATTGATAAAAATGAAGAACTAGTGTTTAATTCAAATTTTATCCCCATCGAACCAAAATATTGTGAAAGAGTGGTTGAAGACGAGATTTATGAATCATTGGAATTGAATATCTGATATTTGTCATTCACACTTTGAAAATTATGTGTGTTATGAGGATTGCCACAGCACACATATTGTTTTACATACAAATTTTACTGTGTAAATACTTGTTTCCATTTTTAACACTTTTACCACATCTGTCACGGTATCCCTGACTTCACATACCGACTTTACGATACCTGCATTGATTTGAAGATGTTGTTGTACAGCGTAAAAACCATTGTAATATGAAACTTCATTCGTGTTTTGATTCACAGCTTTTACGCTTTAACACACCTTTTTAAAAGTTTTTTTGCAACAAATGTATGATCACAATGTTATGCTGATTTGACGCAGTTAGAAGCTCTTGGTTGCAAATTAATAAGATTGCAGAAGAGACATGTTATCAAACAGTACATACAAGAAGTTCATTTCAGTCACACACAGATTGTGAAACTGTAATGTGTTGTTGGTCAACTGCATTGGCAGACGAGAAATATTTCAATCGATCATTACGACAACGAGTATCTTGTGAAGGAACAATCTTTTGAGCGTTTATTCAGTGGCAACGCAAGCATCACTAAATAGATTTGTTGTATCATAGGTCATTTTGAATTTTCTTAAATTGATAGAAACATGTTGTGACAATGAGACTGTTCTTCACAGTTATAACACTGATGGAATATATGTGTCGAATCCAAGGGTCATGCTCAAACAAAAAAGTAAAGTTGAATTCAGTGTGAAACATATTGGCAGACCATTTGTGACAGATTGAAACTTTCTTATTTTGAGATACATTACAGAGAAAGTATGAACGCAGAGATTACGAAGTTGAAAAAGGGAATGGACATATTTTCAATGGTCAGGCACCATCAGAAAAAACAACTCTTCTCTGTCAAATGGTCAAAGATGCTAAAAATTTATGGGTTCTCCCATTCATAAACAAAGCCTCCGAAAAGCCACTGGGAATGTAAAAGAGAGGCTTCAGACAGAAAATGTAAAGGATTTGTGTCCCACTTTTGACCCTAATTTTTGTGAATGGAATGGTGAGACATAAATATTGTGAACGGAAAGACAA